TCTTTTTAAGGATCCCATGGGTCCCTGTCGTGGGAGGGACCGGGGGTGGGCGGGTGGATTTCAGCGAAAAACCGGAGTTTCTCTCGATGCTGAAAACAACTGTGCCAGGCAAACCAGAATACGGAAGAACCAGGATTCAGGAGGTAATAGAAAAGGAGAAGATAGTTTAGAGCATTACCCTAAATGACCGAGATCCGCCAATCTCTCCGCTGCCAATCATATTCAACTCATTTTTTCCGTCCCTTCCATTCCCCTCGCAGGCTCACAAAAAAATGCTATTCTTTTGCTTTTGTTCGATTCAGTTCGCCTAAACGCACACAGTCCTCAGCTGAGGTGGATTGCGAAGAATTACTATCACTATCATTATTGTGAGAGATGATGAGTTAGGACGAGGAGGCCCATAATAATAATAAAAGAAGACAGGAGGCGACGGTTGAAGAGGTAGTAGCAAAAACTTTGACGGCTGAAACTGAGACAAGATAATTTCTGTTGCCGCTATGATCTACTTCCCCGTCCAACTAACTACCATGATGGGCTTTTGTGCGAATACCCTGTTTTCATTGGTTAGTGTGCGGAGGCATATCCTTACAGAACACACAGATGGCGGCATAAAAGCTAATCGAACCATCCAGACGCAGCTTGTGCCTGTCAAGGTGAAACAAGTGCATCCTTCATACGAGCATTCCTGCTTCTGTCGTTGCGCTCCACAACGCCCACTTTTTTTTCATAAAATTAGGTTAGTCTCGTGCACCCGTTTTGCCTGGTGGGCAAGGGGGGGGGGGGGAGGAGAAACGTCATGGAAAACGTACAGCGTTCTGACCAACTCGCTACTGGCTCCAACTATTGTGGATATGAATACATGTACATAGGTGGCGACGGCACGTTAAACCTCACTTTCTCTCCGACTCTTATTCGAGAAGAGAGCGATAGAAGCTGCAGCAGACAAGCACGGTTGCCACCAGCAGCGACAGTGATGAGTATCGCGAGAACCACCACGCCGGTCGCCACCGCAGCAGAACGAGCAGCTCACGATGGCGATCTGCCTGTTGCTGGCGTTCCCAATGGTGGTAGGGCTCCCCACCAAGCACGTCTACACTGCCGAATCTTGCGTACTGATCCACGTCAGTGTTCCCGATGCTGTCCCCGTCACAGCCGGGACGCAGCTGTCCCACCATCATTTCCGTGTGCCGCTGCCGCACCAACAAGCTCTGCTTCAAGAGGTGTAAGCTGCGCTGCGGGTACGGACTGCGCAACGCCAGCCAACTCCAAAGCACCACGTCCACCTCCTCCGGATCTGGAGTGAAGGGGACGTACTTGTTAAGGAGGAAGGCAAGGTACTCCACCGGAGACGCGGAGACTGGCACCACGTCCGACGCAGACAGGGTCCGCCGCTGTTTCCAGTGTGACAGTCGTGGCAGCACCGGCGACGGCGCCGTGTTCTGCTGCGACGGCGGTCCCCTTCTCGCAGCGGCAGCGGTGGGCAGCAGCTGCCCCACCGCGTTGCCCAGCGTCCACAACACCAGCAGCGCAAAACGTAGAGGAGTGTAGAGGCACAGAAAGTACAACACGCCACAGGACGAGGAGCATGGATGGAAGAAGAGCGCCAACACCGTGCTGCTTTGACGGCTGTTTCTGTTCGTGCTGCGCAGACCGTCGGAGAAGAAGCTGTCCTCGTAGCGGTACGCGCCGCCGGATCGGTAGTACTCGGCCGGGTCCCGCACGGGTGGGTTGGCCGACGCCGCCATTGCCGCCGACTGCGACGCGGAGGACGAGGTCGGCGACGGTGAGCTATCGGCGTCGTCTGGTGCGCTTGCCCGCCGAGGAGACGCACTGCCCGCCCGCGACGACCACGGAGACGGTGACAGTTGCGACCCGCCTCCCTGTCCCATGCGGTGGCGGGGCAGCAGCGGGTGCGCCGCCGCGCCTCCGTCGTTTTCATCGACGCTGTCGGTGTTGGCGGCGTCGGACGAGGCGAGTGGCTCCGACTCTCGTGCAGACGAGCCCAGCGACATCGACGCTGTGTCTCTCTCCGCGCTCTTGTGAAACCCGGTCGTTTTCGTGGAGATCGGGCGCTGTGGAGATGGTGCGGCAGACTCTAACAGTTGCCGCCGCAACCGCTCTCGCTCCTCCACAAAGATCTGATCCGTACACCACGACACCACAATCTCAAGGTAGTAATGCGGACGGGAGAGAGGGGCCTGCGCGTCGATGGTGGGTTTAATGCCGAGGGCCGCCACGCCACACTCCACGCGGGTCGTGTAGGTAACGGTACGCACTGCCTGCGCGGCCTGGAGGGGGGAGGCGAATTGAACGTAGACGGTGTCCGACCGGACACGGGTGAGCGGGGGGAGGTAGTGTGACACCGTGCGGCCCACGTTGGCGTCGAGGAAATCGCGCACGTCGAGCACGTCATCGGGCGACGCCCCGGTGACGGTCACCCACGTCTCCGTCAGCGCACGTGCAGGAGTTTGATGCGGCTGTTTCGACGCAAGCGGACGTGTTTCCACTCCATCTGAGGCCGGATACGCTGAGGGCGGCACGCGATCGTGGAACCCGCGCGGCAGAAAGCCCCGCGCATTGTGCTCCGCTAAGGCGGTGGACTCCGGTGGATAGACGTGCGGGGTTGTTGAGACGGGACCACTGCGACGATGGCGGCGCTCCTGCCAGTCACCGACGGTTTGCTTCCACATAATAAAAGATTGTGCGCTCCAAGGAGGATCGACAAACAAATAAAGTCGCTATAGGTAGACCTTTTTTTGGAGGAGGGAGGAATAGAAGTATCAGCTTTTATTATTAGTATATACTTGGCAGTGAACCTTCCTTCAGTGATCTATGCGTATATTTCGCCGGCCCTCCACCCTGCGTGCGAAGTGTGTAGATCCAAATACAAATGCAAGCAGCTTACACACACATGCAAGGGAGACGATAATAAGATGAAATGGGTTCCCACGTCAATTGTAAACGCTTTTGGTTTATAATTTAAAGATGTGCCGCTTTAGGTTTCGGTAAGAGAGGGAAAACACACACAAAGCAACGTGAGCAGCGAAGCGGGGAAAAGATGAGCGGAACAACGTGACGAGCGACTGTCGTATGCCGCCATTGCAATTCGCCGCCCAGAGGGGTCTTTGGCACGTAGGGTCGATGAAAAAAAAAACCCCACCCACTCACTCGCATTTCCAAAAAGGTTGTCTTCGCGCACCCGCGCATGAATACTACTAACCAAGCTTCGTCTGTGTCCGTTTCGTTTTTCTTTCAACGGTGCAAACGTGAAGCTGCGGAGAAAAAAAAGGTCCGAAGTCCTCATCGTTTCAGTCGCATTAGCAGTGTTTAACAAGCCGTTAAAAAAAAAGAGGTTACACACTCATCCGCCACTGTCAGTCCTGTCCTAGTTCTTTTTTGTGCCCATTTGTCAACGCTGTGGACAGGCGCCTTCTCAGCTACGACGCGCACACACGTCCTTGCAACCTGACAACTTCCCAGGATCGGCATGATGGCGATCTGCGAGGAAAAGCGTAGGGGCCTCGCCATCGGCAATGTCGGTCAACACGGTCGCATTCGCAAAACTACTCCCGTAACAGAGACACACGTACTGCGGTTGCGCCACCTCTACTTCTCGCACCGTGGCAACCAACGCTGTGCGCGGGAGTGCGACGCTCGAAGCCGCTTGCCAGGCAAACGAGACTTCGAGCGAGCGAGACAGCGGGGCAGCGCAGCCGGCCACAGCACGGTTCAGCGCCTCATCTTCGAGGACCCCATCGTCCGCCAGCCAAAGAAAGAGCTGCGCGAAGGCGATCTCGATAGAGGGAGCTTTGACACTCACGTTCGCGGCAGCTGTTTGACCGGAGCTGAGAGAGATAGGGTAGAGCGTGGCGAAACGGGGGAGCGCCGTGCGCACAGCGCGCATGAGCTCCGTGCCCGCGTCAGCGTTGACACCAAGGCGAGACACGAGGTAGTCCTTTTGCAAAGCCACTAGACAGATGGCGGGTTCTTCTGCCTTTTTCTCTGCCCTCTCAGCCACAGCCTCTGATAGAGTCTGTCGCTGCCATGCGTGTGACGCATCGGGTGCCGCGTTGTCGCTGAGCGACTTCCACAGCCGACCAGCACCATCGCCGACGATGGCGCGTAACACTGGATGATGAAATATGCCGCGTAAGCGAGTCTCCGTCTCGGGGTGGTAGTAAAACGCCATGGAGAAGTCGGCCGAGATGCTCGCCAGCGTGCCATCGGCATCCTTCGCGTCGTCCTTCTCTTTATCGTCACGTGCGGCCATGCGCTGCTGGAGTCGCCTCAACGCGCTCCCTTGCCGCTCTCGCAGCACATCCAGGTTCAGCGTGGGGGCACTGACACCGCGTAAACGGCGCGCGCCGTCCAAACGAAGACGCCGCAGTGAAGAGTAGTGGTACGGGAAGAGAAAAATTGTGACCAGAAACACACCCCACAAGAAGTAGAAAAGAGCCTGGCGACGGCGCATGACCACGGTGCGGCGCTGCGGTGGCCCGACTGGGTGCAGCAGCTGGTCCAGCTTCCACAGTGTGCCATAAGGAAGCATGCTGGATGGCTAAAACAGCATAAAACCCAAATTGCCAACAAAGAGTGAATACTGAACGACGCGGCTGCGTTCAGTGACTCTTCTAGACCTTGGACCTTCGCCAATGAAGTAGCGAGCAGCAAAGATCGGGGAGCGAGGAAGTGATGGGAAGAGAAAAACAAGTGATGATACATGCACTCACAAGTGTCACGAATGGCACGTTTCGGCAGCTTGGATTCAACGCGAGTGAGCGTACCGCTTGTGGAAGCACACACACACACAACAGGGAAACTTGCTAGGCAGTCAAAAAGCGAGACACAATGGGTCAGCGCAACGCACATCGATCGATGCCAAAGACTTTTTGTGAGAAGATAGAAGTCATGGACTGAATTGCCGCTCGCAACAAATGCTGCAACACTCGCGAAGAATTCTTTATTAGTTTTTGTTGTTGTTGTTTGACTATTCGTACATGACACCCTGACTAAGTTTAGCGACGAGGAGACATTTTTCCACATATGTGTCGATCTTTTCCACGGTGCTCTCGATTACATCCTATTCCAGCACGGTTGAGGAACAACGGGAACTTCAAAGCGATCGCGCAATTCTTTTCCTGAACCACAACTAGATCACCAAACGGGAGGCTGTTTGCTGCCTACACCCGGCTGTGTTTGAATCTTTTGACACAGCAGACGGGAAGAACGTCTTTTCTTCCGTGAGCAGAGGACGCCGGGCGCGCTGCAACTCTTCACAACGCATCTCCAAACGCACCTGCTCCTCATGTGCCGTGCCCGGCTGTTCCATGGGCCACTGCGCCGCCAACACGCGATGGTAGCGGCTCAGCTGCGCAAGCTCCTCGTAACGGCGCAGCTCACGACGCACCACTGCCATCCGTAGCATCGCCGGCGGAGCACCGGGCTCCATGTGCGCCGTTGTGTACTGAACGTAGGCTGCGCCCGCTGCTGACGCGCCAGTCGCCGCTGCAGTGCCGTCGTGGATCCACGCGACATCTCGCTGCGCTGCGACGGCGTGCACGACCGACTTACTGTACGCGGAGCTGAACTGCTGCGGGGGCTGCAGGGATGGCGGCAACCACCGGCATCCGTGGGAGATGAGCACGGCCAACGGAGGCAGGCTGGACACGTACGTCACAGCAAACTCCGGCGAGGAGCCCCTCGTGGAAGAAGAGGGAAGGACAGGAGCGAGGCCACCAATGCAGAGCAACGACAGTCGCTGCGCCTCCGCCAACCGTTGGCTGAGTACGCTACCGTCGCCGCCGGCATCGCCCCTTCCCCCAGCAGAAAGCACCGCCATCACCTCTGCTGCGGACGCGTACGATGGCGCATTACAGGTGTAGCGCAGAACACCGCCGGCCGCGACAGACGGGACAACGCGCTGGAGAACATGTGGCTCATTGGCGAAAGCGGCGACACTCGCAGTGGCGGCTTCCGTGGAGGAGGGAGCTCGGATAACGTCCCGGGCACACCAGTAGCGGATGGACTCGCTATTTGCCAGCTGCCCAAAGCACACGGGCCGGATGGTGGCGATGGCCCGGACTGCCGCCACTGCGGCAGCAGCACGATGTGCGGAAGATGTTCTTAAGGTCGTCCCGCCAGTCAAGTCAAACTCTACGCCTTCCGCAACACCAGCCGCGGCGGCTTCAATCGGTGTGAGAACGTCGCTGCGCAGCAAGTTGGTGGTGCGTATGTACGGCTCTGAAAGCTCACGCAGTCGCCGCGCGAGCGGGGGGCACCACCCCGTCGATCGCTGCCGCGCGTACATAAGGCGCTCCCGCCGCTGCTCACACGCGTACGTCACCTCCGCTGCGCGGGGGAGTCGGTGTGGGCTGTAGTGTGCGCTCACGAGTTCGCGGAGAAGCTCTTCGTAGGGGCGCGGGTAGTCTGGGTAGAACACATTGGGCCCCGAAGGATTTGCGAGCCCGCGAATCTCCCACACGCAACGCGCGGCGTCCACCAGCCGCATCCCGCCACCGTAGGCGAAGTCAAAAAACGGCAGCCCCTGCCCTACCGCGTACGCCGCTGGTGAGGCGCGCGTTGTCGATGCGAGGACGTCTGCCGGCTCGATCGTGGCAACCGCGTGTTGGTGTAACACCCGCACCGCACTCGTCGACGGACGAAGCAGCACCGTGGCCGCTGTTCCACCGTTGTACCACGTTGAAGCCGTTGCATCGCTGGTGGAGGCGGTGGCATCCAGATGGAAAGACTCGTCATCTGCAGCGATGGCGGCGCTGCTGCTGGTCCTCGGACTGCTCTGAAGTCGCGTTGCGTCTCCGGGTGGAGGACTGGAGGCCGCCGCAGGCAGCCAATGCCGTTGCAGCATGGTGCCGTCACCGAAGACAACGCTAAAAGCGGTGTTGTGCTCCGCCTCGGCCGGAGCGAGGTAAAAGCGCGGCAGCGTGGGAGCTTCCACCAGCCACCGTACCGATGGCTGAGCACCTGCAGCGGCTCTGTCTGTGTCATCCTCCCCCGCTTCCACGTCTTCACTGGCCCCGAACAGCCTGCTCTCGACCGCCTCGACCTCCTCCAACATGGCGCACAACGACGACGAGGAGAGGGCGATGGCGGGTGGAAGAGAGCCGCCACCGACTGCGGCACCTCTACCTGACAAAACGCGCTGCCGCACATCACGATCGGCCAATGTGGTGATGGACGTGCCATCAGGAAACACCACGACGCGTGCCACCGTTCTCGCGCTCGGTTGCTGGACCCTCGCTGTTGCCGTCGTCGCCGCCACTGACGTTTCCGCAACGGAGCCGTACTCCACCACGGTCAGCCCGTCTTGACGAGATCGCACGTGGCAGTGGCGCACGGCGTCGTAAATGGCCTCCGCGTGTGTGAAGGCGGGAGGCAGCCCATCCTTTTTTGTGCGCGGCACCACTCGGCGAAAAACGCCGCTCGCCATGTCCGTGGCAGACCTCGGGGGCTGTCGCTCCGTTGTCGTGTCAGCCGCGGTGCGAGGCGGGGTGTCTTGCGCCGGTGTGCAGACACGCCGCACAAAGCAGCGGCCATCACTGGTGACGAGCGTTTCACACCACTGCTGCCCCGCTAGGGGAGGCGCGAAGGTAGACGACAATGGGCAGTGGGTCGCTGCATTCGCTGCGGTCGTATCGGCAGCCATGCTTTCAGCAGCAATCGGACGACGGGCCAACATGGCGCCACTCGGAAACTGCAGTAGGTGCGTCCCAGAGGGATAGACGCGATGGACCACTCCTGTGACCTCGTCCACCTCACAGGACTCCTCCGCCTCTTCCACGGAGATGTCGATCGTGGCCTCCACGACGGCGGTTCCGGCGTCTCCAACTGCCGCCGCTCCTTCCGTGGTAGAGGACTCCTCGAGCGGCGGGCAGTCGTGCACACAGTACAGCGTGGTGCGCTCCTCAAACAACAAAGGGCACACCTCGCTTAAAAGGCCTTGCGGAAAATAGGCGGCCGACTGTCCACCGCTCTCGTGCCCTGCCGCAGTGCCAGCGGCTGTAGCGCACGACGAGGTGTTTGGAAAGCGTCGCAGCCGCAAGCGTGCCACCTCGGCGCACCGCTGCAGCACCAAATTCGACGTTGTCACCCGCACGTCTATCAGCGGCACGGAGGAGCTTTGCTTCGCACCGGTGGTGCTGCAGGAGAAGAGCAAGCCATCGTCCCAGCGCACGGAGAGGTGCAGGGGGCTGGAGAGAGTCCCTGGCGAGCGGACACCCATGTGCAGGGCAGCTGTTACTTCGGCTGCCTTGATGTAGCGACACGTGCGCTGCGCCTCACCGGCCCACACCTCCAGCAACGCATCGCCGTAGGGGTAGAGCGTCTCGTGCGTGCTAAAGCGCATCGGCACGGTGGGGACGGTGGCCAACTCGATCGGCGCACTCGGCACGCGCTCGACCCGACCCAAAAGTACGGTGGACGCTTCAGCGTGTCGCTGCACGTACTGATCGATAAGCTGGTAGACGAAGTGTGGCGTTAACGTCGGCAAACTCTTCCCCGCTTCTGCCGCGTGTAGTGCGCCTTCCGCATTTGCCTCGGTAACACCTCCTTTGCACACCTCCGCCAACAATAGCGAGCGCCACACAGCGTACATTTCCATGGAGGTGATTGTCCCACCGCGGGGCACCATGTCGACCCACTTCCGTGTGCGGCAACGACGAAAGTTTGACGAGAGCGGCTCTCCTTTTCTTTTCTGGTTGTCGATGCCGCTTCCAGTTGGCAGTAGAATGCCCGCCATCCACAGTTGAGTGACGCGACGCGTAGGGTTCACGTTGAGCGCGTTGTGCGCGTATGCCGAGGTCTGGTGAACTTCCTCCGACTCCTTCACGGCCCCACTGCGGGCTGACGTAGAGGTGACGGCGTTGCCGGTGAGCGATGCGGGTGGATGTGAGGCCGATGGGGGAGGTGTTGCTGTTGCTGCCGCCGTCGAAGACAAATGGTAGTCCAACGTGGGCGCCTTCACGACAACGTTGTGTGCCCCGAAACGCTCGCGGAAGTCGACGAGGGAGGGCACGATGGTTTCTGTCCGAATTTGCTCCGTCACCGTCCAATCCTCCGCGCCGTTATCGTCGACGTCGCTTCCGTGGAGAGGTGGCTCGAGGCCCGCCTCCTTTAGCAGCTGATGCAGTAGCACCTGCTGAAGACAGTGCTCGTAGACGCGTGGGGTGAGGGCCTGCGCTGCTGCAGAAGCTGCGTTGGCAGCCGAGAGCGCGCTGTCACTTTCCTTGGTAAGGCCACGGTTCGCGGAGATGAACTGCCGCGCAGTGGCGGAGGAACCCCCCTGCATGGGGGGTGAGGAAGAGCCACGGCCGCTGGCCAGATACCGCTGCAGGAGCTCCAGCGCATTCACCTTCACCATGTGCGCCTTGTCAGCCGTTCCTCGCGTGTCTCCACTGCACTGCAGGCTGTGGTCGACGTCCTTCCAGTTGGGCCGCGTGGCCAAAGTAGACTCGAGCGCTTCTTGCAGCAGCACCGCGGCCTCTGTGTTGGGACGACGCCCGAGGTTTGCCTTAGACACCTCCTTCACAATCCGCACTCCGTGGACATAGGGTCGCAGCGCAGCCGCGACACTCCCGCCCTGTTCCCGCTGCCGGCGCCGCTGTTGCTGCTGCTGTTGCCGCAACAAGAGACCCGTGCTCTGCGTCGTAGTGTTGTTGAGCATCGTCGCGTGGCGCGAGACGGGAGAGGAGGACCCTGTCATGACACTTTCCACCATCGCGCCACCAGCACCGCCACCACCGCCGCTAGACAAGGCGGTGGAGATGGTGTCGGTGCCACGCGGCGAGTTGACTTCGAAGTGGCCCGCGTTCTTGGCGACGATTTGTTGCACCATTGACACGACTTCCTGCGGGTAGGGAGGGAGAACGACGTCGGCGCTCTCCCTTGTGTCCGCGACCTTCACTGCACATCGCTCTGCCACTGCGCCATTAGAGTTAGCAGGGGCTGCACGGGGCACCATGACGACCTCGACAACGCCGCCGCCGCCGTCGCCGCAGCGTGCAGCCGCAAGTTTCGCGAAGGGGTTTTTATATCGGTGGAAAAGACCGGAGGAGGGAGGTGTGGTCACCGCTTGTGTTGCACCGCCGGGCGACGTCGGTGTCTGTGCTTCGTCGTCGACTTCTTCTGTGGTGCATACGGCGGTCAGCGACTGCGGGACTCTTTGACTGGCCAGCGCACGACTTGTCTCTGCCATCAACGCCGACACCGCATTGACTACGGTGAAGACGCCATCCGTGAATGAATCATGCGCGAGCTGCACTGAACCCAACACTTTGTTTCCTTTCTCCTCTTCCTTTTTGATGCCGCTGCATGGAGAACGACTGCTGCGATCGGCAAGATGTGGCACCCGTTGCTGTGTCCAGGCGGCATACGCCTCGACGAGGTGGCCCAGCCGCGTCACCAGCTGCAGCAGCGCCCCGACTCCAAAGTTCTGTTGCACACGCACGTTGTCGTCTACGCTTTCGACCCCCTTCAGCGCGGATACCCAGGCTGTAAAAGTGGAGAGGGCGTTGAAGTCTAACTGCGATACAGAGGCCTCCTTGACTCCACTACCACCGTTACCAACGCTGAGGCTACCACTCGCGGTCCGCAAGGGCAGCGGTGGCACGGTGGCGAGCGGCACCGCGGTGACCACCCACAAAGGCAGCGGCCACTTATTCGTGTCAAGGCCGGTTCTCATGAGTGACGTTTTCGCTACGTCGCCGCGCAGGGTAACCATGTCGACGCCGCATCCGCCAGCCGCCACTCCAGTTTGCGGGACCACGTTCGACAGCAGCGGCTTCGACTCGCCTTGTGAGGAAAAAGAACTCTGCTGCGCATTGGCGCTCTGCTCCTCCTCCTTCGCTGTTGGAGAGGAGAGGAACTCCTGGACCCATTTTAGCACCGCCGCCGTGACGGGTAGTGACGACTTCGCCTCCATGTTCTCGGACGTGCCCGTTGCGATGGTGGCGAACACCGCCCGCTGATACGCGGCTGCTTTGCTCAAAAAGCTTGTCACGGCTTTCGCGCGGGGATCGCGTGCAGGCGGGACGTGCGGAGCCCCGTCCGCCACGCATTCGCAGCCCGCGTACAGGTAACACGCCAGGGACGTCGGGTCAGCTGCGCAGTATGGAAAGGCAGACGGCTCCGCATTCATGTCCACCGGTGCTGCCACATCTCTCTGATCTGCCAGAGCGTGCCAAAGAAGCTCCTTAGCTGCTGTCGCCGCATTGGACGCAGAAACGCCGTCTCCTCGTACGTTGCCACCGCGACCCTTCGCCGCAGTCGTCGCCGCGCCACCGGCGGTCCTACTTGCTTTATGCGTAGATGATGATGGCGCCACTGCGGTTGCAGTTGCTGCTGCCCCTCCTTGGTTGCCGCGCTGTGTGAGTGCGGTAGACTTGACCCCGCCATCTGCATTGCCCCACTGGCGACCCGTTTTGGCGGTCCCCGCGGTGGCTCCGTTGCGTGATCGGTCTACACGGTCTACCTGCAACGCGGCAAGCGCGACATCCACAGCCGCAGAAGCCGGCCCAGACGATGTTGCCGGATCGTAAAGGTAGATCGCACTGCGCGGCACTAATCGCACCCAGCGCTCCACTGACGCCGCCTCGACACGCTCCACCACTTCCGACGCGGACACCCCGCTTGCTGGCACGGCGGAAGGGCAAGGAAAGAAAGAGGCGACATCCTCCGCGTCCTCGCCAGTGTAGCTGTTCAGCCCTTCCAGCAAAGATGGGTCCGCTACGGCCCAGACAACGGAGAGGTGCGAAGGAATCGCCGTTGCCTCGACACGGTGAAGGTAGGAGCGCAGAACCGGCCGAAGCGTGCACCACACCGCGCGTGTTACAAGCGCAGCGGCCTGACTCGCACGCGCACGACGCCGCTCCCGCTCTGTTAGTGCATTGCCAGTCTCACTGCCCGCAGCGTCCAACTCCGCGCTGCTCCGCGCTGCAAGGGCGGCGACCACCTCCTCTTCGTGGGCGAGGTGATAAAGAAAGAAGACGGGGAACGATGGCGAAGGGAAGACGGGGGAGGAAGGACTGTCTTTCGGCGCTGCGGCGCTTGTGGGCACACTGACGACCTCACAAGGTGGTAGATAACCGTTGATATATGCTTGACAGAAACGGTTCTCTGCGTCCGTCAAGATTTGCTGACCGGTGCTCGGCGCTGAGTCGCGCCGTGAGGAGTTGGATGACGTACTGCGGCGATTGGCCCCATTACCAGCGCTGCCACGGCCCCGGCTAGAGGTTTGTGAGCCGGGCTTTGCTGACGATGTCCTGTTCGTAGTGGTGGTTGTGGCGGCAGCGGGTGCCACGGCAGCGGTAGCGGGGACACCTAGCTGGTCGCTCAGCAACGACAAGATCGACAGCTTCGGCTGTGCGTCATCACCAGGTGAACTGACGTCTTTCAGCGCAAATTTCTCTATCCCCGCGTCACCCAGCATCGGCGTTAGTTCAGCCCAGGAAATGGCACCGTCCCGTACTGCTTTGGCCAGCTGCACATAATGGGCCTGTAAGGCGATGCTGACGCACTCGTCCTCGGTGGACTGCTGCAATGCGGACGAGGTAGGGGAGAGTGAAGGGTGGAAACGTTTGTGCAACACCAATCGCAGCACTCGTGCGACGCTGTCCAGCTGCTCGGCCGAGGTGCGGCACGCGTACGTCTCTCTCTCTTTGCCAGCTGTTTTGGGTGCTGCCACGGCAGCCTTTGCGTTTGCTGCCTCCCTCTTGTGCCCACCAGACACACCACTTGTAGATGCGGCTTCGTCAGCATCTGTGACGCCCAAGTAGTGACTTGTGAGAAGGCTAAGATGAAGTGTTGTCGTTGCCGCCGACGACGTCAGTGCTGACGACGCGCGAAGCTGTGCCTGTTCGACAGGCATGGAAACAGCTCTAATTTGTTGGTTTACAGAAAAATAAAATGGAATTGGCTAACTTACATGGGAGTGTTGTGGTGGAAAAAAAAAGCGTGGTTGTGTGTCTACAGGTACTTCAAAAGTGGTTTTGACTGGAGTATTGAGGATCATTCAAAAATTATCTTTGTGTCAGTCAGCAACCAGAAAGGTAAAGAGGAGCGTTGTGCCGTTCAGTAGTGACACCACTTGGGACACACCGCAAGGTTGGCGAAGCACAAAACACACCACAACTGTTGCTCCATAAGAATAAAGAAGAGACAAAGAGAGAGCCGTGAGGAGTTAGCGCGATAAAAACGACAGCTCAGCAGGTGGACCCACAACGTGATGCAAGTTTCCAGTTCTTCTTGACACAGACGCCACAACAGCAGGACAATGGTCTTGCCTGTAGAAGAGGACAAGAAAAACAAGACAGTCATGCTTGGAGATAACAGAAGTCTCACTGAGCTCCTGCAAAATGATGCGTCTTTGCTCTCATCTTGCCGCGCAAAAACAGATGACGTACAATGTTGTATGTTGGTTGTTTCTTGCCTAAATGATAAAAGAAAAAAAATTCATAGTGTAACGAACAGGCCATTGCTGGTGCCAGCCCACGTAGTAGTAAGTCGAAAGAAAAACAGTACTTGGAGGGCACCTGCGCAAGCGAGCAGGCGTTCCCAGGCAACCCCCTTAAGCCACCATAGCGCGCTTCGTGTTCTTCTTGACGAAGATGGCACGGTCCTTGCGGGCGGCCTTGACGCGGCGCTGCAGCAGCGGGAAGGAGAGGTTCGGCACGTGGTACTGCGAGATGTTCAGGTGCTTCACCTCGTGGTCCGGGATGCTCTTCACCTCCAGCACCTCGATGTTGTGGTAGCGAGCACGGTGGCGGGAAGCCAGGTCGTGGTAGGCCTGGCTCACGGCACCGCTCTTGGACACGTCGCGGAACTCCTTCACCATGCGCGTGTAACCGCAGCGCTGGCTGTAGTAGGCGATGTCGACGACGTAGTTGCGCGCCGCCAGCTTCGCGTCCTTCACGACCTTGCAGGACAGCACGTCACCGTGGGTGGCCTTGACCTTGTTCTTGATCTTCATCATGCGCCAGAAGCGGCTCTTGGCGACCACGAAGTTCGGGGCGAACACCTCAAACTTGTACACGGTCGGCTCAGGCGTCTTCTCGGACGGCGACTCGCGACCGACCACCTGGTAGTGGTGGAGATGCGGCTTGACCATTGTTTCCTCTTCGGTTCACTAAATTGATTGCGATGTTGCAGACCCAACGAGGGGAAGAAAAGAAGAAAAGAGTAGTAGAAGGAGAAGGACCGCGATTCCATTTAGAGGAGAGACATATACACGCCCACACAATGATTACTGCCATACGAGCGTTTCTTTATTCATTGCGCACATGGTCGTCCATAGTGTCTGCAAGAGCGATGAGCTTTTGCGAGAACCGCGTATCGTCAGCCTCAGCGCTTGTAACATAGTAGCATACCTATATATATATTTGGATTTGAAAACGACTGATCAGGCACATAGCAGACGAAAAGAAAGAAAGAGAGTAAGAAACATGAAGCAGAATTCTCCTGCAACCGAAATCGAACGGAAATGCGGCGAGACGGTCGCGACGGCATAACACACGACAATCTGTTTACGGCCTTTCCTCTACTGCCGTAGTGAAAAGGGCATCCTGCTCCTCAAACAAAAGTTGCAGCACCAGGTCCATGCACGCCACAAAATTATCACGCCGCTGACAACTTTCTTGTGGGGAAAGACGATTTATCTCCTTGCAACCGGCTTCCGATGACATAGGCAGAGAGCCCGTCGGGGTGCTTTTGCGACCATCAACAGTGACTTCGTTGCTGATATGCGGTGTACCTGTTAAAGAGCGTTGCTGAGGTGTTTCCAACGAAGTCTCTTGACAAGCTTTCACTTGCTCGTTGTCTGACAGGTCGTTGGAGGTTGAAGACCACAGTTGCGCCCGATCTACGCACCGCTGATGACGCGTAATGGCGGCGGCACACCTCACGGTCAGAGTTGACAAGAATGACGGCACTGCCACCATTGACAGCGACTGCTCCGTCATTTCGTTAGGCGACGCAACTTCCCCGTTTCTGTTCTGAGGCAGGTGAAAAAGTCGGTTCGCTGGTGGCAAACACCATTGTAGGACATTCGAGACAGAGGAAGCAACCAGGCGACGCTCCGCGAGCATCTCACGAGGCAGAGTTGCCTGCGTGGGCTGGGCCGCTGTTTCGGACACAAAACTGTCCCACCATCTTCGCAACAGCGCAGCGACAGTTTCGACATTCTTCAATATAGCGGCATGCACGGCAGATACATGCTGGCTGCACCACAGCGCGAGGGAGGTGACAATTCCGTGAAGGAGCAGCTCCACGGCGGCTTCTCTGACTTGACCCGCCACTGCAGACCCCACCGTTGCCGTTGTCTCTAGTACATCCATGAGAGCGGTGCACTCGCCGCGGCACGCGGAACGCAGTACGCCGTACCACGTTGCGAAGGCATCGTCATCGACTTTTCCCGCTAATGGTAGGTGTTGAGGAAGGGAAGGCGCGCTCGATGTGTCCATCACCGGGCCAGTCTCATCATCTGAAGAGCAACTTAACACGTAGGCGCAGTGAGTCTTGCAAAGAAGACTGTTGCCCATCGGGACAGTGGTGGGCTGGAAAGGGTGGTCAACGCCGAACGCATTGTTGCTGAGAAAGGTGGAGGAGCTCAAAGACCGACGATGTCTACCAGGCGACTCATGTCGTTGAAACATACCGCGAAGCTGCGCAAGCCAGGCGCGACGGCGCTTGCGTGATGGGTTTGAGAAACGAAAGGAGCTTACAACTCTGTCGGTCGTGCCCCTCACACCCCTCGTACAGCCACCTACATTCAAAGCACCCATCACGGCATGCGCTTTGGTTTCGCCGCAGTCCACAAACGGTTCTGCTTCCACTTCTTCTGACTCCAATTCCACCGTCATCAACGGCTCGTTTTCACACCACAGCAAGTGATCGTCGCTGTAGAGGCAGTGCTGCGCGAATTCCTGCGGCGTGGCATAGTAGCGGCCGTGGTGAAGAGCGGGAAAGAGAACGGCAAAGGCTTCACGATCTGCCGTCGTCGTCGGTTTGTTCGCACTAAGCTTACCTGTATTAACATTCGCTACTAAAGCTGAATGTAAAGGCTCTTCACCCTCTGCTGCAGCAGCAGCAACATATTCAACGGATTCTGTCGCTTCATCATTGCTCTGACGCGTAAAGAGAAACTTCCATGTCGGTGCGTAAAGCAAAGTACCAAGCCGAAGACGTAACGCTCGACGACGAGTGCCACGCTTCTCAGACGGTGCTCCGTCTACTGCGACTGATGAGCTTGACGGTGGACGACTGACACCATAGCACGGATCGGAAGAAAGGGCTTTCTTTATTTCCAACACCAGCCACGCCGTCTTCGAAAAAACGGAGTACCCCACACGTTCATGTTCGCTGTCTCCTTTTGTGCTAAGGAGACTTGGGGGCAAAGGAAATAGGGAAAACGGAAGGTGAACGACGTCCAAGGGCCTTGCCAGAGGTGACGGCGAAACAGCCCACGAAGCAACCACCATCACGAACGGCTCAAGAGAAGCTTCTGCATCCGCCGCGTCGCGCAGTATGCGAAGCAGCGTGCATGAGTTGGTCAGCCGCAATGGTTGCAGTGCGCATTCTCCCGCAGCGGATAATAGTGGATTGTGTGGACTCCACACCTGTCTGAAGTTGAGGCGCATGCGCAACAGTACAAAACAAACTCCTTTCCTGCCGAATTATGTGTCAGATGCACCGGTGTTGTTTTTATTATTATTGCGTGTCACGAATGCATGAGACCCGACGGTGCAGAGCATAACTGGGTGCTGTGAAGATAAGAAATGCCTTTATGAACATTCATCAAAACGAAACGCGGTAGTACAACAACGGAAAGATAGAGAGAGAGAAAGAGCCCAATAAGAAGAAAAATAAGTTACTGATGTGTAGCGGTTTGGCTAAGGAGAGTCCAGGAAAATGAATAAACCTGGGAAACGCGTTTTTTTTTCCCATATGCATTCCTGTTTGCAAATAGTGGTAAAGTAAAACACGTTACGCCCGTTACAATCTCAAGAAAACAAGGGGTGCGAAGGCTTCTCCAAGATGACTGACATCACATCTAGAAATAAGAATCGCTGTTGTCTTTATCCCTGCGGCTCATTAATAAACGCTCTGCGCAACTAAAAAATAATAGCAATAGCAAACACGAACAACAACACAGAGTTAATCAAAAGCAAGGAAACACAAGACAATCTCAAATTTCGATGCATCTCACAAAGAGGAAAGAGAGCGAAAAAGATAAAGAGTAATCCCGTCTTTCCGCGTAGCTGTATAAAGTTAAAAGGAATGGAAAGCAACAAAGCAGAAGAGCAGACATTCCGGAAAGAATTCGCCGCTCTTGCCTCAAAAGAGAATCAAAAACAAAAAACGTTGCCTGTAAAGGCTGCCGTTCCCGAAAAATTCACCTGTATACGCGACACTAACGCCTGTGAAACATCCTTCTTCTCTTGCCGGCTCAGTGCGCAAAACGAGAGGTAATACGTGGAGCACCAACCGCAAAACACTTCAGATAAATACAAGCAACGAAACAAGAGTAAAAACAAAAATACACCTAAGAAAAAGACGGAAAGACTCAAAAGGAAAAAGAAGAGTGATGTTACGTAATGAAAGAAAAAAAAAGATTCAGATAAGCAAAGCATTCAGACAAACGCACCTCGTCTTTGTTGTCTTGCCATTTTTGCCCTGATTGGAAAAGAGGGCTTAGAATGAAGATTGGGGCAGTGATTTTTCGTATCACCCGGCAATAAATGAATAAAGAGAACTGGAAATGACACCAATATAATAAAAAACAGCGGAAAAAACCCCGTCGCGGCAGCTCCAGGTGTGTGTGTGTGTGTGTTCGTGTGTCAACGAAAAGAAGAGAAGAGACAGAAAAACCTTGGTAGCGGCGGGGAATCAACAACAAAAGGTGCCTATTTGCAGTTGTTGATTCCTTCTCACCGTTGAACCGTCTTGTGCATTTTCAGCCCTCCCGCCACTGTGCACGCGCTTCTTCCTCTCTCTTTCATATTTTCGTTACAGACCAAGCTGTGCCTCCAAACTATACGGGTCGGTGGTGTTGTTCGTCTCCTGTTGGCCACCCGCGTCCACCTTACCCCCGGGCAGATCGGGCAGCTTCGCACCCGGCATCGCCAGCGCATCCGACAGGTAATCCGCGTCGTTCTCCTTCTCCATATCAAAGTCGAGGGCATCCAACTCGCCTAGCATCTCATCCTCGTCGATGTCCTCCGGCACGTCGTAGCCGCGACCCATAATCTCCTGAATCTCCTGCGTGTCCATGTACAGGTCGGCAAGGTCGTCCTGCAGTGCATCCACTTTATCGATATTCAACTTCTTCATGTTCTTGCCCAACTCCTTCCTCGCCTGCTTCATCGCGTCCACCTGCACCTGCGTGTCCTTCATTGTCTCTGTGGTAAACTGCAGTTGGTCCACGTTGAACTGCTGCTGCATCATCATATCCTGTTGGCTCTGGTACATGCGTTTCTGCTGCAGCAGCTGCACGGCGCGTTGTTTGTAGCGGTTCTGCGCCATGCCGCGCGAGCGCTGGATCTGCTCCTTCACCTTCATCAGCTCCGCGTCGATCTTTGCCACGCGTGCGTCGACGACGTCCGAGCGGCCAGAAATGCGGTTGCTGGCGTCTTCGAGTGTCGGCTTCGGCGCCTTGTTGTCCTTTCCAAAAAGACGGTTCATTCTTTTCTTTGCTTTTGGAAGACTTGAAGGAGAAAGATACAAACAACAACAACAAAACAGAGGGAGGCGACGCAGCGCAAAGGAGTAAAAGCGACACCAATAAAAAAGGTGAAGAAAAAACTAGACGAGAGGGAAAAACTTCTGAAGTGTGGCACGCAAAAAAAAAAAACCCCGGTGTTGAAAAAAGGCCCCGAATTGGGTTTCGCTGGCGCGCGTTGGGGTTTGAATGCAAAAGGAAAATAGTTATTGGTGAAGGAAAGGCAAGGGAAGGAAAGAGGAGAATGAAAAAAGGTCTAGGCAGGGGAAGTTAACAACAGGGCGAATCGGAAAGAAGCAAAACTGGACTTCCAGTTGCGCGCTTGCGTTCGTCAGAAACAAAACAAAAATACTCAAGGAGGTACAGACGTTTTAGCAGCACCCCCAAATATATATGAATAAATGGCGTGAGCTGCCGCGAACAGCAAAGCCACACTTGCAGAATTACAGAGGAGACATAATTTGCTTTTTTTGATAGTGTATTACTCGTATCGCTATGAGCAATTCGCAACATTGAAAGGGAAAAAAGGTGCATGTACAGCAAATATATATTGATAATAAAGAGCATGCAAAGTAGGTGGTGGAGATAAGCGTGGTTTACATCATTCCAGGGGTGAATGAAAAAAAAAAAGACCGAGAGGAAAACATCATGTGGGAGATGCAAATAATAATATTAATAAAAGCTGCAAAGAGCTGCACCTCCAAAGCACACAAACAAAACAATCAGGGGAAATACTCCAAGGGGGCAAGAGGAATAGCGCTCTCTCTTTCACATTTTTCCACCACCGCCACGATGCAAGAAAATATCATGACGTGTGGTGACATTGGGGAGCGGCACCGTTGCCATCCGCCGAGCGTCTGGCCCGCTGTTTGCGTGCCGAACTCTGCTGTGGTTCGCCACACCGCGTAGGGGCCGCGACGAAGGAAAAGTAACGGCCCCATTCGCCATGACAGACACACGCGCCTGGACGTGCTTCGAGACAGAGAGCTCGTTCGTCTGCACAGGCGTTGCTGTTGTTTCCGAGGATGCGACAGGAGACTCACGCGCATCTTCAGCAAGATCGTCGTCGTCTAAGTCGTTGCTTTCGGCCGCATTGTCGCTCAGGCCGTCCGTTAACGCGCTCTTTGAAACCACCTCTGTTACGTCGGTCTCTACAGTCGCGTGGGGGATGTCGTCAACTGTTTCTTCTGCTGCTATCGTCGCTCGTTGCAGGCGTCTCTGCGTGGCGCGCTGCTGCACCGACTGCCGCATTGTCGCCTTCATCGCCGCCATCTCACTTCGCAGCGTGGAGCGTGTGGGCAGACCAGGGTGCACGGCGGCGTCGATAGCAGCCGTCGGCGAAACGCGAAGGAGGTCTGGCAGGGCGTTTGACTTCGGCAGCGCCCAGAGCGAACCGTCGCGTCGGAGAGATTGCGAGTTCGTTGTGTGCGGCGCCAGGATGCAGGGAAGCGCGAGTCCCTTTGTTAACTCAGCACGCTTGGCGACTGCGGTGGCATCGCCGTCGCTCAGTGCCAGCGGCAACGGCGCTCTCTGACCTTTCCACCAACTTGGCGCCGCGCTGCCGCAATTCGGGCTCACTACGCCACTCGTCGGTGCGGTGCCGCTCCACCCCAAAAGCGTCCGCATCACCCGAGGTGTATTCCACAGACGCGCGTTTTCCTTCGCGACCTCGCGCCTGCGCTGCCGCATGGCGTACCACGACAGCTGCGACGACGAAAGACTGCTGCTGCGTTCGTTGCGGCTCGCCTGCGGGGCATTCGTTTTGATTCGGGCAAGCGCAGGGGTGAGATAGGCGTCCGCCACAATGGGGTGCGCCGGCTGGGGGACATTCGTGCTTTTGAAAGACTTCGGTTGGGTACAATTACTTTTCTTTTGGATGCTCTCCGTGGTGCGACGCTCACCAGCTGCCGGGTATGGCGAGTCGTCCTCCTCGTCGAGGATAGCGTCGCTGTTGTCCTTCGCCACCACGACACCACGGCTGATCGACTCACGGGTCAGCTTGCGGTTCGCCTTCCCGGCCCACTTGGCCTCCGAGAGGGCCGCTGCATTGCCGCCGCTGCCCCTGCCGCTCGACGCGCCGGTGGGGCCCTCCGAGAGAGAAAACCTTGGTGCTGTCACGATAGTTTCGCGGGCCGCACTGCTGCTGCTGCTGTCCCGGTGGCCGCGCGCGGGGTGCTGTGTGACAGCCGGACAAGCGAGCGGGCTCTCCTCGTCATCATGTTTTACATTAGTAAAGGAGCTATGTGCGCTAACGGGTTTACTGCGAACGAGTGGGGCGGAATTGCCGAACATCACGCGGTACCCCTGACTCGGCGCGGATACGCTTTTGGTTCTGTCTGCGGCAGATACTTCCTTCGTGGATCTCTTCTGGTGGCCTTTCTCGTCAAACAGCACACGGCGCGTGGTCGGTGCGGGTGGGCTTCGCTGCGGCTGCGGCAGGATGGGGGGCACGTCATTTAACCCAGGCGTGAAGGCATTCTCACCCACGGAGAATGGGCCGGGTACAGGGGGGGAGATCGATGTGAGCGCGCCTGTCCACGGAAGTGCTGTGGAGTTTGCTAGTGCAGGCATGCGTGCTAGCGTGGTGATGGTGGCGACAGCGGAGAAGAGCTCCACTGCTGGCCGGGTGACGGCGGAAGCAGCGGCAGTGTTAACGTCGCCCTTGGAGACGGATTTCTCAACAGTTAACGGGGGTGGTGTTGAAGGCGACAAGTGCTGAACGCGGTGGGCGGTGGAGCCCTGCACCACTGCACGCACGGCGCCGCGCAGAGACTCGCGCACCATGGAAAACGGCCTCGCACGGCTGACCTGCGCAGCTAGTCGCTGCGAAAGTCCCTTCAATCGCGGATCAACACCACAGCAGCGGTCCGCGAAGGCAAAGACCAGCGAGGCTGTCGGCAAGGAGTCGCTGACAAGGCTGCTGCTGATGCTACAGTGATCCGTCGAGTGATACGGCGCTGCAGGTGGCGGCGCAGCAAGGAGAGAAACGCACCACTTCTCCACCGTCGTCTCGGCCAGCCGTGACGTGCTGCCCGTTGCCGACAACACGGAATGGGCGTCGGCGACGAGAATATTCCACGCGTGGTCGAGTAGGGCCTCTTCCTTTTCATTCTCGCCTGCTACACGGCCATCGGTGGCAGCAGGCTGCATGTAGAGCGACGTGAATGCGGACACCAGCTCAGGATACCGGTCGAAGAGACCGCGACGCACGTAGCATTGTTGCAACTTCGCATAAGCGCCCCGCGTAGCCCTCGGAAGTCCAGTAAGACTCGGGTTTATTGAGTAGCTTGTACGTTGGTCGAACAGTCTTTTGCCCGTCTGCACACAGCCAAACATGCTCGACGGCAACATGGGTAACGTCCACACCACAACCGACTTATCCTCTCCCGTGGTGAAGAGGAGCTGGTCCTCGCCCGTGTGCGGCTCCGCTTCGCCGAAGCAGACGCCCGATACCGTCTCCGTGTGCGCCTGCCACCGGTCAACCATGAAAGCACCTTCCACTACATCCAGCGAAGGTACAGACGATGGCGCCGCAGCAGCAGAAACAGAGACGACAGCACGCCCCTGCGCGGAAGCTATCACTCCAGTCAAGTCCAGTACCGTCACCACACCGGTTTGGTCACCCACCGCGACGAGCCAGCGAGCGGCGCCGGCGGCGCAGCGCTGCGCGGCGAGGGCGGTGATCGGCTCCTGCGAGAGCGACACGTGGAAGCGCCACAGCTCCGTTCGATCTTGCACGTCCCACAACTGCACCACGCCCACGTTGCTTCCAGAGAGAATTAAACACGGAGGCGGCTCCATTTGTTCCCCTTCTTGCTCTTCCGCGGCACATGCGATGTGGACGAGACGCGAGAGATAGCCTTCGAGCGATGCCGTCGGGGATGCCACGTCGACGGTGAGATCGACCGTTGCGGCGGCGTCGCCACCCACAGCGTTACCTTTGCCCTGCACGGCGTTGCCTTCACCGTCGTCGCGGTATGTCAGTGGCCCCGGAAACACAGCCGTGGCGCAGCGCGTGGCGCAAGAAGGGGCCGCGCTGCTTTTGGGCGGGCGCCGCGTACCCACCGGGGCTGGGGAAAGAAGGGAGCACGGCGTGGTCGATGAGGTCGAGCTGAGCAAGGAGGTCACGTAGAGCACCCGGCGACCACCTAAGACGAGCAATCGGTTTTTTGGCACGGCTAACACACTCACCACTTCGTCGGCCATCTCGTGTGTGGACGCTTCACCGGGCCGACCTTTTCTCTGCAAAAGACGTACTTCTCGCGAAGGAAAGAGCTGGTCGCCAGCACCGCCATCTGCGGACGCCACGTCGACGCCGATGTCACCTAACGTGTACATCAGCACACTCCCTTGTCCGCGATCGTTGTCGTGCGCACCGTGTACTTTCCCACGCGGACACACTGCGCAGACGTACGCCGTGGGCGCAGATGTGGTGCTCTCGACGTGCGCGGCATTGTGCCTCGCAGCGGTAGAAACCGCCGCGAGATCTGTGACGTTACGTCGGGTGCCATCGATGTCATCACTTTTCATTCGCAGCACAAGCTGGCGCAGCGGCAAAGGCTCTCGCAGCTGCCCACTCTCTACGGCCGCTGCGGACGCTGAGGCCAGGAAAGGGTTCTCAGCCAAGCAATCGTACTGCACCAGCAGCGGCTGCTCCTTTAATGCGATGAGCAACGACGGGAGCCTAGCGCCGGCTTTGTCCGTCCGGTCGCCGTCGCAGAGAGTGATGGAGCGAATGCCGGGCGGGATTCTCCACACCCGCAGCACATGTACTGATGCTTGTCTGTCTTCCTTCTGCGGCGTCGTCGCCGCAGATGCCGCGGTGTTGTTTTGTGCGTCACAGTCAGAAATGCTGCCGAGGCGCCACAGCAAAACATGATGTGCGTCCGCGGAGATGACGCACTTGAGCGCCGCAGACCACATCGCAAATATAATCGGTTCCAAGTGTCCATCCACGGCGTTCGACTCGGATATCGTTGAGAGATACCATGGCAGTAGAGAGAGACCGCCCAGAATCAACCGATCGGCTCCATTGACGTTGTCGTAGCGGAGAAGCCGCACGTTGCGCCGCATCCGGGCATCACCGCAAGGAGACGTCTCTGCTTGTATGAGAAGAAGCTTGGCGTTGAGGGCGTCGAAGACGCGCACGAACTGCTCCGAGTCCAGCACGAGTAGGAGCATGTCTTTGTCTGCGTCGCTGGAGGTTCCCTCACCGGTCCCGCCCTCGTCCGCACCCACACCGCCGCGGCGGCAGCACCGACGGTGGAAGAAGCTCACGTCGAGGGGAAAGCCCCCGTGCACGTTGGGCGGTCCAACCCCCGCTGCCGCCACGGCCGCGTCGACCACGTTGCAAGAGGTGTCACGCAAGGAGAGGACGCGCACGGGGGTAGATGGACTGCCCGCCATCAGACTCCACCAGCACAGCGTGTGATCGGCGCTGCCGGTGATGAGCAGCTGGTGGGCGGCGTCCATGCAGCAGCACGTGATACGGCGGCTATGCCCTTGGTTGACGCCGACATTACCGGGGTGCTGTGCGGGCGACAGAGAGGAAAAAACAGGAGAGGAGGCAAGTGCATGGGGCGCAGGTACCACGCAGGTGCCGAGCTGGCGCAGTGGTGCCTGGAGAGCTGTCAGGCGCCGCAGCTGAGTCGTGCCGTCCTCACTCACGGACACGACGAGATCCTTGACGGGCAGCACTTCGATTCGCACGACCGCGGCAGTGTGCGCCTTTGCGGACACAATAGGAACGCGAAGACTCGGCGGCTCGAGGCGCGTTTCACAGTGCAGGTGCAACTGAAACCACCGCCGCGGCAACACATACACCTGCAGGAGACCTTCGGGGAAACCGAGGAGGAGGTACACGTCCTGCGCGGACTGCGGCGCAGCTTCACCAGTGGTAGAGGAACTGGGGCCCCGACGCGTGTCCGGTGCGACGACGAGCGCCACGGAAGACGCAAACCACTGCCGCGGTGACACCGCGGTCGAGGCCGCCGCTCTGTCCGGTCCCGTCGTCGCGAGCGTCCCAAACGCCGCGAGCACGTCCGCCACCGTCTCCTCGTGCGGGGTCAGATGCGCATACGTCGGTGCTACAGCGTTCAGGCCGTGAAAGAAGCCGTTTGACGGCCCAGTAAACACGTCGCGAACCTCGTCGCGGTAGGCATGGATGGCGTAGATGGGACGCCGCACGATGGCCAAGTCGGACATGGGGGCAATGCGGCGACTCATCGCATCTGCGGGGTAACAGCGCGGCTGCTCAAGGGGGCGGCATGATGCTCGGTCGCCCACCAGCTCCTCCGCTTCAGCCTCCAGCAAGCTCGCGTTTCGTGCATGTACGGCGGGCACCTGATACGACTCCACTGACTCTCCTCGCGCTCCGCGAAGCGTGCGCACGATCTCGCCGGTGTTGGTGCGGCACAACGTCAGTGTGCCGTCGGTGGAGGCAACCACAGCCACCTCGGAGTTTCCTGCATCTTTGTCTGTCACACACAACCCCGTTACAGGGCCGTTCAGTGTCAGGATGTGACGCTCCGGCAGCAGCCACGGCCGCGCGGCACCGCTCACGGACGGCTTTTTGAAAAGCGCAGCGGCCGACCGCGAGTGCGACGGTTCTGATTTCCAGATTTTGACTTCCCCATCTTCTCCGCCGGTCAAATAGCGGCACGCAACAGCGCACCACACAAGGTGAGTAATGACGTCATGGTGGTAGAGGAGGGAGAGCGCGGGGTGCTGTCGACTCCACTCGTCACGATAGGTAGGGGCGTCCTCTAGCTTCCAAGGTGACGGGCCCACTTCTAATTGTGGTGTGCGCGCGGGGAGAGACATTCACTGAGTTGGACGCGTATTTCTTTTTTGTTTTTTTAAAGCTTGTTTCTTCGCAACAACAATTATAGCAAGTTGTGGAGCCGGAAGATGGCGGGGAAACACACAAAACGGTCAAGTTTTAGTGAAGGACGAAGCACAGAGAGGAGCATATTAAAAACGCAGAGAGGAACAGACGGAGACAGACATCCCCCTACTCTCTTTTGCATTTCCGTTGGAGGACTTGACTGTGAAAGGAAGAGCCGCTCTCAAGAGAGGTTTGAAACGAAGCCAATGACATGACACACCTCTTTTAAAAAAGAAGAAAGCAAAAAGAGAAACAACAAAAGCGCGAGCTTTAGAAAAAAAAAAACTGAGAGGGTGATACAAACCTTGAGTTCGTGGCAGTACACAAACGCACCGCCAACAGGTTTCCATTTTTTTTTTTACTGTCGTTGTTTCCTTGCGAAGGAGCGCAGACGAAACGAAGTGAAGAGGAGAAAAAATCCTTCTAACCACATACTTTTCTTTGAGTGTATGAGTTCAAATTTAGGTTACGCGCAGTTTCCGTGTCAGTGTTGAGCAAGGCAGAAACAACCATCCGAACAGCAGAAAGATTTCTTTTTTGATACAGAGTCGTGAACAGCACTGAGGAAATGCCTATATAAAAGCGTGGGCAAGAAGAGCAGTTTAATGCTCTCCAAGAAGCAACGCAACAAACTTTTTAGCTTTGACGACGCTCTCTGTTCGAGTGGCGGACATGAACAACGTGCAATTCTGCCCTCCCACTCGTTGAGAGTGCGTGCGCTCCACACTTGAATCGTTTTCGTCGTAACACGCGTAATATGTGAGGTTTCTATCGAGCATGCGCACACACACGTATACAGAAGCAGAATTCATCTTTCCTTTCCGTGTACTTTTCCAGCTTCTCCCTTTCTTCCTTCAAGCTTACACCGTAATACGTTCTAGCACCTTGTAAAGGCGCTCGGAGTAGCCCTCTGGCGGTATCACGCTGATGGCTCGTCGATCGTTTACAAAGCCTTTTGCGAAGCTTTCAAGCTTCTTGGCGGAGTTGTAGGTTTGGAGCACGTCGATGATGCCGAGATAATACACGTCCTCACGGGCCGTGGTATCGTCACCGGGGGCATAGATAGGCAGCGACAGGAGTCCGCCGTCGCAGCCGTGGATGCAGACGTAGACGTCGTCTTCTGACGCCGGTCGACCATCCGATAACGGCGCGAGCTGGCCGGCGCCGGCGACGCTGACAGTCTGTGCCCCGGCATCTGCAGCTGCGCTGGTCACGTTGGTGATCTCGCTGTTCGTGTGCCGGTGGTTCCCCAGCGGCCGCGGAACATCACCGCCGCCGAGAGGATCGACGTACGGCTCATCGTTGTCGTGGTGCTGGTGACGCTGCAAAACGATCGTCTTGGACGGACCGTCCTCCCTTGAAAAAAGCCGACTGCGCACGCCAATCATGCAGCTGTAGTCCACGACACTCAGTTGACGCAGAAAGCCCACGTCTGAGCGGAACTGCGCTAGCAGAATGGCTCGCTGGTAGGCGCCGCAGATAATCAGCTGAGGCGGGAGATCGTTATCTTTCAGCAGAAGAGCACCGAAGGCGGTGCGCGGTGGTGGCTTTCCCGGCTGCAATGCTGTTCGGTTCACTGTACTTCCCTTCACGTCGTAAATGCGATGGATGTAGTACGGAGTTGCCAAGACGTTGTGCATCAACACGAAATGCTGGACCACGCCGGCTTTCCACCACCGGACCGTGATTGACGCGTAGAAGCGCGGAAGCAGCGTATGCGGGTTGCGCTCACAGTAGCGCACGTAGGCAGGGAGAAATTTGCGCGTGAAGAATTCCATTTCATTCGGGCGAACCGTCTTCATCACGTAGTCGCCAAAGTAGAGCAGAGTGGTGCCACTTTTGCCTGGTGAAACGCTGATACGCCACGCCGTCGCCTCCTCCGCTCCGGCTGCAGCGCCGGCACGCACGCGTCGCTGCTGCTGCTGCGATGTGAGACAATGTCGTGGCTCGTCTGCGGTAGAACTGTTGTTTACGCCGTCAATGATCGTTTCGCCACGCAGGCCGGTGTATAAGAAGGCACGGCGAAAGCGGTCGACGTCGAGGCGGAGAAAGTCGCGTATTTGATTGAATATGACTGGCGCGTGCATCTCCACCTGCACCTCGTCGAGACGACTGAAGTGCTTTTTCGGGATGTGCACCTTTCCATCCCCGCCCGCGGCCGCCATCACAAAGGCTCTACTTGGCTTCGAGGACGACGGGCTTGACGGCGGTGCCCCTTTGCGCGCCGTCGCGCCAAAAGATTGCCCAGACTCTGCGGAGCTGTAGGGTGGTCCTTGCAGAAAATCGTCACGCTGCTTGCTGCTGCCCTTATTATCATTACGCTTCTTCTCTCTTTTTGCACTGCTGGGGGGCAACTCCGCGGAGATGCGAGCAAGCAGCAGGCGTGCAAAAGGGTCGAGGGTTTCGTCGTCTGTGCCGATGGCGGAGGGATCACTGCAGTCGCTGTCGTCGTCGCCGCCGTTCTCGGCGACGCCGTAGGCTTCGGAGCCACCGCCGCGCTCGATCGAGCCTCGGCTGGCGTGACCGGCGAAGCACCGCCGCAGTTCGCTATCCTTGTTCTCTGAATTGAAGGGCGGCACAGTTTCCTCGGCTGCCTGATGGGAGGTGAGGCGCTGCGGTGCGTCGTGCATGCACCGATAGGAGAGCACCAGTGACTCCTCGATGGCCCGCCGCAGCGCCGTGTCGCTGACGCCTTCCTGGTAGAGGAACTGTGGCGCCACAGCCGATGTGGGCGTCACGCCGGCGAGCTGAGGGCTGCGCAATGTCTGCGGCGTCGGCGTCCCGCTGCTCCCTCGCTCCTCCTCTCTTCTGTCTTGCGCCGAGCTTGGCCTCGACAGGGAAGCGGACGGCGTCACCGGGGAGAAACAGGAAGGTGTCTGCGCGTGGGTGGCGCTATCATCACTTACGTGTCGTGACTGAATGGTGTCGAGTAGGGCAGCCTCCAGAACTTTACAGAGATACCAGCTGTTATTCCTCACCGCATCACTTACGACGCGCCCGATTTGGTTAGGATTCTGGGTCGGACCAGCCGAGGGAGAACTGGTGCTCCCGGCCAATTCCCCCGCGCGCACCGCACGATGACTGATGGCTGCCCCAGCCCCCCCTGTGTTGGCTGTATCCCCCGGCAGCGCTTCGCTCTCAAGACCCCCATTGTTCGCAATGACGCTGCTGCTGCGGCTACTGTTGTTTGTGTTCGATGGCAGTCCGTCCTCATGAACACCGGTTGCATGTCGGGGAACGCTACCAAAAGGCGTTGTGTCTGATACGGAATCCTCTGCGGCGCCGCTTTCGTAGCTGCGACCAAGCGTCTGTTTAAGTCGGAGCCGCCGCTGCGCTTTGCGATCTTGAAAGCGCTGCAACATTGCTTGCGCAGACGAGTCGTCTTCAACGGTGGACTTGTCGTCTCCAAAAGGGACGGGGGGCACCGCAGATGGGGTATTCGTCACCTTCGCAGCGGACACCTTCAGAACGCTGAATGGTGCTGCGGGGAGTGGCTTTGCCAGGGCGACGGGGGCACTCAGGGGCATTTCTTCTTCCCGTGAGGCCGCTACGCTACCTTGTACTCGTTGTTGCTGCAGTTGTGCGTCGGTGACGTCGTTGAGCAGCTGGTCCATACTCGGCAGCAGTGCTCGTGCGGAGGTAGCGCGCTGCTTCCGCTCCTCCTGCCGCTGCAGCGTGCGTGCCCGAACGGCAGTGGCCTCATCATCACTGTTGAAACCGCCAGAACGGGAAGCCGGCCCCTCTATATCAGCATCTGCGATCGCGGCGGTCGAGGCGTGCTGCGGTGCCTCGGCGTTCTCAGCCGTCGATGGCTGCGTGTCGTCGCTGCTGCAGAACAAACCGACAGTCGCGACTTGGCGGAGAAGACTGCGTTGCTGCTCGCGCAGTTTTAGCAGTTGAACGCGAAGAATGTGGTTCTCTCTCTGCAGTCGACGCAGGGGTGCGTCTTGCGCACTGGGCCCGCTGGTAGCCTTGTGACCTTCGGGAGGGCAATCGGCTGACGACCTTATCTCAAAAGTGCCCTTCTGTTTTTGCTGTGCATCATCCATGATGAGCAATCCTTGCGTGTCGCTCTTCCTCTCTTTGCGCGCCTTAGGGTGTTCTTCAGGAGGCCTGCGCGCACCGAATGAACTCCCAACGACGGTAAAATGCAACGTAGATTGCTGTGAGTTGTGCGAAAGACGGAAAGAAAGGAGCCAGCACCGGTTGCCGTAGACAGCAGCCCGTTTCTCACCCGTGCTTACATTTGTTGCACATAATAAAAAGATGATTAAATGATAATGAAAGAGGAAGCCAGAAAAAAAAAGATGAAAGTAGATGAAAGTAGATGCAAACGGCCGAGGAGCGAGCGGCTAAGCTCACCGACTTGTCAGTGAGACGTTGGAAAAGTTTGCAGGACCTTCATTAAGTTGATACACTGTCCCTTTTCCCACTCTTGAGGAGCCGAGGAAGAGAATCGAAGCAATGGCCAAAGGCAACGAGGCCGCAGACACTGGAAGCGCAGTTGTAGTAACACATCGCTGTCCTGCGAAAAGAGAGGGGGCGTATGTACCAACACTCGCATCCCTTTCTCCTCGCAGTAGTTCATTTTAAATCATATTGGTGTTGTTTGAATTTACTACAAAGCTTTAAGAAAGGAAGAAAACATTAAAAAACAGGAACATAAACAAAAACAATGTCAATCAACACCGTTAGCGCTGTTGGTCGAAGCTCCAACGCACAGTGAAAAGGGAGAACTTCTTTTTCCCATTGCTGTTGAGAGTAAAAATATGTACGTATATATAGATATATATCTAGTCAAAGTCTTGTTTTTCTTACTCCTCGACACTTTTCGTATCAATGAATCCGCAATTTAACACTTTTTGTGCTAAAGTTGAAACATCCAGCTGGTCACAGAAGAAAAGAGAGAGAAACCCTAACGCGTTGTTGATATATTTTTTCACACCCTCAAATAAAAGTCATGCTTGAAGTGCATCAAACCAAGAAGCACACACACACACACACCGTCGTGCCATTATCACCTCGGTAGCTTTGAGTGCCAAAACACGAACTTTCCTAGAAGAAAGGACGTCGTCATCACTTTACTGCGGAAGGCCACACTTGTACTGGTAAAGGGATACGTCCTCTTAGGGGGAAGATGGAGAAGAGGGGTAACTAGAGCTTTCTGTTTTTGTGAAAGAAGACATCACACAACACCGTAATTTGAGGCGTTAGAAGAAAAACCCAAGAGAAAAAGAAGAACAGCAAAAGAAAAAGTCACTGAATTTGGCCTTTGACGCGAGAATGAAATATATAAAGAACCTTATTTGCACAGACAAGCTTGCGAAATGATGTTAAGTGCCTTTCGTTCAGAATGTCCTTTTCATTTCTTCTGCAGCAGGGTGAATTCTCTAGGTATACGCCTCTGCCGTCTTTCCGTTGAACGGAACTGACACGAACAACGGAGTTTTGCATTGCAAAGTGATTGTCGACAGCGCGCTTCATACCTAAGAAAGGAAAAAAGGCCATCGATGCACCCACTCCGGCACATACATTTTCCTTCTGCTGCCTTTTCGAACGCTCATAGTGTAAGAAAGAATCGTAAAGCCGGAAAAAAAAAGAACGGCGCGAAAAGGGAGAGGGGAGTTATTTGCAAGAAAACTTAAAAAGAGTGGTTATTAAATCTAGGTAAAAAGAAAAAATCTAGTCGACTACTCTCAGACCAGGAAGGAAGGAAGGAGAAAGGAGAAAGGAGAAAGATCAATAAAGTGTAAAACAGTGTCGTTACATCCCTGTATCGTTTTCATTTTCCTTAAAGGGTAGACGGCGTTATTTTCTTTTTATATTTATTTTTGAACCAATGAGAACTTTACGAAAGGGAGTTTCTTGCAGACTCAGATCGTCTGCATTTCCACCTCGTGGGGTTGGAAAAGGGGCGGGACGGTTGGAAAAAAGAAAACAGCCTTTCCTGGAGAGAGGTCGACTGGAGAGGAGAGAAGGAGAAAGGGAAAGTAGTACAACATGAAGCTTTCGACTCATCTCCCGGCGATTTTTTCCTGGCGCAAGCTCTCAGAAAACCTGCCAAACCAACAACAGAAAGATGAAAAGCAAATAAAAAATGTGGAAAGGCTTCAATGATCTTTAAAGCAGGGTAAAAAGGGAGCAAATCGTACAGAAACAGAAAGACGAAATAAACGGAGCAAGAACTCTCTCAGCGGAAGTATGAGCAACAATTGAGAATCTGATTTGTTGTAAAAGGTGAGGGAAAAAAAAGACATTTCGACGCAATACGGAAATGTGAGCGTCTACGGTAAGCTCAACCGGCAGAGAAAGGTGTGCGCGAAGTTTGTCTTTCAAGCATGTTGTGAGAACTCCCGCTTTCAACAGTCTACCTGTGCATGCATGAAAGCAAACAACACCTCCTCCAACGTTGATGCACAGCGCGTGTGGCCGAAACAAGGAGAGATCGATAAGAAGAAAAGAGAAAGTCAGTGAGGATTCCGCTTTTCTTGCCTTCACACTGATTGACTTCACAAAAGAGAGCAATGAGCTTTGCCATTAACAGGAGAAAATACTAAATAATAACAGAAAGAAAAGCAATCATGCACACTTTATCCGGTGCCCACAATGACCCCCCAAAAAGACACTTTCCTCAATGACTCCTACGAACCGCTAGTGAAACAAAGAAAGAAAGGGGAAAGGGAGAGAAAAAAAGAGAGGAAAAGGCGTCTCTCCAATGATGGTAGGAAACAACTTTGCCGTCAGATCACCACACGTACGCGGCGAAAAAAAAAACTCTCTGTGAAACAAAGTTTCATGCCGCGTCTGTCGTCGTCCTGCTTTCCTTCTCACACTCGATTCTTCACCGCAGCAGAGTCGTTAAAGCAAGAAGGCAGAGGAAATAAGAGTTTGTCCCTTTGTACTGTTATCAAGGGTAGGGAAACAAACAACCAAGAGCATCTCGTAGTAGAGTCAATGCTTCCTCACACGAGCAGCGGCACGGATGTGCACGTGCTAAGTTGCAGAAAACAACAGCAACAGCTACAACGCCTATAATCGCAGGACCAACGTTTTTTGCTTCGTCGCCTTATCATCATCGCCTCACTGCTTCAGCTCATTATACTAGTGTCAACGACACTTGTAATACGTGTGGCGTCCATGACACGACCGAGAGCGAACACGGTCAGTTATTAGCACAAGGACACAATGATGGCGGTCACTACAACGACAACAATACTACCGGCATTTCTGCTAAGATCCCACAGCTTGCTGGGTGCGGCCGCGCTGTTGCCGTCTAGATTCTGACAACGCAGACCGACATACTGAGCAGTGCCATCGGGATACACATTCGTGCAGCACGAGAATGCACCGCGAGAACCCAGCGAACCACTGCATGTAACAGTCGAGTTAGAATAGCCACCTATCGCGTCACCACAGGCGGCGACATAACTTGAGCCCTTCCAGTCAAGGCAGCAAATACTGTCCTTGTTCGCTTCAACAGTGTCCGTGTCGAACTCAATGATATTGGGACACATCGCCGACAGCGTGTGAATGAATTTGCTGGTGGCAGATGACGACGAGGGTTCCACCGGGTGTGGATTCTCGGAGGAGGAGGACGGCTCAATAGGACTCGGGCGACTAGAAGACCTCGAGGCGGCCTTCGACGATGAAACGCTAGAAGAACTCGAGGTTGAGTTACTATGAGCCGCGGAAGATGAGGCACTCGGTTTCGACTTCGATGCTGACGACGACGAGGACGACGGGGCGGAGCTGCTGCTCGAGCTGATGGGAATGCAAGCGTGCGTTGTGTTGCATTGGTGTGTTCGCATGAAGGTGTCTGTTGTCAGTTGTAGTAGCTTGAATCTACTGGTGTCATGCTCGAGTGCTTGTATTTCTTGTGGTACGCAGCCGCATAGGTCGTTGTGCTCTAAATCCATCACGCTAATGTTTTTCATACTAGCCCACCCTGCCGGTATTGTACCTGTGATGAAGTTGTGGTTGAGGCGGAGGATGCCAAGATGCGTCAGTTTATTCCAACTCAGCGGCAGCGTGCCTGTGAAGCTGTTATTTTGCAAGTAAAACGCATATGCGAGAGGAAACACGATGCTGTATAGGTCTGGTAATGGTCCGTGGATGTTGTTGTTGGAGAGATCAACTACTACCAGCTTTGAGGACCTCGGCGGTTTGGATGTTGTGCTTAGGAACGACGTCGGGGCGCCAAGAGCACGACCAACGGGTCGCATCTGGGCTGTCCTTTCTGTGTACGGTAAAACTGACGGCGAGGTCCCCGAGAGGCCGACGCCGCGGAGCTTTAGGGAGACCAGACTCGGAATGACCATCCAGCTCCACGGCATCGGGCCGCTCAAAGTCTGACTCTCTCCGTACAGTTCCAGACTCGTAAGCACAACTTCATCGCTGTCAACGTTCGGCGGGATCTGGGGAAGGCTGCCGTACAGTGTGGAGGAGTCTAAAACAATCTCCACTCCATCCTCGTTGCAGTGGACGCCATCCCACGCACAGAAGTTGCCGCACTGCCACCTCGACGTCAGCGGAGGCAGCGCCTCCTTTAATGCCTCGAGAAATGCGAGTGTGTTGGACTGCTGGGTCGCGGTGTAGTATGGAATGGTGCTGTGACTGTTGCAAAAAAGTGTCTTCGCAGAGGCACTAGACAAGGCGCTGGCATCGGAAAGACCTGCACCTGCGACCGCCTTGGCAAAGCAGGCTTCTCCTGTGAGAAAAGCGAAGCCAAGTATGACGAATGCGACACCTAGAGACGCAACGTGTCCCCGGCGTGCATAGGTCGACACGGCAGACATTTTGAACTGCCGAACGTGGAAAAGGAGAGACTGTACTTTCACACCTCAATGATTCCTTTGCAGCTTCTTGCGTCTGCTCTCTACGTTCCTTGCGTCAACGACAGGGTGTTAGCTCCAAACAGCAGCTAGGGGACAGGATGTTTAGGAAAAAATGAGAAGGGAAAATGAAAATGAGAAGGAGTGTCCTTCTTGTGGATGAACAATGAACAGCTAGAAAAAAAAGTATTCTTTCTATGTGAGCCTAGACTTTAAATGTAGTGAAAATGCAGTACCTTTGGCTGCTGCAATTGTCGTCTCGTATTACACTACAGCTTTACAGATGATCACCTACTACGGCCGTTTCAACTGATGAGGACTGTCTCTCTGAATTTAACCAGCACTTCGTTATTAAATGGTGCCTGTTAAGATTAACACGAGAAAGTGGATCTTTGAAAGTGCACCAGAAGCAAGGTGATTATATATTTTAGCGCAGTTTGTACTTCGACAAATTGTCAAATGCGTAAAAGAAAAACGGTAACTCAAGTAAATACAAAAGAAGCTTAAGCAGAAAAAGCAGAATAATTGAAAAAGACGACCTTCCTTTCTGTCTAATGGAGGAAGAAAAAGATGAAGTTCTTCGACAATAATATATCAATGGGCCAAAAAAAAGGAAATGGTAAGAGAGCTTTGCATTAATGAGAAACAATATATATATAAAAAGGTAAGAAAAGAGGGGAATAAAAGTTAGAAGAAAGGCCTGATTAACGAACAATGTAGGTTTGCTGTTGTTTTTTGGGGGAGCAATAACACCAGTGAGCTCCCGCTTCCAGACGAGTATGACCTTATGATATGAGGAAGAAAAAGCGAGGCGAAACGTCAAGAGAAGGAAAAAAAAGAGAGAAAACGTGGAAAAAAGAGTCGCGCGATCTTTCCTCAAATTGTTTTCACTTTCTCCTTCTTGTTAATTAGTTTTTCCTTGGGCTACAAAAGGTTGTTGTTTTTATTGGTGTGTGTGTGTGTGTGTGTGTCGTTGAGCAGGTAGTTGGGCGGTTTTGCGTTTGTACGTTCGTATGCGTACAGCAAATGTGAGCGCATCGCAAGCGCCACGGTCTCATCAAGTAGTCAAATGGTTTGTTTGCGTTCATATGCGGCAAAGAGGCGAGTGAAGAGGAAAAAAAAGAGCAGCAGAAAAACGATAGAGCACATGAACACCTTAAATCGTTATGGCGGCATGTATTTTTCAGAGAAAACCCCAACCTGTTTCTTTTTTCTTCAAGAGCTACTCAAAAGCAGAGGCGGATCCTGAGGCCGTGGGTGCTTTACCTAAGCTCTCCAAAGAGGTGACCCCCCCCCGCTCGCCTCATTCAACAAATCTGTCAAGACATCGAACAAAGAGAGAACAAAGGAGAAGGACAATCAGTCTTCACCAATTTTACTTTTCTTTTTGGAGATCGATCAGAAAACATATGAATTAGAGTTTTTTAACCGCATTCAACTCATCTTCGTTGTGCCGCTTGTTGATGTTACGGCAAAGAAGTGATTTTAGCAGCGGAAGGCGTGTTACAAACACAGTTTTAATATGTAAAACAAGAAGAAAAGGCAAGATAGACGGGAAAATACCCGTCTCCTCAAACTGAGGACATGCGAAAGCCGTTAAGCCTTTCACTCTGAAATGGGTACCAAACCGTTCGCATGCCTTTGTAACTCTAAGAGCGAACGAGCTTGTTTCTGTTGTGAGAAGCATGATAGTTTCGTGAGCCAGTTTCTAGTCTTATCCACCGCATGTTCGAAGTGCTTTTGCTTCTCAAATCTCGTTGCGGCCAAAGGGCACGATGATTTACCGACACAGCACGCTACACGGACAAAATAGCCAATGATCCGGTAAAACAGCGACTGATCTAAGACACCAAGACATCATATAAAACCCGTTTCAGATACGAAAAGAAAAAAAAGAAAAAGAAGCAGGATACAAAGGAAACTGGTCATCGCGTTAAGGATTCTATTTTTAGACAAAAGGGTGAACAAACAGTCACTTAATAGCCTGCGTACTTATGTAGCGTTGTGCTGAATAAAGTAGATGATCTTAACAGTACATCTAACCCTTTTATCGCGATGGCCGTGCAAGTCATAAGACGTTTAGATATCTGGCAGCCGCAGTGCAACAGAGATGAGCTTACTGTATGTTAATAGCCGGGCGTGTTCCGCGTCGCCACTCCAACGTAGAATCGTGCTGCTACGGTGGGCAAGCGTTGGCGGAATGCCACACTTTTGAAGTATATTGTTGGTCACTTTAAACAAGGCTGACGCGCTGTTCAGGCTGAACTGGCATTGTTTGAGTCGAAAACAACACTAACAAAAACAACGCATGATGATGACAAAAAAAAAGTTGGAAGAAGAAAAAAACGAAAGCGAATACGCTCAAAGACAAAAATGTATCGAAACAAACAAGCAAACACAGAGAGCCTCGTGCAATACCTAGGAAGACGGTACACGCAATTTTCAAATGAGGAAACAAAAAAGCCCAGAACACACATGTGCGTGAACGCAACACTGCATCGTGCGCAAAATCTTCGATTAAATACAAACTCTGTTTTTTCCCGTCCAATCAGGCAACATATGCGTTTCTCCGAAGGCACAACGCCGGTGTCATCTGTTGGCGTCACGTAAAGACCACGCCACAGCAAACTAGAAAGACAAAAAATCATTGATCTCCTCTTTTGGTTTTTATGTCACAGCACAAGCAACAGGAATGCATGTCGCAGAATAGTACCGCGCTACTACAACAAGGCTTACAGATGTCGATCTCAGCTGCATGAATAGTGTCCGAGAGACGCCTCACCTTCTCCACAGCGAGAACTAAGCTTCGTTGGCAGATCTAGACCATTAAAAAAGGCACACGCTTTTTCCAAAAACGAAGAACAACAACAACAACAAACGCAGAGCGTCTTTAACAGCACACCACTGAATATGTTGTTAATTGCAGCGAATGAATGACAAATCTGTAGACTTGAAAAGAGGTTTGCTTTGTGGTTAGCCACATCTCTTCATGTGTTACGCTGCAGGAAAATCAAAGTTCAAAAGAAAACAACAGATAAATTGAATTTAGAGAGGGAATGAGAAGAGGTGAGAAATACAATGAAGAAGACGAAACTATTTAACAAACAACAACGCACTCACAAGCAGATACTCAAAACAGCTGTTGCTGTTCATCTTCAGTACCATTGTTTCGCAGACAGACTGCGACATCAAATAGGAAAGGCTCCTATGAAACTTCGCTTTGAACCTCTCTTTCCTTTTTTTGCTTCGCATGGCGGCCAACAACATGTAGAAGAGCCCGCTAGTAGTGGACGACGACGGCTCAACCGGATTCGGTTGGACCGAAGAAGACGAGAACGACTCAATAGGATTCACGCCACAAGAGAGACTCGATGAAACCCGCGACGGCGAACCGTTAGAAGAACTCGACGACGAGTCCGGATGAGTTCTCGTCAACGATGCTCTGCTACTCACACCGGGTAAGGATGAGGTGCAGCTCGAGCTTCAATTGCTAGAGCAGGACGGGGCGCTTCTGAACCGCGAAGCGTTACAGAGGAGAAGCAGAATACTCATCAGCATTCATTGAAGACAGTGTGGGAGTAAATATCTGTCGCAAGTCCAAGCACGCCTCAATTCACGTTCCTGAACTTCTCAGAGTTCTCGCTGCAGGACGGTAGTGGCATTTACGACGCAAAGCGTTGGCAGCCATCTCAATTTCTTTTTGCTACTTGCTCGATGTCGTGGCAGCCAAAAAAAAAAAGAAGAAAGAGTTGAGGAGAGGAGAGGAAGGCGGTGTATGATGGACAAACTTAAATCACAGGAAGAGTAGACACTTCGTTGGCAGCTTGTAAGACCCTTTCCCATGGTGTTTTTCTTTTTCCGCCAAAAAAGACAAAGCAACGTGCCATCGGTGAACATCAGTGCATTGCAGCCGTTCAGCCACTCGGGGCCTAAACGCATTCCTACTTGGCCTTTCTCAGATGTTAGGAGCTCTCCGAGAATGGTTGAGAAACAGACGGATCTTTTCTTTACATGATAAAGAAAGGTCACCCAGTCATCTTGCAGTGTAGGTCGCGCACTGACTTGTTTGAATATTTTTTTTTGTACCAGTCGTGGTGAACCACCGTGCCCGAAAGCTCCGCAAATGGAGCTTTGGGCGGCGATGAGACATTAAAATATATTTTTCTCCCGGCTTCTGGGAAGCCACACACGACAATGAAAAGGAAAAATAGCGGGACGTACCTCCTCCCTTACCGAAAACAAACAAGCAAAAAAAAAACTATGCTGAGTACCATTAAGCTTGAGTATTGGAGAAGCAAATGCTAGAAACGCGAACACAAAATTAGCACTGGAACGGAAAGCAATGTCAGCAAGCTGACGCCCAAAACACGTTTGGGAACTACATTTTGCATGTGCGATCGTGCACTTCATAGCAAAGAAAAAGTGGAAGCAAAAGAACAAAACAATCTCTACAGAAAAAAAGGACGTGCAGATGTTCATCGCCTTTACATCACGGTGCAGTACAAAAACCCAAAGGTCAGTTGCATCACGTGAGCGATGGTGTACGCCCACACATTTTTTTTTTCTTGCTGCTTCAGCATATCCCACTTCAGAAAGGCCGCATATTCTTCTTTTTTTCTACCCAGGAATCGGTGTGTTCTCAGCGGCTCCTTAAGATGATCGCGTGCCTCCAGCGTTCTTCTATCCTCAAACTACTTCGATGATATCACGTTGAGTCACCGCTGCTTGCGTTTCTCACGTTGTCAGAATACTTCACGAATCTTGTAACGCCGTTTCTCAGAAAAAAGCGCCACAGCCGTCCACAAGCCGTGGTTGCGCAGCGTTGAAGAATCGGCATGCGCGATTCGCGCAACAGAAAACACTGCATCGGAGCCGTGAGAAGCGACATCCAACGAAAATGAAAAACGAGAATGTGTGCGAAACGGAAAAAGTCAGCAGGAAGAAACCAGAACATCTCGTTTCTTTTCCGAAAACCCCAAACCGTAGAACGACCAGAGAAAAGGCAAAACAAAGTGGTGATGCGGCATGAAGCGAACAAAGGATGGACAAAACAATGAAGAAAAGAGAAAAAGGAGGCGATCAGTGACGGCAGCTTAACAGCAACGCGGCCTTCCAACTCTGCAGCGGCGCCAATACGCCGTAAACCCACTCGCTCGCGTAGACCTTTGCACCACCATGTACCCCCAAAAAGGCAGTTGCTGGTACACACTTGTAAAACAGCTGTTGAGTAGCATGAGGGTGCGCAACGTTCTATGCATGAAAGACAGAAGAAAAAGAACGTTTTAGGGTCCACGTATAAACTTGACGCCTCCTTACGTCATGTATCTACTTTGCCACCGAGCGTTGCAAATCGCCGCCAAAGATACGGAACTTTCGGCTCCCACCCTTGATGGAGGGCAGCGATCCAGTCAGCTGGTTGTTCGACACATCCAAGATGGAGAGATTTACCATAAAAAAATAGCCCGAGGGAATCGAACCGGTCAGCTGGTTGTTGTTCAGGTACAACTCGTTCAGCGTGCTCATCTCGCTCCACTCCACCGGAAGCGGACCGCTTAGGTTGTTGTGTCCCAGATTGAGCGTATCCAGATTCATCGAGCTCCAAGAAGAGGGAAGAGTACCAGAGACGCCGCTGTACGACAGGTCCAAAGTGGACAGCTGAGAAAGATCACCCCAATTCTCCGGAAGTCCACCGTCGATTGACACCTTGTTGCCAGGATCGCCAATGTTGATACCTTTGATGACAACCTCTGACGCGAGGCAGTCTGCAGGCAGGGGAGGCAGGGAGCCCTCCACCCCCATCCCACTCAGATCCATCTCGATACCATTTGGTGTACACGACACCCCTTCCCATACGCAAAAATTCGGGCAAACCCAAATCGGCGTGAGATAAGCAAAGTTCTGAGCAAATGCGTTCAAAAATTTGCGCGTGTTTTCTGTTTCCGAGTCAGAGTAGTATGGAACACGATCGTGACACGCATCAGAACTGCTGCCCGAGCTGAAGGCCGCCGAGGACGACGAAGACGAGGACGACGGGGCGGAGCTGCTGCTAGAACTGCTGCCTTCACAGGGGTTTGCTGTGGCGCAATCGGGAGTCCAAAGGGGCGGATCAGCGTTGACGGAAGTGGACGTGCTGTTCTTCCAAGGTTCCGGAACGCATCCGCAAAGGTTGTTGTCCTCGACGGTGATGACGTCTACTTTGGTCATTGACGTAGCCCATGACGGAGGAATAGTTCCGATGATCTTGTTACTGTTCAGTTCGAGTGTGAGCATCTTGTTCATGGCTGACCACTCCGGTGGGAGCGTTCCGCCAATTTCATTGTTACTGATGGAAAGCTGCTGCATGGTGGTCAAGGCAGACCAGCTCGCGGGGAGAGAGCCGCTGAGATCATTCGTAGAGAGATTGAGCCCTTCCAGCCGGGTTAAACCTGCCCACTCGGTGGGTAAGGGACCGCTGAAGTGATTGTTGTTGAGCAGCAAAATATCAAAGATGTTGTGCTGCGCCCAAGCTACGGGCAGGGGACCGGTGAGGTTGTTGTAGGACAGGTTGCGTACTTTTTTCTTAGCGGGGAGCAGCGGCGCGGCGTTGCGTTGGATCGAAATGAAGGGGTTCTCTGGGTTTGCGGTATCTGCTTCACCCCATGACTCCGGGAGTGTTCCGGACAAACCAGTTCCCGCGAGTTGAAGCTCCATGAGGTTCTCCAGGATGCCCCACGTAGACGGCAAGGTACCGGCCAGGTTTGATCCGTTACCGTGAACTTTGATGGCGGTGACAACGACTTCAGAGCCAGCAGCACTTGTTGGAACTTCTGGAAGACTACCGTCGACGATGATGTCTTCAATGTTGACCTCAACTCCGTTCCAAGAGCACGTGACGTAGGCGCGGTCGCAGAAGTTGTCACACGTCCACAGACGCTTGAGAGCAGGAATTGACTCTTTAAAGGCATCGAGGAATTTGCGGGTGTTTTCCTGCTGCGATGCAGTGTAAAACGGAATGGTAGCAGAGCAGCCGCGCTCGCTTTGCGCAGTAGGGGCTGATCGGGCGCCGCCACCAGCAAGGGCAAGCAGCACAACGCAAACTAGAACGGCAGCCAGCCTGCTGCGCAACCACCTGGATGTGTGGTAAGAAGACATGGTTGGCGGAAAAGCTGTATTGCACAAACGTTCTAAAAAGAGAAGAGAAAATCGCTTTACTGGTGATTTGGTCAGTTAACTAAACAACAGTAAAGTGTAACAGTTCGATAAGAAGATTTGACAGAAGTGCTCAAAGATATACGAAGCTGGTGCAATTCGAGAGGTAAATGACAATGGTGCTTTCTTTGATTGTATGATGATATGGTTTTCAGTATTTGCTTTTGGAGGAAATTGCAGTCTACGAAAAGTGAGAAGAGGAGGATCAGAAAGAGAAGGCATGCACAAAAACCTCTACTTTTCACGCTCTTAGCGGTGCTTAGGTTTCAAAAAAGGGGAAAAAAACTTTTTCGGCAAATTTACTGCTAGTAGAAATGAAAATGGGAAAACACTGGAAAGAGAAATAGATAACAGTTAAAGAAAAAAAAAGAGTATAAGAGCTTGATTGTTATGTGATTCGGCTCTCAATGATGGGCAGAAGAAAAAAAAAAGAGAAAAGAGGAAAGGAGAAAAAGAGAAAAGAGAAAAAGAAGAAAGATAGTGCTAGTGGATACTATTGTATTTGTTCCTTTGAAAAAAAAAGAAAGGAATTTTTATGTTCGCTTTCTTGCTGTCGACACAAAGGAAGTCACACACGCACGTGCACAGATTTGAAAGGAAGGAGATAGAAGAAAGAAGAAAAAGAAACAGTGAGATAAAAGAAAAAGCGCAGATCGATGGGACTACAATGAGGCAGAAGGAGAAAGAAAACTCACCTAAAGGAAGTCAAAATTAACTTTTGTAGGTGGTTCGATCGTCAACTGGCGCTATTATAGTTCGGTCGCACTCACAGCTTAATCTCTGTTCTCGGTCAATGACAAATTTTCCGTTAACAGGAAAGGTATAGTTAGAAGAAAAAAAAAGAAATGAATCAATAACGTAATTGAGAAGAAGGCACAGTGTGATAGAAGGAGAAAACAGTTACGCTGTAAAGACGTATCCAAACTTTTTTCTGATATGATATCTCTGTCAGGATATTGTCAAAGTGGAACGCTATCTACACGCAAAAAAAAGGCCTATTATTGTGTACAAAAAATATATATTAGTTACTGTACGTAGACAGGCAATAATGAATACATAAATTGCATGATGTTCACAACAATGGTGGTGAAACACAGCAGCGTTTGAAAGTGAAAGCGGGTTTTTTTTTTCGTACGGCAACAACAACAAAAGAGTTGTCGAGATCCGCAGCGGCGCACGAGAAACAATGCGATGAAGAGGAAAAGAAAAGAGGGGGAAGATAGTGAGATAAGATTGTTGAAGAAAGAGACATCTATGCTTTCGCGCCAGCAACTAGTTTCCCCTTCACTTTCGTGAAGGTTCAGTTCATCATTGTTGTTTCCGTAGCTCTTATTTACAAGATAATCTGACGGACGGAGAAAGGAGCATGCCAGAAAAAACTAATGTCTTCTGAAATAATAAAAAAGCAGCGCAACTCTGCCGTTTTTTTTTTTTATGGGGGGAGAAGCTCGAGTTTTCGTTCCATCAGGGTAAAGAAGAGGGCTCGGATACACAGGGCGAGAAAAAAAATATCCCTTTCGCGGGCGGTTCACCCCCTAAGCGTTGTCTTTTCTTTTAATCGGAATATTTGTTCATGCTTCAATGTTAAATGAGAGTGTCCCTCTCACACAAAAAAAGGGGTTTTGTTGGCCCAGATTCACCAGTTCGTTCTGTGAAGCCAAGAAAACAGCCTACCTCGTTTGTCATCTTCGCTGTGTGGGTGTCTCCGCTAACAAGGGCAATGGTGCCCATGTTCGACTTCAGCTGACTGTATTCCTCACATGAGTTCGCTTTCACCGCGCGTGAGTGTGTCCTCCATCGCCTGCTCTCGCTCGCTTCCCAGCAGGTTAGAGATGAACGTCACTGCTTCGTGAAAGTCGCTCGTTTTACCGTGAATTCGGCGAAATTGGACCATGGTGTAGCCTAGACAGGCGGGAGACAGAATCACATCCACGTCGCACACGCCATTCACCTGGGCAACCGCACCAGTGCCGCCATAGGCCATGGCGCGATGCGTGAAGTTGGTCGACGGTGTTGCGGTGAGGGAGAAACCTGCGCTTGTGTGCGTCGTAGCGGATGGCGAGAGCAGGCTGGAAGAGAACGCGGCGACTGATGGCTGTGAGAGGAGACGGGCTGCGTTGCTGCCTTCTGCGTCAGCAGCAGCGTCACGAGCATTGAGCGTCGTGGACGCCTTGCCTTTTGCGTTCTTTTCCTCAACGTTCACGGGAGTGCTGCGCATTGCGGACACTGGGGTTGTACGGCCAAGATCGGCGCGGTGGGGCGCTGATGCTTCGGAATTTTGCGGTGCCATGGTGGTGTTTGCTAATTTGTGGCGCCGTCCCAGTCCCTCTTGATCTTCGCCTTGAGGAGAAGAAAGAGCGCCATCGCTGGCGCTTTGGTTGGCCTCGCTTGTGTTGATGATGGATGAGCTCTGCCGAGAGGCACTGAAAAAGCTGTGCGTGTCGTCTTGCGCGCTGTCGTTGTCGATGTCGGCGCTGTGAACACGACGATCACGCCCACCGCCAACGGAGGTGGTGTTCGCTGCCGTCGCATGGCGCGTAATATGTCGCAGCGAGCGCGAGAGGGGGGGAGAGTGTGAGGCACTCGGCGAGTTGCCGTTTGTGTTTTCGACTGTGCTAGCGGCAGCGCCGGCGTGATTGGGGGCTCGCGGAATCGGTGCCGGCGCGCCGCGCTGCGGCGGCGGCGGCGGCAACGGTTGGCTCGAGGCGCCACTGCTGGCAGGCAGATCCCCCGCACACCTGTCTCTTGGAAAGGCGGAAGAGTCAACAGTGTCGGAATGAGCCAGGGTGCCCCGCGACGGCGGCTTTCGTTGGCGCGGTTTGTTGGAGCGAAACGGCAGAGGGGCGACGCCCCCCACCGTCGGCGCGGAATTGTACGGAAGAGAACCGGCGTTGCTATCGGCACACACCCGCTCGTCTCGTCCCAGAATCTCGGCCACCATCGAAGGCGTCGCCACCACGCCGGCACCGTTATGGCTTTCGTGCAGACTGTCAGCGATGCCGTTGGGTCGTCCCTGCCGGGGGGTTGAGGACGGCGGCGTCGCCGTGAGCGACCGGTGTGAGGCGGACGAGCCGCTGCGCCTCCCAGGCGTCATCTGGGCAGAGTTGCCAAAGTTGGTCCCACTTATGGGGCCGGTGCTGGCGGCCATGGCGACCAGCGAAGCAGACATGAGCAACGGCGTGGCGGAGCTCATCGTGGCCCCAGTCACGAGTGCCGACGACCCTAGATAGCGAAAGGAGTAAATGTTTTCTGTGTTGGACACCACCTCATCCGAATAGAGCAGCAACAGCCGTTCTGGTATGCTGGCCAGCTTTGCTAGGATGATGTTTTGCAGGCCGGTGACGAGGAAGCCGTGCCGCACGCACTCCGTCACGTTACGCGACTGGAACATCGCGGCAAGGTTCGTCGCAGCGGCGAGCTTGCGGCCAAGAGGGTGCTTCATCAAGATGTCGCTCTTCACAATTCCGCTGACAAACGAGTCAAACGATATGGTGATGCTAGACGGCGTCGTGGGAGAGGAGTCCAGCGATGGCGCCGACACCGGCGGATCCGCCGGCCGTGCGCTACGGCCAGTAGGTGCGACAGCGACTTCCGCGTTCTCCTTTGTTGCGTTGCGCTGCGGCGGCATGGACGATTCCTTGGTGAAGGTGACGGGACTGCAGCCCGGTGTGAGCCCCGCGGCAGAGAACGGGGAAGCCACCGCGGGAGATGGGACGGGCGAAGCGCAGCTGGAGGTGCAACCGGGATAGGTGGTGGTCGGCGTCACCGAAGGCGTAACACGCCAACGATGCCAGTACTTGGAAGCCCGCGTGTTGAACCGCGCCAGCTCCGTTTCGTGGAAGTAGTTGATGAGCGAGAGGCAATCCTCTTGTTGAACGGGTATGTGATATTTGTCGAAGATGCGGCGAACCTGGTCTAGTTGAATAACACCGCGGTGCTTGTCGTCGAGGCTGTCGAAGGCGGTACGGAGCTGGCGCACCACCTGCCGCTCCACCGCATCCATCTCCGTACCGATAATGTTGGCCAGCTGGAACTCGCTGCTGTGCGTAAAAGGCGTGTGAGCCAAATCTTTGCTCACCCACGCGTCGCGAAACTGCTTGAAAGTGATCTTGTCCGTCTTCGTGTCGCCCGTGAACAGCTTCACCAGTTCGTCCACGTCGCTCGTCGGGACGGCGTCGCCGTGCAGCGTCGTCAGCATGTCGCGCAGCTGATCTCGCGTGATGCACCCAAACCCGTCGGAGTCGACTTTCCGAAACGCCGTCGCGAGCACACGCTCCTCCTCTACCGAGACGGGGTGTTGTGTGGAGAAGTCGAGGAAGGTCGGCGCGGTGATCTTGTCGCGGCTGAAACCGAAAGCTTTGCCCTGTCCGCCGGTGCTGCCGCTGTTCGCATGCGCCGCCTCGTCGACGGGAGACAGAGCGACGATTCCTGACGGCGAAGCGTACGTCGCGGCGGCGGCGGTGTCGTGTGCAGATGAGGGAGGGCTTTGCCGTGTCAACGGTGCTGCCGCGCTGCCGCAGAACGCGTTCGAGCTGGTATCCGCTGCGCTGGCCGCCAGACGCGCCGTGATGCTTTCATCGTTGCCGTAACCGCCAGTCTCCGCCTGCGACGTGCTCGACAAAGCCGGTGATCCCACGATGCCGTCCGGCAGCGTCTGCTGAGTGGTGGAAGCGCACTGCATCGGATTGCCCAAAGGGCTGGCGAGGGTCTCAAGCAAATCCTCGCGATGAGGGAAGTCTTTTTCGATTTGTATGCCGATCTGAAACCACGAGTTGTGAATGATCTGCTCCGTCGTGGGCCGCTCCGTCGGCTCAGCCGCCAGCATCTGCGTCACGAGATGGCGGGCAGCGGGTGAGATACGCCGCATCTCGTCCTCGTCGAAGGTGAAGTCGTTTGTCTGGATTAAGTGCAGCGTTTCCTCCTCATCGCGACCGTCAAACGGTAGCCGCCCGGTCAGCATGAAGAAGAGGATCACACCGGCGCTCCACAGATCTTGCTGAAAAGGGTCCACAATCACAAGCGGAGGCTTGCGCGGCGCCGACGAGGCGTTGCAAGGGCTGCTGCTGTGGCCGGCAGACGTTGGAGCAGTGGGGGGGTCCGGTTCCATTAGCACTGGCTGTCGCTGTTGCGCAGCAGCACCCGCATCCCAAGACGAGGATGTGTGTGCGCTGAGCACTTCCGTGCTGCCCCTCGTAGTCAAAAGTACGCTGTTTGACTCTTTGTTCGCTGCACGGAGGCGTGTTGAAGAAGGGGCTGCGTCGTTCGTGGAGGAGGTGACTCGTGTACTGAGAGTGCCGCTTGGCGGGGGCATCGTCCCGTGTCGCGTAGCGGCTGCTGCAGCGGCCGCAGATGCCCCTGCCCGCCCCGCCGAGCCTGCGAAGGACGGGTCTGTGTTAAAGGAAACCGTGATGGGCGACGTGCTGGACGAGGAGACAGCAGAGGACATTACCGAGACGTGTTCCTGCGACGGCGTTCCCACTCGCAGCGAGCTGTGAGCATTTCCCGTTACCTTACCACCGCCTTCTCCGAGCGCGCCGGTGGGGCTACGTAACGTCTCTAGCACGACCTTGCCGCTTGACGTGGTGCTCACCACTGGGGGCGCCGATATCTTCTGCAGACACGGCTTCTCCCGCGGTGAGCCATTCTGGTCGTGGGTGTCAATGTGTTGCTTGTGATGCGGTTGATGGTAATGGTGGTGGTGGTGGTGGTGCCCGCCGCTGCTGCTGCCGGGGCTGCCGGTGTGGAGCAACGCTTTGACAAAGCTGCTAATGCCCTCGCCCACCTTGTTCCGCCCCAGCGTCGGGGACGTCTTCTTGTGAATCTTGCCGTTGGCGCCTGTAAAGCTGAGAAGGCTTGGGGTGCTACTGCTGTGGGACATGCTGGGGTTGCCACCAGTGACGGCGGGTGGTGGCGTCAACAGGGTTGGTCGCGCACGATTCTCCTTCACCTTTGCGACAGAGGACGAGACCATTTCCTGCGCCGTTTTGATCAGCGCCGCGTCCCCCTCGGCACTGCCGCTGGTGGAGCGGCGCAGTCCTTTGCGCCCCACCGACCCGCTGAACGACGACCCCGGGCTGTCGGAGGATGCGGTGGAGAGGGGGGTGGAGGAGGAGCCGCGTTGACCGGGGCCGGGGTTGTCGGCCATGTCTACTTGTGAGGGAAATCCGCTCTGCCCATTCGCGAAGGCGCTATCCGCCAGCGCGCTACCGTAGCGGGTGCTGCCGTCGCCGTCATCGGCGTTGAGGAAGTCAAAGCCGCGCTGCTGCGCCGAGGCGAGGACAGCCTCGGGACTTGTGTAGTGCAGCGTTCCGAACATCGAGCCGTTGTGGATTGCGTCGAGGAGGGCGATGTTGTCGCCGGTGCCGACGGTCTCCTCTGGGTCGTCGATGTTTTCCTTCGCCACCTTTGAGGAGAAGCCAAAGTCACACACCAGAAGTCGGCCGTCATTGCTCAAAAGGAGATTTTCCGCCTTCAGATCCTTGTGTGCGACGCCGTTGCGGTGGCAGTAGTCGATGGCGGAGATGAGCTGCTGGAAGTACATGCGAGCCTCATCCTCGGCGAAGTAGTTCTTCGAGAGAATCAAGTCGAACAGCTCCCCGCCCTCTGCCAGCTCTAACACAAAGTAAAATGCCGTGGTGGAATTGAGGAACTTGTAAAACTTAACCACGTGGGGGTGCTCGAGGGACTGCATCACCATCGCCTCCGACACGATGCTCTGCTCGAACGACTTCACTATTGCCGCGGCGGAGGGGGAGGCGTGGTATGTTGCCGTTGTGGTGCCGAGCGTACCGGAATCCCCCGCAGCCGCGTCCTCCTGTTGCTGCGCTTGCTGAATCCCTTCCTCGTTGCCGCAAACCATAAGCGGCGAGTAGATACCAGATCCGGTGAAGAGGTCCTGCTTCTGCAATACCTTTACCGCAAAGCGATCACCGGAAGGAATGTACTTGACCACATACACGGAGCCGTACGCACCCTCGCCAAGTCGCTGCCCCACCACGTAATCCTCCAGTGTTTTCGCCTCGTCCTCCAGCTGGAAGGAGCCGGTGAAGGACGTGGCGTTAGAGTTGGTAAGTCTGCTGTCGGGCTGCATAATTCCTTTTTGTTTGCTACGGTCGACAAGTGAATTTGCGTATTTGTACGAGGTTTTCGTGTCAGGAAAGCGCACCAACAGCGATTCCTCGCTCAGAAGCAAAGAAAAAAAAAATATTAATACACCACGGGGAAGGAGCACACCAACAAAAAAGGGGGAAAAAAGGCGTTCGCAAATATATATTAGTAGAAAAAGAGAAGAGGCAATCCAGCCGACCACAGATAGGAACTGTTGTTATGTCCACAGCAAGAAACAACAGAATTATATGTTAGAGGGGTTCTAGCCAACGTAGTTCTTGTGAGAGTGACTGTCGCGCAAATACACTTTAACGAGTTAGATTCAACTTTTCCTTCACTGACACAAACCACACCAGCTGCGTAAAAATAAACAAAAAAAATAAAAGTAAATTTCTTTTTAAAAAAGGCGAATAATATCACTAGTTCAAAGCGTATTCGCAGTGAGCAAGAGCAGCAGTAACAACCTCGTTTGCTGAAGTGACGCAATTCTCACAACAGAGATCAAAGGAGACGTTGAAAGCACGCAAAGAAGCAAAACAATAAATATAGGCTTTTAAAAAAAGGAAGAGAAAAAGACGCGTCAGTTAGGTCGACGTGCCGCAAATATGCAAAACAGAACAAAAAAAAGAAGTGAAAAAATGAATAATAACTTGATGTCACAAAAATACGCCGAGAAAGAACAGAAAACGAAAACAATTTTCTTTTTGAGGGCAGAGTGAACCTAGCGATCTCTCTCTCGGCACCAAATTCTTTGCTTTTGGAGGCAATGTGTGTCTTTCTTTCTTTTTTTAGTTTCTTTTTGTGTGTGCGAGTGGGTGACAAAGAGAGAAGGTGTACGAAAAGAAAATGTCAACTGAGTCCCGGTGAGTCGATACAGAGGACCTCAACTAGTGTCTTGTTGTTGATGTCGCCTTTTTGTCGTTTTTTACTTGACAAACAGAAAGAAGATGCAATGCTATTAGGAAAACGAAACAAGAGAAACCCAAAAGTAGCCAGATAGCAATCAGGGCCGACAGTAACACGAGTGTAAATACCTGCAAATCCAAGAGAAGTCGTGTGTGCCGCTCTCAACTTTCTATAGACAGAGCTAGTTCCGGTTCTACACCTCTTTCTTGGCAACGACACGCAATTAGTTTTTCGCACACCTATCTCCGCGAGAGTGTGCAGACTATCAGATAAATGCAAGAGAATTTTAGGCGAATGTGTAAAGCCTTCTTTTTCGTTTTGTAATCCTTCACCGCTGGTGTTTGCTGGGTGGGTTTACACGTGCTTACCTCCGGAGGAGCAGCCAAAGTGTGATAAGTAGGGAGTAATGCGAGTTGGAACGAAGTGTCAGAAAAGAAGAGAGAGAGACTACTACAGTCTACGTGACCTCTCTTCCCAAACGCAGCGCCGCACTGTGAGTACAACGAAGTACTTTGCTGTTCAATAGTTCCTCGAAGAAAAGACAGCTTTCATAGACACGGTATTACAAAGGATGGATAAGGGAGTAAAGGCAAAGAAAAGAAGGAAAGGGAAAGGCACGAGCAAGAGGAGTAAAGGCTACGCTTTCCTCTCTTTTTCACGAACGTGACAGGTGTGAGAAACACTCAAACAAAAGCATGTGCGTGATAGGGCAGCGTTGCTATTATGTGCGACACTGCTTTCTTTATGGCAACAACAAACAAAACAAGACGTATCGATTAAATGCAGAACAAAACGCGAGAACGCGGAAAAGATGTCGCAAGCGTTATGTTTATATGTGTCTTTCATATATCTGTTGAACATAATTTCACTCAGACACTTCGCGTCTCCGCCGTCGAAGTCTCTTCTCTCTTTTTTGACGGTCTCATCTCTTTCACTTCGTGATCGGTTAATGTAGATGTATTAGATATTACCGCCATGCCAATACGATGTGGAAAGGCGGCAACGGACAAACCGAAAGGTGAAAATCCTGTTCATCGAGTAAACACTCCATTGATGCACCACAGCGCTTCACTCACCCCTCCGTTCAACAAAGGCTCCTCAAATAAACAAATCAAAACTAGCAATGAGAGCGATGACGAGAGCTTCGTAGCTGAGTAAAACAAACCAACGCAGCAGCAGCGCTGCATGACGCGCAAGATAATACACACACGAGAATTCTTCGCCGCGTAAGAGTTGCCGGCTCACGACACCGACCACGGCGCCCCTATAAAAAGGCGCGCAGACACTTTAGCAACGAGAGCGTCATCAACGCACATGTGCCGACGTACCATCGCATCAGCGCTACATGGGAGGACCACAACGCGTCGCCCTCTTCCAGTAGCATCCACAAGTACAGGAGCGAGCACGCGGTGGCGCTGAGGTGTTCGCCCAGAAAGGCCCAGCAGGGGCCCTGTAGGCCGCTGCTACTCGGATCCCATTCCGCGGTCTCGCCTCCTCGTCCGGTTGCATCCCTCATGGGCACCGACGAGCAACGGGGATCGCGCCCGGTCGTTGGTGCAGAGCCACAGTCGTCTAGATCGTCGGTGTCGGTGCCGCAGCCGCCGCCGCCGCGCCCACACACCTTTCTTCTACGCAGCCGCACAGCGATGCAGCCCATCTCCATTCCGCACAAAAACACAGACGCGACGGCCGCAAGGTAGCCAAACAGGGTGCCGAGGCCAAAGAACAGGTGGTGAAGGTAAAAGACGACCAATGTAGAGGTGAGAAGAGCGTTGAGGACGAGCAGCCATGACAGCTGCGTTTGCGCAAAAGCGACGCAGCGACTCGCATGGTAGTGAAGACGGGGAAGCAGCCGCCCGACGCGGAAGGCGTGAGACTTTGGAGAAACAGGATGGGGCGAGTCTGCGACGAGGTCTGCTGCTCCAGCGCCGACGACTCTCCTTTGTAGGGCGCCGTACTGCGCGTTCTCGCGATGGCGGGGCCCGTGTTTCGCACTCGCAGGGAGGGGGGCGTGCGAGGGCAGCGGCACAGCCACCGCTGCCACGTCGCCACGGTCCTGCAGCTGTGCCTCATTACCCGCGTAGCGGCCGTGCAAACTGTTGGCGCTGGCGTCCACTTCGCTTCCGACACTCTGCGAACGTGAACTTTGCAGCGCTGACGCGCCAGTTTCTCGAAGCAGCGCTGCGTGCTGACGTTGTGGGCGGAGCGACGACGGTGCCAACGGGGCATCGGGCGGCTGCTGAGGGTGTAGGTGGCTCGACGGGCCCATCTGCCGATAACGATTGCTGTAGGAGGTCACAAAGAGAACAAAGTCCCCGTTTGTGAAGAGAAAGGTATACAGCACCTGCGACGGGCGCAGAGAGTAGGTGAGACAGTTCGACACCAAAGAGAGCCAGTTCACGGCGGTGGACAGCTTTTCCTCTAGCGTAAGACGCTCGGCAAGGATCAACAGCGGATCGGACGCGACGTTGACGGGCATCGCCACCTCGAAAGAGGCGAGGGATTCATCGACCTCATCATGGTCGTCATGGTCGTCGTTCTCCGGAAGGGGGGGTGCTGCAAAGCTTTCTGACCCTCCCGTGGTCGGAAAACCGAATTTACTGTTGTGCGGCAGCGGCAGTCCCTCACACGTGCGCTCGTCTAACGGAAGCGGGGCCGCCGACGACGCGCGTGCCCCCCATTCCTCTCTACCTATTTCGTGCGCACCACTCTCATCATTCCAAGACAAGGCTATGCTCTGTCGATAAGTGCGAAACGCCAAGGATATAAGGGTGCAGAGGAAGAGTAAAACGTCGCTTGTGTATACCTGCAGCGAAGGCGACGCAGGCGTACGGTCCATGCGTAGAAAGCTACCACCTGGCACGCTGAAAGCAAACAAGAAAAGAGTGGCGGGTACCACTTTACAAGAGGGAACCCTGGGGAGAAAAAAATAATGAACACAAGATGGAGAGAACGAAATTCAACGACGACACAAAAGCACGTCAAACATGTGTGAAGAATCGAAAGCGCATACACAAGAAAGAAAAAAGTGCTTGGTGAAGCTGAGTAAGAAGCAAGGCAGCAGCAGGCATACACGCTTGACGACAAAAGAATCAAAAAGTACCAACCACGTGAATGCGTGCGTATATGATCTGAATATGCACAAAAAAATAAATGATCCAAGAGAAGCAGGCGGTGCGTGTAACACGCACAAGAAACGACAGAAAGTGATAGAGTTAAATCGAGAGCACCCCACTACGTCTGTCGTTCGGTCAACTGTGACAGTAATAGTATGTGTTATCAAAGAATAATGCTACTGTGCGTTCTGAGAACCACTTTCACGCCAAAGATGACAACGGTACTGCTGCCTGCTAGTATTAGTCACAATAATAGTGTGTGCGAGTGTGTGGCTGTAGTAACTGGCGCAAGTGGCAACTTTGCTTTTCATTTTAGAAGGCGGTAACGTGATTGCGTGCCTGCTCGCACACGCTCGTTATCCCTGCATGTGTCGATGCCTAACGGTGAGCTACAATTTGTCGTGAGCCGGTTGAAATACTCGAGTTTGGGATTTTTATCAGGCAAGAGCAGAAAAGAGGGGGTTGAAAAAAAAAGGGAGGAGAACATATGGAGAGCGAGCATCAGAGAAGTTTGCCCAAGACGAAGGAGAAACCAAAAAAGAATACGTTTCTCATGAAGCGATTTTTCTTTTTGGCATGTGTGTGTGTGTGGTCTGAATCACGGATGCGCAGGCAACGGAAATGGTGCAAAAGTGGCTGTGCGGTGCAAGGAGCACCATTGTCACTCAACGCCGCTTAATTGATGTGTAGATACTCGTCATAAAAAGACAAAAAAAAAAGCAACTCCTCTTCTTTTATTTTTCCACTTTTTTGCTACTTGGTTTCGTTGAAGCACTAAAAAGGAACACACGCAGGAAGAGAACGCTGTTTATAAAACGGACGTGATCAAAAAGCCTCTTCGTCCTCAGAAGCGGCAGAAGTGAAAAGGCGACACACAATATCCGGCGAATCGCACACATCCTTTTCACGTCCCATCAAATCGACATCTCGTGCAACGAGGATGGGCGAGCAACCCGGCGTGGAAAGACAGGGTGGGGGTTCGTGCGTCTCAGCCGCTGTGGCGCAGCTCACCTCTCGTTCGGTAGATGTATCTCCATTCGCCGCTGTTTGCCGTTGTGTTGGTGGGGCGGATACGGATTGTTGACTGCGATAATGGGCGAGGTAGTGCGAAAAGTAATCGTCGGTGGTGGGAGTGACCGCCTTGCTAACGTGGGCGACCCTGTATGCTGCGCCGCATGGAGAGCAGGGCGTCTGGTGTGCTGAGAGACGCCCCTGTGCTGCAACAGCGTCGTGTACCTTGGCCGGCGTCGGCGTCGTACTCCCGCAGAACTCCTGCACGAACAGTAGGCGTTGCTGCGCCACCTCTTCTTTTCCATGACGACGGGTATGCTTGCGAACACGCACTTCGAAAAGAGGAGGAGGAGGGGGAGAGAGGGAGACACTTGTCGAAGCACCTGCCACGCTGCTCTTCGCGTTCGCCGTGCGGGGAGGTCCACATCGCTGCGCCGTTTCCTTGCCACACCAGCGAGGCGCGTACGAAGCAAAAGAACCAGAGAAGTAGGAGGAAGCATCACAAGACGAGTCTGTGGTGTCCGACAGCACACTTGAAAGTCCACGTGACGAAGGCGTTGAAAGGAGAGCTTGCTGTCGTGTGAGCCGACGTCGGTCGCCATTGTGGGAATGGGTAGGTGGAGCGCTTTTTGGCGAAGGGCCGACCGCATGAGAAACGGCAGCGTGAACGGGCGATGCAACAGCCGCGCTGTCTGCTGCACCGCACATCAGACAGCTCAACTCCAGCCTTCGCAGTAGCGCTGCGTACTTTGCGGTGTGCGGCGTTCGCGGCGTGGAGCGGGAAAAGAACTCCGGGTCCATGTAGACAACAGCAAAAAAGAAGAATGAGGACGAAGGCAACGATCAACGCTGATTGTGAAAGACGAAACTCCTTCTTAAAAACCGTATGTGAACCGCAGCAACGTGGCGGACGGCTTGTGGGGTAGAATAGAAGGCAGTTTGTTCTAGGGGAGTGTGCGTGAATCTAAAGATGTATGGACGATGGTTTTCAATCTAGTCTATAGAAAAGTACGACGATCTTCTAAACGTATTTTACTTTTGTAGGCGCTGTTGTTTGTGAGGCTTGAAAAGAAGCAAATCCGCAACGTCCGCACGGTGCAATTCTTCTGCTCCACCGCCCGAAGGGACAAAGGCGCGCAAGTCTTGTTGAGAAGGCGGCTCTGAAACTCCCTCTTCTCTCCCCTCCTGATAATACAGAAGTCCAGAAAAAAGAAGATACGAAAAGCGAGAGGAAAATACGAAGAACTCCGCGAACGGTACTTGTGAGGAGTTACAGAAACCAACACCGGTGTTGAGAATACAAAGGGAATCACCGTTTCATCAACATATCGCAAAAAGGTAAGTATATGCCTTGTGTTTTTCCAAACGCAGCAAGACGCGACCTTTTCACCTCCTATCAAACTTCACACAAGAGTGGGCGAGGTCCTCCGTGATGGAGGAGTCCACAGGTGCACACAGGCATGCACATTACGCCTTCCTTCGGGGTAGCGCACGCTATTCTTCGAGTACACATTTTTTTTCTCTTTTCATTGATTTACGAAGACAAGGTGGATGATGATGGGGAAAAGACAAGAACAAAAAGAAAGAAAGTGAGAGTTCAGCAAAGCGAGTGCCTCGCAAAAACACGAGAGAAAACAAAAAAAAATAGAAGTTGTTGGCTTTTTCAAAAACTCCGGCACGGCCCCAACAATAAAAGAGAATACAAAAAAGAAAACCTTGTGGGTGTGGGTGTGGATAAGTGGTCGTTCCCCTCTGCCTTCCTCCGCACCTCGCACAAGCACTGAAAAAAAAAAAATAAAGAAAAAGGCGCGAAGCTCGTTCATGCCCAATTAGGAGAGGATGCCGATATGATACATATATATTTTTATTAAAGCACGCATAATATAAGAACAATACTCATTTAAGTGGAGAAACGCCACGCTTGCGCAACTTACGAGTACGGAGCACACCCGAGACGGATCATAGAGGACGACGGCGTAGAGGGGCGCGAGGGGTCCGACACGAGTGCAGTGTTGCTCCTGTTACAATACGACCGCCATTGCAGCTCATTTTCTGGCGCGAGGTCGTACTCGCTGCGCGCGTCGCGGGCGGAAGAGGCCGGCACGAGAGGAGGAAGCCCGGGCGCAGGACTGTGGAGTCGCTCCCGTCTATTTGACACACAGGACGCTGAAGGTGACCGAGACGGGGATGCCGGAAACGCAGTAAACTCACCAGATAATTCAGGTGGAAAGGCGGGGGGAGACGAAAGTCGGCTTGGCGGGTCCACATCACTGTACGCGTAAGGTGGCGGCATCAAGGCCGGCGGCAGTGCGCGAGGAGGGGACGGCGACAACCAAGAGGGAGGCTGCACACGCAAAGGGGAAGAGAAGGGGGAGGTGGACGCGGCGTCGAGGTAACCGTTTTGATACAGCGCCGGTGCCGGATAACAGGGAGCTATTGCGTACGTCATTGGAGGAGGATGCGGCATCACCGCCAAGTCACGCAGATGATGGCTGCTACGGCTGCTGTTGTTCGTGTTACTACCGCCTCGGTCGAGATGACAATGGCGGTGGTGCCGCGGCAGCCCTCTGTGTGACCGGCTGCGTCTGCCTGCTTCGTAGTCATCTCTGCTCTCCTCTCGCGTTGGGCTACAACTGCGACCATGACCTCTGCTGCAGTTGCTGCTGCTGCTGCGACTGCGACTGCGGCTGCGGTCGTGCCTGCGCCGGTGATCGCCGCAATGGCAGTGTTTTGTGTAGAAACAGCAGCAAACGATGCGGCGAAACCAAAACACGCAGAAGATGACGGCTGCAATGATGAGGTACACCACAAGGTCGAGCAGTACAAGTCCCCAGCAGCCGCGCTTCGAGGCGCAGGCAACGTTCAGCGTGCCGCAGGTGCCACACGTCACAGCCGACGACTCCTCCTTGGAGCCGCCACCGCCACCACCGGCTGTGCCTCCCTGCGTTCCGTTGTTGAACCCGGGAGCGACCACCGTCCAGCTGACCACGCGTGTGTCCGTGACGACCTCCTCAGCGTTTCGCACCACCACAGAGCAGTTGGCGTCCGCAGAGACCGCATAGTCTTGCATGTACACGTTGAAGCGCAGCGCGAATTGCTGCTGCGCGCCGAGGGAGAGGACCTGCGCCGCCATGGGAAAGACACCTTTCGTGCAGTTCTCCACACTCACGACGAGACGCCCCGTCACTGCCGCGACGTTTTGGATGACCGCAGACAGCACGCCGTCCCTTGTGTCGGCCTCCAGCGTTGCGTTGTTGAGGGCTGCGGACAGAATCTTGCCGTTAGCCACACCAATGTGGTACTCCAGGTCGTCCGCGTCGACGGTGAGGACGATCATCGCCGCTGCCGGTGAGGCAGCGATGTAGGAGATGTACGGCGAGACCTGTTCGGCCGGAGACGCCGACGTGTTCCACACCCGCTCCAGATCGAAGTCGCCGTAGCCGGTGGCCATGTACTGCGCCTTCTTGCCTGCCGCCACACGCGCCAGGTCCGACGTGCGGTAGTCCTCCAGTTGGGAGCTGAGGCAGCTGCCGGGCCTCAAATTGCACCTGTTCCCTTGCGATGCGAAAGCCTCGTAGGAGACGCCGACTTTGTTGCACTCAGTCCCATCCAGGGTGACCAACGTGTTGGGCAGCACTATCCACTCCGCCGCACCTGCCCGCACACGCTCGTCTGTTAACGGGAGCGCCGGTGCGAAGAGCATGCGCGAGGTCAGGTCCAGCGGCTGGTCGGTGGGCGCGAAGCTGCCGACGAGACGCGCCGAAGCACCCCACCCGCCTCCCGCGTTGTCGCCCAGGACAGACGGGGATAGCTGCAGCACCACCGTTTGCTGCGTCATTGACTGTACGATTCCGTTGCTCCCGTTGGGCGGGTCGGCGGTGATGTTGCGCGAGACCGTCACGTTCAGGGTGAGCCACGTGATGTAGGAACCGATGGTGTATCCGCTGTACCAGCGCTGCCCAAAGCGCAGGCATGAGGCAGTGGTGTAGGCGTCAAAGAGGTTGCACGCCTGGTTCGCCCGCGCGTCGGGCACGCAGAAGCCCAAGGTTTGGCACATGCTGCAGTCACAGCAGAAGCCCTGCGAGAAGGGGATGGCTTTGCTGAACGCATCGTAGGCGATCCCGCACGTCGCCGTGCCGGAATCGAAGTCCGCGTTGCACTGGTTCAGCAGTCGCCCCTTCACAGTCGCCTCGTACGGTTTTGCGTTGTAGTTTTGGACGTAGAAGATGGGGTAGCGGTAGCGCACCGCACTCCGGCTTGTCGTGATGGCGATGGGCGCGAAGTTGACCGTCGTCGTCGTGTTGGTCGCCGTGCCGGTAGAGGTGGTCTCGTCCACAGCGGAGTTGAGAAAGACGAGCGACTCCTCATCCGCCTGTTGCCCCGCCTCGACAGTCAACGTCACCACCATTTTCTTGGTGCAGTTGATCGCATCATCGCCTCCGTCGGTGCAGTAGATAATCCTCGACGATGCAACGAGCGTGGCCTGCGCGTACTGCGTCAGCAGGAAGCCGACGCTAAGGCAGAGTAAATAGAGGAGGCGTAGGTCCTGCTGGGTACGTCGGCCGACATTCTTCGTGATCAACCTCTTTTTGCTTGGGATGCCACAGCGGGAGCGGCAACGGGTGTCGCGATGGAAGGCACCGTGCACCATGTTTTGCATCCCACACCATAAAGCTATAGCAATGCGCAGGAAAAAGAGCATCAGCGAGGTGTCAGCGGCGCGCGGGAGAGTATGCAGCAGCCTGCCTGTGTGAATGTCCGTGACCGGCCGCAGTGGACCGATGTCAAATGGGCGGGCAACGGCACTTTCCCTTTCCATCTGCTCGTCTGTAGCCAACGACAAGCGCGAGTTTGTGTTTCAACACCAAAAAAGAAAGAGCGCGAAAATTGAACGGCTCAATAGCGACAGTGAAGACCGCGCAGGTGAGGAAAGTGCGATGCCGCGATTCGCAAAAGACTTATCTGAAGCGAGTGTAAAGCTAACGGGGGCGGCGGGGGAACAAGAACAAAAAAAAATGGATTTGTTTAAACACCGCGAGGGAGAACACTGTATGCTATTCGACTGGAAATAGACTCGACAGTGAACGTTGTGTCCTCGATACTCGTCAAGTGAGTGAAGTAATGCATACAAAGGTCAAACAGTTGCATATATTTATGTCTCGTATATTTCAATTTGCAACGAGCAAGCGTGTTCGACACGCATGCGTACGTGTGTTAAACGGCAACAGGAAAGAAGGAGAAAGCAGCAGAGGGTGTGTTTTTTGGGGGGTAGAAACGACAGTGGATGCGGCAGAGATCACATCGCCTACTAAGCAAAAAAAAAAAGAAGAGATGCGTGAAAACAGAAGACTAATCGCGCGTAGTGCGGAAAGTGATTGACCACATCTTTTAACAGAGACTGCTTTGATAAACACCGCTAACACCACAGCGATGTTCAGCGGCACGGCTATTTATTGTTTGTTGTTTTACACGGATAAGTGATGTAGCACGACTTCTGCAACGTCAATAACGTTAGATGCGTCAGAGCAACGGAGGTGAACAGTAAAAAAAAAAGATGGAATTAATAAGAAAATAACAGTAGCGAATATCGAGCAAGCAGTTGCATCTCACCTAGACGAGAGCATGGCCAAGAAAAAAAAATGTATAAAAAGCAACACGGAGAAAACAAAAACCGAACGTTACAGCGGCATTAATGCAAGAGGACGAAAACAAAGACGATGCCGACGAGAGAATATTAACGAAGGCGTGGTAAAGGAGCCAAAAACAAAAAAATGTTAACTTCACAGCGCGTCGCCTGATCTGTCACACGCCTTTTGTGGTGTCTGTGTTGCAACGCATCATGCCGCAAGACCTTGGCAAAAACGGCACCGTGTCCGTCAAGTCAACGTCTTCCGCAACCATCACAACATTCTCGTTGAGGAGCTGCTCGGGAACGGCGTGGAGGTCGGGGAAGGTGAGTTGCAGCCACGTCGTGGTGCAGATGACAGGAGTGGTGATCCCTGCAGGTGGGGGCAGCTTGTTGCTGTCGTGCATGGTTCGGCGAAATTGCTTTGGGAGTCGTAACTCCACCCCAAACATGCACGTGTCGTTGGCGTGAATCTTCTTGTTGTAGGTGTAGGAGGCGAGGGTGTAGCTGACGCTCTTCTGTGAATCCGACTTGTCAGTCCGCCGCACCCGCTCGAAAAGGTCCACGCGGACTTTGCTGATGCTCACAAACCCCGCATGCACCTTCACTCGCAGGCGCAGCACACCGTCGAGTGCTGACTGGCTCGCGGAGGTGGGATCGCTCCGTCTCGCTGCAATCCTGCCGGCACTCGTCTGTCCACTCGGGGCACCCACGGCTGCGTGCACCTGGGAAGGTAGCTGAGCAGATGATGATGCTGCTGGTGGTGGTCCTGATGCGGGCATGACGTCAGCTACACCCGCTGGGAAGACCACCTCGCCCGTCGCTGTCAGACCTGCAGGCACGCCGAGAAACTTCACTGACTCTCGTCCACCCGTGCAATCGGAGACAGGGCGAGGGCAGTTGCCGACACCGCCGTCAGGTCCGGTGTTCATCCCAAGCGCTTTCCGCACACGCTCGATTGACTGCGGCCGACCACACAGCACCACCGCAGCGCTAGAGTCGTAGGTGATCCGCACGTGGATGTCGGTAAACGGTGCCTTAGCCAGTCCTGTAAGACCGAGGCTGTGCTTGTACAGGTGGAAGGTCAGCTTCTGCGAAAAGGGCGGGGGAATGGCAACGCGCTCCATGCATTGCAAAAATTCACGTTGTGGAAAGGCCGACAGCACCACAAGCTCCTTCGTTTGGTCACCTGCTTCAAGGCAGCGCGCGAGCTTCCCGGCTTCAGCGGGCAGTTGGAATTCGGCTAAGAGTCGGCACGGAGCTACAGAGTCGCTTTTTGCGTTCTTTGGCATAGCGACCTCGTCTAACAAACTCCTCACTTTTGCCGCGCCGCTGCTGCGGTTAGTGCGTGGCCCATTGCCAGGTTGGGGATCCATCAACACCCTTGTAAGGCCATTGTGTGAGTTGTCAGCAGCAGCACGATCGACAGGGCCAGGTATGCAGCCGGCTGCCTCTGCGACAAAGGCGCACACCATGTAGCGCATGCTTGCGTCCGCCTCCCCGCCACCCGGCTTGTAGCAGTACGACGGAGGTAGCCACGGTGGAAGTTGAAGGGTAAAAGGGTATTCGTAATGCCCACCGGGTACCCACTCCAGCGGCGTTGACGCCGTCGTCTTCTGTAACGAGGCGGCGGCTGTCGAGTTGAGCCCAACGTAGCCGCCCCTCTCTCCCGCAGCGCCGCCCTCGTCATCCCCGTCGTGCGGGTTCACCGCCACGCCCAACAGCGGGTGGTTGCGTGCCTCCTGCGTGGTGAACTCCGCAATGCTGTGTTGCATTGCTGCAGCTTGTGCCGCTTCATGAGAACCATGTTCACCCACCAGAGTGGTAATCAAAGCAACGTGCTCGATGACGTTGCCGCCGTCGCCGCTGCCCTCCACGCCGTGGACGAGCGCCCGCACCGCCACTGGGGATGCGTACCCTTCTTGCAGCAGAGGGTCGACATCAACGGTGACGACGCCGCTTACATGGTCGGAGAGGCACACGGTGTCACACTTCAACTTAAGACCAAGTCGATAGGGCAGCATGTGATGGAAAGAAAACGCGTACGTGGAAGCGTGTGCTTGACAAGGCAGGCCACAACGCACACAGGAAAGAAAAGGTAAACAAAGAAGCACAGCACAAACCGATGAGGTGGAACTCACCGGTCAGAAGGGGGGGGGGAGGGGGAGAGAGAACAAAAAGAAGACGAAGGGGGTGGGGAAGAGGGCTAAACTACGTGGGTGCCATCTAGCAGTTATCAGCGCAGATAAAAAAAAAGGAGAGGCAAAGAAAAAAGAAAAGAGGTAGGACAAGGAATGCAAAAACACACAATGCACGGTACCGTTGTGAAAGCTTCAAAGAAAGGAAGGAATACTGCCGAAGCTGCATCATCAAGTACTTGGAAAGCTCCTCTTTCAGCAACGAAGAGCGAACCTGGAAGGTTTTTTGTTGTTGTTGATGCACATTTTCGTAAACGTCTTCATTCACGCTTGCACTTGACGTGAGTGGAGAAGTCGTTTGTCGTTTGTGATAGCGCATAAAAGATAAGTATTTCTATATATTTTTTTTTCGTGAAACACGGGAAAAGCTGCTTTAAAACCGCTTGCAAGTACCAGAAGTTGGTGGTGTATGTGAAGGTACTAAAAGGTGTCGCCGCAATATCAATATTAATAAAAACGACTAGCAGAGACCACTGTGCAGGAAGGAAAAGGCAAAGAACCAGATCAGCATTCCTCCCTTTCCCGTTTTCCACTGAAGTCTAGAACTTGGAAGAAGAAGTGTTTCGGACAAAAGCAAAACGGTTTATCGAAGGTTTGCTTACGTGCCTGAGAGCACCTTCATCTTAGCACGGCGCCACGAAACTGACGCGCAAGTGCACGCATGCAAAGGAGAGTCACGGATACGCCAAACAGTCACAATCAGGCAAAGAAATAGCCACGCCCTGCCTTGGTACGCGTTTGCGCGTAAGTGCTGTTTTTGCCTTAGCTGTAGCGCACAGGGAGCTCAAGCACCTCGTCGTTCAGATCCACCGTCTCCGCCATAATCACCACACCCTTCGTCTCTTCTTCTTCCTCCACGTAGGTGCACATGCCAGGGAAGCTCACCTGCACAAACGCATTGCTCGTCATGTTTGCCGTTCGCACCCCAGGCGGGGGCAGCAGCGACGCACTGTCCGTTGCGTGCCGACGGAAGCGCGGCGTCAGACCCAGCCGCACATCAAAAAGCGCCTCGTTCCCCGGAGGAATCGGCGTGGTGTAGTCAAAGCTCGAGTACGAGATTCCCGGGAAGGTGTGGGGCGTGACAAGCGACCTGAAGATCTCGACCTTCGCCTTCAGCTCTACGCGTACGCGGCGCACCGTTTCTTTCGGGCAGTGGTTGCGGACCCGCACGCGCAGCATGACGCCGCCGACCGGCCACGGCACATCCGACGCCGCAACGGCCGCATCTGGCGGGAGAACCGGCGCGGGACTGCGGAGGACCGGAGCGCCGAGGACGATGCCGGCGGCGCTCGGCGGTGGACGAACGCCCAAGGCACATGAGGCACCCAACTGGTCCGCCAAGAGCACAGTGCGAGCGCCAACGACGAGAACCTCCGCCTCCAGCGCGTTCTGGGATTGCAGGCAGCACAAGTTGTTCATCCAACCGCAGCGGAACGACTGGTAGAGCGAGGACGAGGCCAGGTGGGTGTCCGCGTACGGCTTCGAAACGAGGACGCCAGCAGCCGTGTGGCCGTCATCGCCGCAGATGTCGCTCCAATTGTGGTCCTGCTGCCCGACGGCGTTGCTTGTGGAGCTCCCTTGGCGCTTATTCAAGTTCAGGGTGTCGATTTGATAGTACTCCGCCACCAGCTGACGACGCGGCATCACAGAAAGCACGTCAAAGACGGTCTCCGCGACGAGGTCAGCAGGGCTGTAGAGGGGCAGGTGGCGGAGCCGACGGTGCGAGCGCTCGCCTGCCACCTCGTCACCGACGTCGATTTCACCCTCCTGTTGTCCCTCCACCCCATCGTCGCTGCGGGCACGGTCGGCCGAGGTGTGCTGCGAGGAGGAGAGCGGGGCATCCATGTTGCCGGCCCGGCCTAAGGTGCCATCGCGCCGGCGCAGAACCGGACCGCCCACCATCGCTGCGGGGACGACGGCGATTCGGTGAAAGGTTGCCTGTGCATCCCGCGCGCTGTTGCTCACGTCCTTCCTCAACTGGTAGCACCACGACCCCGCGCCGTTGCCTGGGAAAAGCATTGTGGCATACGCGGAGTACTTGAGCTCGCCTATGGCACCATGAAAAGAGTAGTAAAATGATGGCGGAAGCCACGGCGGAAGGCGAAACGCGAAGGGAAAGGTGTGGGTGCCCGGCATCAAAACTGGGAAGTCGACCGCCTCCATGTCATTTGTGCGCTGCGCATCGCCGTTGTCACCTGTGCCGATTGGTTCGTTGCCTCCTTGCACCGCTTCGTGGCCGGCGATGTTTGCTTCGACTTTCACCGAAGCACCGGGAGCCGCCCCGCTTGCCGTGTGCGTCGTCCCGGCAGCCATCTCCACCCCGCCGGCTGCGAGCTCCTCTCGTGGGTAGTGGCGGTAAGCGTCGCGTTTGCGCTTCGTCGGGGCGACGGCGGCGTAGGGCGTGGCGCGGTGCTGGTGGAACATCAACTCCTGCTTGCACTGCGCGGCCGTTTCGGCGTCCTCGGTGCGCGTTTTAAAGCCGGCAAGCGTGACGTGGCGATCGAGGTAGACACGCGATGACGTGTACTCGTTGAGCAGCGCGTCGAACTCGCCCTGGTCGTCCCACACACAGCTGTGCTCGATGGAGAGAAGGTCGAGTCGGACCGCTTCGTAGACGACACCGTTCCTGTACGAGGAGTCCACCTTCACCTTCACTTCCCCATGCAGGAAATTCCCAGGGGCCAACTCCGCCTCTGCCACGGCAATGGAGAGGGAAACACCACGACTTGATGGCATTGCTACAAAGAAAAGCCAAGGAAAAGAATATACAGAAGGAAAGAAGAGTTTGTGATAATATACAGAAAAAGTATGTTCGAATTGCTTAGCCCAAGGTTCAATTTGAAGAAGAGAAAAAAGCAGGCACTATCAGGTGCAACTGGAAACCCGGCAGATCATAACACTACTATTTATATAACAACGTGTTGTTCAGTGTATCCTTCGCTTTCCGCCTAAATCGGCGACCACTCACATGTGTGTGTGTATGTCTGCACGTGTGCGTAGGCTATATAGTTGAAGTGCGGCTGCGAGCGCACATTTACAGGAAAAGGGAGGAAAAGAAAAGAGGAAGAGCGGCAGTTAATTTAATCAAACGGGAAGGTGGCGCGATCTGGACTTCTTCCACTGCAGTGGAGCACGTCGAGTGGGGTGCCGTACATGCGCGCAAAGAAGGACACCTGACCGGATTACGATCCAAACGCATACTCCGCTAGTCCGTCGGTAAAGTAATTTTAAAAGTAGTTCCTATTTATTTGAAAAAGAATCTTACATCAGTCGAGGTGAGTTCTTCTCATTTTCTACTTCTTTCTTTTCTGTAAGGTTGACACACACAGAACAACAACAACAACAGCAAACCTTCTGCGAGGGTGTTCTTTCGGTTCTTACTGATCCAAGACCAAAAAAAAAAAGTGAAGATGCGCAGAATACATACGTAAGCGTTACATGTGAAACAACAACAGACATATAATACATGAAAAGAAAAGAAATGCAAAGACATCCAAAAAGGCTTTTGTGATGCTATGGGAAGAGTTCTTCTAGTGAACCGTAAAACCAATGATAATAATAATGAAACACAAATACAACGTACGAAATGTTGGGATACTGGCACACATCGAAGCATCACAGTTCAGATACCTTTTTCCCCACCCCTCGAGTACAAGGAGAAGCGGCAACGCAGCACCCCGCTACTGCGCGGCGGAGTGAACGGGCGGCAGTTGCAGCTTCGGTTTTGTCTCCCACGTCAGCTCGTCAGCGTACACGCAGTTGATGTTGGTCGTGTCATCGTACGGCGCACAGTACTGATACGTCGCACGAGCCGGGTAGCGAATACCCATGGTGTAGCCCTTGTTGTTGGTCCGGTCACCGTTGATGCTGCAACTGTACAGCGTGCTGTCGTTGTAGTGTGCACCAGGGCCACCGCCGTTGTCCGCTTCGGCGGAGGGCCGAAGGTCGCCACCGCGGGGGTGGAAGTCGCCCTTGTAAAACACCGGCCCTTGACCTCTTGCGTCGTCGATGGTGCGGTAGTGCCCGGGGCCCGGCACGCCGTTGTCGGCGTTGCCAAACTTTGAGCTCGACGTGTGCCCGAAGATGGCGGCGGGCGCGCGACACTCGGTGAGGTTCGACTGCGGCTGGTAGGATCCGGGACCCGGCACCTGATGTGTCGCCTTCAGCCCCCGCGCAAGCTCCGCCCCCGCCGTCTCCTCGGCGAGCTGGGCGGCGTTTGGGTTGTACGGACCGGCCGTAAAGCGACCGCCGCGGGGCAACGGGCTCTCCCAGAAGCCCGGCCCGTTTGGATTCGTGTCCGCCACCGCGGCCCCACGCGGCTGCTCGGCCAGCACGCGCCACTTGCCCAGGATGGACTTCCCCTTCCTGAAGTTGTAGTCGAAGTCCGACGGAAGGGTCGGTAGCGGCTGCGGGGAGTCGGACGACGCATCGGGGACGTTTTTGTTCCTGTTGCGCAACGCCCTCGCTGAGCGGCCCTTCAGCTCTGGCTGCGTCGCAGCAAACTTCGGCGAGTGGCGCTGGTTCCGCTCCAGCAGTTTCGCCGCGTGCAGGGTGTTGTATGCCGCGGGTCCGGGACCTGCCGTGTGGAACTCGCGCTTCTTCCAGCGCCCGCCAAAGGTGGAGTTCGGAGCGAAGAGCCGTTTCGACTGGATCTGCGCCGCCCGGTACCCAATGGACGACGGGTCGTCGTAGGCGCCAGGGCCAGGCGTGTCGGATGCACCGCTGTTGACGCCACGCGGACGGCGGTGCCGCGAGAGGACGGCCTCGTGCGCGCGTGGCAGCTCATCGCCGAAGCGCACGAGGTTGTACGTCCCCGGCCCCGGCACGCCTTCTCTCGTCCGGGCGTCGAGCAGGTCGGTGCGCATCCCGAGGTGTACGCCTGGCGCTACGCCGGACTGTTGCTGCCGTTGCGCGGGGTCGAACTCATCAAAGTAACCCGGCACCGCGTACGCCGCCGGCCCTGGCGACGCGTAGCTGCTCTGCAGTTCCCACTCCGACTTCAAACGACTGTAAATACTATACGACGGGGTGTCGGGGCAGAGGGCCATACTGTACTGCTTGGGCTCTAAAGGAAGACTGGAAGCCTCTGCTTTGGCGGGGCTGCCGAGAGAGCGCGAGGCATCGCCCTTTGACGATGACGTGGCCTTGCTCGGCAGCGGCGACGCAAATCGAGTCGCACGGCCGGTGCCGATGGTGGAGGGAACGTCGTGCATCCCGGCGCCGATGCTGCACGACTCCCCGCTCAGTGGCATGTAATTACGGCCGAGGATGGACCGCTTCGACGAGTCCGCGCCCGGGCCAAACATGGGCGGGAGCACGTAATCGCCGTTGCCCGGCCGGTGATCGCGCAGGCGCAGGTGCGCGTAGTTGGTGAAGCCTCCGATCATTTGGGCAGACTAAATAATGGCAAGTCTATACGAGAGTGAACGGCAGAGAGAGTTTTTTGTGTGTGAGGGAGAAAGGAAAAGGGAGAAAGGAAAACGCTCCGGTGCAAGAACGCGTATGGGAGCTCACGACGAACCGTCGCCCTTTCGCTCGCGAACTTCGCAAGGTTGTAATAACTCACTAAATGGGGTGTTACTGATCGGCACAACGAGCAAAAACCCAGCGTGGAAAAGGAAAAGAGAAAAGAAGAGGGGAGAAAAGAAGCTGACAACGTAACTAGCAACGAAGCACTTCATAATACAAAGGGGAAGGTACACCTGCCGATCAACAACACACGCAATCCAAGTGCAAATGTGGAGGCTGGAAAAAAAAAGCGCTCGCCCAAGAGAGGAAAGCTGTCTTCCCGCCCTCCTCAGGGTCTCTCCTTACAGCTGGAAAGACTGCGCACGCCGCAAAACTTTGCACACAGGTTAATCGCTCTGAGAATTTCGCACACGTTTTCAACCTCCGACGAACATTTCGGTGCTCCTCGTTTGCGATGCCTTGGAAAAGAACGGTGGCTCTCCCGCACTAGAAACACAAGTTGTGTAGCTAGGCAATTGTGCTGGTTGTGACGAATGATACATGTATTTTTTTTTTTACGTAGAAATGAAATGAAAAAGATAAAGAGGAATGTAGAAGTGAGAGTCGGGCGATTTTGGTTAGTGCCGAAGCACACGAGAAACAACCTACACGCAAAAAAATGCAGCAGCCGTTCTCATAGTTGCCTCATCGAAGGTAACGCAAACAAGGCCCTACAGCGTATTGCGACGACGGAAGCGTAAACCTCCGGTTAGGTGACCTACTCCGCAGCGGCGGCAGCGGGGGCCTCGACAGCCTCCTCCACCTCGCGCGCGTCGGCCTCCACAGACGCCGGGATGGTGCCGTGGGCGCTCAGGAGCGCCTGCGCATCAAACTTCGGCGTGCGCACCACGCGCACCTTGCGGATGCGCAGCTCGCGCAGCGGCACGATCGGGTTGCAGCGGCGCACCAGAGCATCGCTCAGCACGTTGCGGGTCAGCAGGGAGACCGCCTCCTTGATGTGCACCTTCGACAGGCGGCGCTTGATCATCTTGGTCACGCGCATGCGCAGCCACTTCACCAGGCGCTGCTTGGCGTAGCAGTTGCGAGACTGCTGGTTCGGCTGCGGCTTCGTGAAGGCGACAACGAACAGGCGCATCGTGTAGTTGTCGGCCGTCTTCACCTCCACCGTCGTCTCCATCGTCGTGCACCACTTGCGCAGAAGGCTGGCCATCTTGTCGGTGGTCATCTCCATCGAGTGGAACTGCGTCAGCAGGTTGCGGCCCTGCACCTCCTGCACCGTGAAGCGCACCTTGCGGTACGCCTCCTCCTCACCAGCGGACTGGTTCAGGTCGGCGAGGTTCGCCTCGAACACGCGACCACGGAGCACGTCCGCCGCGATGCGGGTGCCCTGGGTCTTGTTGCAGATCGTCTTGGCGAACTGGCGCTTCTCGAAGTTGGCCGGCGCCACGACGTCGTACCACTCCTTGCGGGCCATCGTCTCCTGGGCCTTTCCGCGCTTACCGCGCTTGCCGCCCTTGCTGATGCGCTTGTTCTTGCCCAAAGCCATGACTCAAACTCGTATTCTTTTTGTTGTTATTGAGGATGAAAATTAGGTGTTGTGCAGTGAGCAGCGTGTGCACGTCATCACACCGTAGAGGAGTGACGCGATGACACCAATAGTGTGAGGATGTTCAGGTAAAGTACAGCCGCACACGCAAAAAAAAGCCACCAATAGTAACGTATTTCAAACAAAAAGGCAAGGAGTTTTTGAAGAAAGAAGTAAGGGAGGAGGAGGGGAAAAGAAGGAAATGAGAGCTGCGGTTGACATTCGTTGTTGTTGTTTTTTCACGCTGTGTCGGAGTGTCCTTCAGTACGAGCGTTGAGAGCAACGTGCGGGAGAAACACAAATAGGCAACGGATCGACTTCCCTGCAGGCGCTGCGGTATCGCCCCAGTACGTGGAAAGGAAGCGGTGGAGGGGCCGCACGGTTCGCGGACGCAGTTTCGCAGCATTACCTCGGCCTCTTCGGAGTTTTTAGAGCTCACTCCAAGCGCACCCGCACTTCTCCTCATGTGCACGCTTGATTACTACGTTTGAACCTTGTGTGGATGTGTGTTTTTGTGTGTGTCTCCCGTCGTCTCGGCCAACACCAGTAGAAGAAAGAGAGAGGACAAAGAGAGGAAATAAGCCTGGGAAACAGCTTACCCTCTCCTACCGCACCTTCTTGCATACCGCGAAGACCCGAAGACGTGAAACAGGGAAAAACAAGAAAAACAATTAAAAATGATCGGAGAAAGTGGCCCCCAGCGATGTAAATCACAGAAGGGCATTTCTTTCTAGCAGCAGACAATCCGACACACCGCTTTCTCGGTTGAAGTGAAACACAGATGGTGGTGGGTGCGGAAGAGGGAGGGAGAGATGAAGACTTGCTACGGTGACCTACTCCGCAGCGGCGGCAGCGGGGGCCTCGACAGCCTCCTCCACCTCGCGCGCGTCGGCCTCCACAGACGCCGGGATGGTGCCGTGGGCGCTCAGGAGCGCCTGCGCATCAAACTTCGGCGTGCGCACCACGCGCACCTTGCGGATGCGCAGCTCGCGCAGCGGCACGATCGGGTTGCAGCGGCGCACCAGAGCATCGCTCAGCACGTTGCGGGTCAGCAGGGAGACCGCCTCCTTGATGTGCACCTTCGACAGGCGGCGCTTGATCATCTTGGTCACGCGCATGCGCAGCCACTTCACCAGGCGCTGCTTGGCGTAGCAGTTGCGAGACTGCTGGTTCGGCTGCGGCTTCGTGAAGGCGACAACGAACAGGCGCATCGTGTAGTTGTCGGCCGTCTTCACCTCCACCGTCGTCTCCATCGTCGTGCACCACTTGCGCAGAAGGCTGGCCATCTTGTCGGTGGTCATCTCCATCGAGTGGAACTGCGTCAGCAGGTTGCGGCCCTGCACCTCCTGCACCGTGAAGCGCACCTTGCGGTACGCCTCCTCCTCACCAGCGGACTGGTTCAGGTCGGCGAGGTTCGCCTCGAACACGCGACCACGGAGCACGTCCGCCGCGATGCGGGTGCCCTGGGTCTTGTTGCAGATCGTCTTGGCGAACTGGCGCTTCTCGAAGTTGGCCGGCGCCACGACGTCGTACCACTCCTTGCGGGCCATCGTCTCCTGGGCCTTTCCGCGCTTACCGCGCTTGCCGCCCTTGCTGATGCGCTTGTTCTTGCCCAAAGCCATGACTCAAAAAAAACCCCGACCTAGGTGATGTTGAGGTGGCGTGTAGAGTATTGTGTGTCGGACGCCGCGAAGGGAGTGAGGAAAAATACGAAAACAAGGGAGCGCCACGGGTCAGAGAGAAATGAGAGGTTAGTGGGAAACTAAAGGGAGGAAAACCAGCAGGCACGACTTTGTGTGCGAAATCTGTCTGTGTGATGTGGTTATGCATCCACAGCAGTAAGACTGAAACAAGGGTAATGAACTGCGGGCGTGAGAAGGAACCGCAATGCGCACTGACTTGAACAGAACGTGTCTGTTTGAGTGGGGAAAGATGTGACACCGCCATCACGCAGAAAAAAGGCGCGCAAACGTTTTATTCGTTCACTTGATTCCTCTGCCAAAGAGCAGTCATGCATTGGAAGGGCAACTAAAGCCTCTTTACTGTGCCAAGAACACCTCACCATCCACCGACACCCCAACCGCCGCGACGCCGCTCAAACTCTGCGTAGAGACCCACCCACCCTGCCACACACTCGTGCAACTCACGGAGGTGCTCAGCCGGGTGCGGAACGTGCCGCCAGGCCCCATCGAATCCACGTCAAAAATGGGCGGTGCTGAGGCAGCACAACCATTACCCTTCTTCTCCGCCGCTTTGTTCACCTCTTCCGTCTTTTTGAGAGTGCCGCTGCGCTGCTTCTTCTGTGACTGCGCCACCGCACGCGCCGCCAGCGACAGCGTCGCCTCCTGCGTCGCATCGTTCGTCTTGTCGTACAACGACACAAGGCGCACCTCGGAGTCGATGCCTGCGCACACGATGCCGCGACCAGCCGCCACCGACGCCACGCTACCAATCACGTACTTCAACACGCTGGACGACGTGAAGAGACGGTTGAATTTGCGCAGGTCGTACACGCAGAGCGCACGATCGACGGCACAAGCCACCTCGAACGGGTTGGCGGTGCTGCACACGTCGCGCACCTGTCCCACCGTGCTGGTGAGACGCCCCGCGACGAGAGGTGGGGGGAGTGGCGGTGGAGGTGGGGCCGCGGAGTCCCCTGTGCTAGTGTGTTTCCCTTTGCTAGAGGCGGCGCTGCTTTCTCCACGTTCTTCGTGTTGCTGCTGCAATTTCTCCGCCTCCGCCGCCTTCTTCGCCGCTGCCCATTCCTCCTGCGCTGCGTAGACCTCACCCAGCGAGAGCACCGCACTGGGGCAGCGCACGTCGAACATCGTGGCGAGGCAGCCCTCCGTCACCAGCACACAGTGCGGAGCTGCCTGCACGGGTGGGCACAGCAGACCGGTGGGTGGGTGGGTGGTGCTGTAGACGCGCACTACCGCGTGCTGCACTGGGTCTATCACTCGCACATCGTGATAAAACTCGCGGACTGAAATGAGTTGCGGCGCGTCGCTGCTGCTGCCTGCGCTTAGCATAGAGAGGCCGGCCCAGCCAGGTGCGCCACGTGCCACCGTGAACAAAGCTTCCAATTCACTGGAGGGAGAAGAGGAGGCAAAGGACAGAGAAGGCAGGTTGGACGGCAGGTGGGAGTGCGCCCCAGCCACCGAGGCCCACGCATCGACGGGCTCCGATTCGCCACGATGGCGCTTTGTGGCGGGCTCCTTGACGCCGCCCCGTGCGTCCCACCGGTGGTGAAAGACGTTGCCCACATCGTCACTGACGTAAAGCGGCACATCGCCCTCCAAGTACGCACCGGGGTCTTCGTCTGCTTCTGCGTTACGAGACGGTGCCCACAGCGCCACCACGCAGCGATGCGACGGAACGGTCGAGCTGCGCACCGGCACCCCGGGCGCCGACAGGTCGTGGTAGAGCGTCAGCTGCGTGCCGGTGGCTCCATCTGTGGTCAACAACCCACGCAGCGCAACCTCCGACATCACCTCGGGAGAGGAAGACGAGGACACGGCGGTGGCGGCAGGGGTGCCCGCCCGAAGCCTCCTCTCGTCCTTCTCGCGCTCTTCCTGTGCGGCGAGGGTCTCGCGGGCAGCGGTGCCGTCACCCTTCAGTCGACAGTGTTCGCCCAGTGCGTGCGGGGAGGCGGAGGGAGACGCCGGAGCAACCCAGGCGAGATGCGGCCGCGACGCACGTGGCACGTACGCCCGCTGCACCCCGAGCGGTAGGACGTTGTTGACTGTGGAGAAGTTGTAGGAGGGCATCATCATGACTTGGCCGAAGGCGAGTCCTGTCAACTTTCCCGATTATTTCTTTATTGTTGTGGTGGGTAAACGTGCGTAACACGGAGAAACGAGAAGCGCAGAAGTGAGAAAGGGTGAGGCAGCGGTTGGCAGTGGTAGTATGCGTGCAGGCAATTGAGCATGTGTTATCAAACATCTCGTGAAAGCAGCCGCACTCTTCTCTGAAGCAAAGAAGAGGATTTAGCTTTCCCCTTTTCTTCCACCGCGTTACAAACTGTTGCTGATAACAGAGAAGATGGGCAGCTTGGTTTCCAAAAAAAAAAGGAACAGCTTTCAGTTCTTTGAAGCACTCCTCTCGCGGCTCCAAGAAAGCTGAGCCCCTCTAAAACACACCGCGGTTTCGGTATTCTGCGCACGTTGCTGACGTCCATTTCTCCTTTCTCGTAGTTGATTGAGCGTCTGACTGAGTTCCAAAACAGAGTACCATACCACAGCGAAGAAACACACACACGCACGCACAAAAGGTGAAACTAGGATAACGTTTCCCCGTGCAAGATTTTTAAAAAAGGGATGAAAAACAACATCAGATAAATCAGCACACGTGGTAGAAAGGAAAAAGAACATCATCTACCGTTGAGGGTGTACTAACGGAGGCACTCCTTGTTGAATGTGCTGGCAACGCACATACAGAAAACACAAAAGACAGCCACGGATTCGGGAAAAATAAAACAGCGACTATGTTCAATTTTTTTTTAGCAAACAGTCATCATTAAAATACTCGGGAAGGCGCAGAGAAAGAAAAATGCGTGTGAAAGACATCTGAAAAAAGCCGAACTACGGGGATATCTTCTTCTTCATGGGGCGCGTGTCTGTGAGCATTCGCTTTTCTCTTTTTTTATTTGTTTGCACAATATGGGAAACGTGCGGCCCTCACCGCATCGCTTCACATGTCTTTGTATATCACTTTGGAAAAAAAAAGATTGAAAAGAGCAACCAAAAAAAAAGTCAGACAACAAGAAACGAGACTTGTCTATAAAAATACAGCTGGCCAAAGCAGAAACGACGAAAAGGAGGTGATTAATAAAAGCAAAAGACATTGAACAGATAATAGAAAAACACCAAACAAAACTGCTGAATGTGGCTCAGCAATTTCTGCGGTTGGCGACACTAAATCACTGGCGAGAAACAAAGCCAAGGGGGAAAAGGAAAGCAGCGACTTGATATCCTGTACAGCATCTACTGAACGAAACGGCAAAAAAAAAGTCGTGCAGCCTGTGACAAAATATTTGCATCCGTCAACGTTGTCCTCACATCAACTTCGCACGACCATATTTCTTCTCTTCACATCGTCCAGATTTGAAGGGCGAAGCGACACAATGCCAAAAGACAACATCACCAATGTATAGAAGTGCAAGATACTATTATGTAGAGTGAGAAAAGGGAAAAGAAAAAGAGCAGAGGGTAACAACGACAACAACAAAAAAGGCGCCAGTGCTGTGGTAGGAGCCGCTCTCAGACCGTCGTTGGCAAGGCTCTTCGTCAGCACACTGCCGACAGGGGAAGAAGGAAATACAAAACGCGCCACGCACGACTCCAAGTGAAAGACATAAGCGAAACACTACCAAAAAAAACCCCGAGAGGAGCTGATACATTGAATGTGAAAAACGAAAAATGAAGTGGAAGAGGTGAAGAGGAATAGAGCAACTGCTAAAATGTGCGGAAAAAGAGGAAACGCTGCGGGACTCTTCTCCGCATGATGAAAAAAAGCAAAAAAAAACATATGATCGAAAATCAGTAAATAATTAATTCCCGCTTTAAACATCATAGCTATTCCAGCGCTTCTCGTCGCCGACGCAGCCAGTCAGTCATGAACGCGACTGGGCTCTCAGGACGTGCCTCTAACAATGCCTCGCTCAGTTCATTAAAGAGACGAGGAATGTTGTTGTCGCGGAAGTACGGCTCACCAGTAGACTGTGACGAAGCCCCCGAGCTACCCGACTTCGCACAGCTATTATCGACAGATGACGGTGGAGAGTCATTTGCCGCTCTCACAGCATCTACCGAAGTGGTGGGACGCAGAGTCGCTGGGCTCGTCGTAAGAGAAAGCTGAGTTGCCGCCGTCGAGGCAGCAGATATCGAGCTACTTTTCCTTTTCGCTGGCTTCCCGCTATCTCTATCGCTCGCCGCGTGGGATGAAATAATGGCAGGCAAGACAACGGAGGAAGGTTTAGTGCTTGAAGAAGATGTAGCAACAGCAGTAACAGGAGCAGCAATAGCATTGCGGGGATCATTAAGGAAGGTGTGCGAGAGATTCGTACGCGTCAGCGGAGGCAAGACAGTATCAGAAGGCGAGGCGGCGACGGCGGCGAGAACGGGTGCGCCTACGCCGTCACGGGTACGACTACGCTGTGCTCCATGAGCTAGAACAGCAGCACCAGCAGCGGCAGCAGAGGTCGTGTTGGAGCGCTGTCGATGCGGGAGGGACGCCGGGGACGGAGGGGCGGCGGTGGAGGGCGAGGAGCTGTCCGGCTGAGACGGCGGGGTGGTGCAGCGCGCCGTCTCGACGGTCTCGGCGGGAGTGCTAGTGGTGACCGTCGCGACGCTGCACGACGGCGCGCTGCACCCCCGCGGTGCTGGTGAGGGCGGGCCCGACCCACCGTTTACCCGCTGCACCATCGCCCGGGACGGGTGGATGGGTGAGCCGCAGGACCGCGTCACGCTGCCTGATGCCACCGTCGTGGACGCGGCGGTGGCGGCAGCAGTTGAGACACCGACGGGGCTGCTCCCGACCGCGGAAGTCTTCGAGGCAGACGTGCACTCCGTCTCACCACGCGTGGTGGGCCCGAAGGACATGCGTGAATTACGAGAGGTAGAAGACGAAGAACAGCGCGATTAGCAGAGTTGCTGTTGCTTTCTTTTCCCGTCAATATGGCTGGCGACAATCAACGTACAAAGAAAAAAAAGGACGATGTGAGGCTCACCGACCGGTACGTATAGGTGTATATGTATATATATCAGGTAATCTGGAATTCGGTTTTTGATTTGCTGATGTATGCACGTGAGAGGGCAGATCTTTCAGACGATCACTTTACGCTGGTGCCGCTAAAAAAAAAAGGGAAGGAGGAATAAACAACTAATATAGGAGGGCAATGAAAGCGGCTTGTTTCAGCAGATAAACGTCACTCTGGTGAGTTCCCTTGCTGCTATGCTCTGAGACGTGTATGCAAACGCAGTGAGATGGTGAGGGGATTGGGGAGATCAGGAAAAAAAAGGCGACGCCGAGGGACGATGAAAAACAAGCAAACAATAGCATTTACTCCTAGCGATCGTTCAATCAACAGAGATGGTGGGGAGACGTGCGCACGGCAGAACTTGGTAGCGGCAAACCTACGCAAGCGGAGCCCATTCATCACTATCCTTTTGTTTCTTTTATCCCAGCCCTTCCTCCATGCGAAAGCACAAGACCTTTTTTGGTCCCAACGGAGCTCAACAACATTATCCCTGAGTTCATGGACAGTGCGGCTGCACCTAACCTTCTTATCCTATAGTGAAAGCTCATAACGTTTTTCTTTTCTTTTCATTATCATAGTACACAGCCCCAGCTCGTCCTTACACCGGAGTAGTTCAAATAACACTTGAATATATTTCTTTCAGGAAGAAAACGAAAGAGAGGTGATGAAAGAAATCTTCTATTTTTCGAGATTAGAGTGCGCAATACGCTGTGTATGTAGAACGAGGTTCACAGAAACCTGCTCGGCACTCGTACTCTGCAGCAGTACAACATCTTGAAATTCGACTGTGTTGAAACCAAAAGAAAACATATAAGTAGATGTGCCGCTCCTCAAAGAGACATATAAGAATAATGTTTTAAGGAGTGGAGCAACGGATCTACAGGATCCTTACTGATTTGATGTACGAAGCCGGCAGCGATAAAAAACACTGCTAGAACAATTTATGGGTTTTCTTCTCCTTCTCCTTCACTTGCAGTTTAGCGGACGCCATCCACCCCGAAAGCAACAACAAAGGAAAGGAGGAAAAAAAACAGAACAAATCAAAGAAAGCCAGCAATCGCGGCAGGCTTATGTCAGCAGTGATGCTGAGAGCGGTTATATGCCCTGGCATTTTCTTTTTAGAAGTCTTCATCGAAGCTCAGCTTCTGACTGTGCTTGGAGACAAAAGTGCTAACAAGTTGGCGGTTAGAGTTCTGCAAACGAGCGAGTTCGGCCTTTGAGAACGCGTTTTGGATGCTGTGCAGGTAGTCCGATTGCGACGTGGCCACCCCCGTCGAGCCAGCTTCTGCGACTCCGCGCTGCTGCAGGTTGTCGTAGCACCGCATGAGCACCTCATTATCCAGCACCAAAAACGTAGGGATGATCTGCACCTTGAAGAAATCGTAGATCGGCTTCGCCAGGTCCATGTCCGCCTTCACGGTGCACACCACACTGGAGGGCAAGTCCTCGCGAATGAAGTGAGGCATCTCGTGCACAAAGCGCATGCACGGCGGGCACCAGGACGCACCGCAATACAACACCGTGCGCGACTTCGCGCCAGGGGCCTTGGTGGCGAAGGACGGGGCCACGAGACGCACCAGTGTGCGGAAGAGATTCTCCATCGTGTACACCGGGCGGAAGAGGGTCAGGGAGTGCACCTGGTCGATGCTGGTGGCCTCCTTGACCACCAGAGGGCCTCCCTGGGTCGACATGCGGTCACAGAAGAGCTCCGCCGGCGTCGGCGAGGGCTGCGACGAGTACGTCTGCGGCGGGGCAGGGGGGTACTCCTCCCGCGGAGCCCCAGCAGCGCGCCACACAATCATGGCCGGGAACAGCAGAGGTTCCCGCTTGCTGCTGCCGCCGCCGCTCAGACTGTGCGGGTTGAGCACGGCGTCGATCGACAGCATCTGACGCAGTTTCTCGCGGACGACGTCGCTGGCGTGGTGGAGGTCGTTTGAAAGTGACGACACACTCGTCGCCTCGTCCAGCGTCGCCGCACCACCGGCCCCGACACCAGACGAGCGCGGCGCACGCTCCCGCTCCGCCGCCGTACTCGCCTCGGCCGCCGCCGTGGACACCGCCATGGGGTGCACCGCCGGCACTAACTCCTCCTCTTCATCCTCATCCTCGCTTTTGGTGCTGCCCGTCGCATTCTGCGTCACCTGCGAAGCGTTGCTGTGCGCTGCGCCAACCACCTGCTCTGTCGCACTGTTACGCAGGCCGTCTGCGGCTGTCGTTGCACCAAGGGCGGCGGTGCTGTGAAGCACAACGCTGCCTATGCCCAAGCGCTTGCCGGAGCTCAACTCGTAGTCCTGCGGTGGTAGCTTCGAGAGGTTCAGCGTGAAAACGCGCATCTGCGACAACTCGCTGGTCGCGGCGTTGATGAGAGGTCGCAGCGACGCCTCATCAAAGAAGAGCAGCAGCATGACGCTTTCGCCGGGCTTTAGTCGCAGGTCGGGGTGCGTCCTCTCCTTCGCCGAAGTGGTGTTGGCGCTGCTCACCAGGAAGGTCAGCTGACTGAGGCTGCGAAGGGTGGTGATCGCACCGTTTGTCGACACCGGCAGTGGAACGCACGAAATAGCGGTGGTGGTTGCGGTTGCGGAGCTGGCGGTGTTCGACCCAGACAGACGCGTGGAGGTACGCTGCACCGTTGCACTTGGACGTGCGGGATGCGCCACTCGCAGCACCTCCAGCATTCCCTTGCCGTCGTCGTCGTTTTCTCTCTCCTCCTTATCTTCGTGCTGCTCGTGGCTGGGGCTCTTGGAGGAAGCGGCGGTGGCCACCGGAGAAACGTCCTCGGCGGTGATGTGATTGTGCTCATCATCCGCAGTGCTGTCCTCTTCCTTTCCCTTCGAGGGCGGCGTGAGGGAGATGGAGTTGTGGCGAAGCCCGTCGTAGTTGAACGGCTTTGTGCAGTCACCCGTGCAGCGCGAGATGACAGGGCTGTCCACCTTCGCCCTCTTCGGCGCGCGGATGTGCTCCTCTTGCGTGTTGTCACACGAGATCATTATTCCTTGTGTGTTGTTCGTTTGTGTGTCTCTGCGAGTGTGTGTGTGTGTGTTAAGCCGTTCACTTCGTTCTTATTGTAGCACTGGAGTTTCTACGCGGCGTGCGAGGGTGTGGAAAGATAAAGAAAAGAAAAGACAAAGGCAGTAAGAGAAATATCTATGGAATGGGATGAGGCAGGGAGAGCTCACTACTCTGATGCTTTACCGTTTCTCTCAGAAGAGAGGATAAATAGCAATAAGGTGAAAGCGAATGAAGGAGTCAGTCGAGACGCTTCAAATGTATCAAGCACACGTACCTTTTATGATAAAGGTTTTGTATTCCCACCTATGAAATAGCTTTCTATGTGTGTGTGTGTGTGCGTTTGTGGTTGTGTGTACGTGCGTGGAACGCTGAGCGACGGTGTCTACAGCAGAAAACAATAGTTGGTCGTGTTTCACTAAGAATGCGAATGTGCGATGATGTGTGCGTCTAGCAGCACAGCGAGATCATAATCTATCGAGGGCTTTTTGTGTGTGTGTGTTTTGCTCCTCAGTAAAAGAAAGCTTGGAAGTCCGTGTGATTATTCTTGAAGGGTTTCTTACGTTGGAATGTGTCGCGTGTTTTTCTCTCTTTTAGAGAGAGAAGCGCTAGAGTTAAAGCAAACCAGCCACTCAAAACGGCAGCGCGACGCGTGTACCACAGGCACGGCGAGGCACAACCGCACATTAAACGCAGTGAGCACCGAAGCGGGAAGAGAAGAGAGAGAAGCAAACACCGGGGAAAAGCAAGAAGCCGTGAGAATTTAATCGAGCAGCACGGAACGGTGCGACAGAAAGAAAGTCAGAGTAGTTGTTGTGTTGGTTTTCTGACGGTACCCCGACACTTTGCCCACTTGAAGGTGCGCGGTCTTTTCTTCTACGTGGCACGCAATGAAATCACCTGCGCGTAGATGGAGTACGGAAGGATATGTGTGTGTGTGTGTGTGCTAGTGAAAAGTGGATAGACTCTCTGGCGCTTCATCCTGCAGACGTCGATGCAATCGTGACAGTCCTGCAAGAAAGTGCAGGAGTCTTGGATCCAGCTCCCCTACACACGTACACATACACCTACACATGTGCACCGCTGCTGGCAAGTTTCAACGCGGCGGTAGAGGACTATGAATGCACTGCAGATCAGTACGGTGTTTTGTACCAAAATAACACAAAAAAAGAGGAGTTTCGATTCAAACCTCCGCCTTTCATTCGCCATAAAAACAAATCCACGGCGAAACACAGCTTCATTTTGTATTTGGAGGATTTTCTTCAAGGAAAAACATTCCGCTTCAGGGAAAAGGTAAAACACAAAAGCACACCATCTTACTCGGCGTCGTAGACACCAATCATTCTCTTTGCACAAAAAAGAAAAAGAGCACGTTGAGTTTCTCTTTGCTTTTTTGTTGTTCTTTTTTAAGGGGGGGGGGATTTCTGTTTTCCTTTTAGCTGAGGTGTCCCCGTTGACTCTTGAATTTCAGCCGGTGGGTCACGCTTTTTTGGTTTTTCGTTTTTAGAGGTTATCGCGCGGAGTGCGCGATTACAGAATGCGGTAGAAACGCCACAAAAAAAGAAAAAGATAAAAAATATATAAGACAAGCGAAGGAAAATCAAAGGGAAAAACATATATCTTTTTCTTTTTTAAGAGAAGGAGGAGAACAAATGCAAGATTGAACGCTGCTAAATTGGCCTTCCCTAGTGTGTCTCCCTGATATGAAGAGTTTTTTTCTTTAGGATTCGGATGCACGTAAGTGTGGTTTAACATACAACTAAGCGAAAAACGAAAAGGGGGAGATGTAAGAAAATAGCAATAAAATAATGTTGTTCTCGTTGCTTTCTCTTGGACTGTTTCTCTCACGGGGGACACAAAGAGGGAAAAGACGAACGCACCCACGGCAGCAGAAGGAGTGATTGAGAGAGTGTGCATGTGTGATGGCGTGAACTGCGATGGCGTGCATAACGATGACAATAATCTATAATGGAAGTGATCTATCACAGCATTCAAACCTTTAGAGCACACACACACTAATCAAAGAAAAGAAAAAGAAAAGAAACACGGTGAGATAAAGCTTATTTCTCTCTTCCGTCGTTCCACTTCAGCAGCGTCTCTCTCAGCATCACAACTTCTGTCCGCCCAGTTCTGCCTGACCGCTCCTTAAACACGTAGACTCTCACGGCAACATTAGCAAACCGGAGCAGCTCCTGCACACATACACACGCATACACGCATATATATATATATGTAGAAGCGTTTCGAGAAACCGGTAAAGACGCGCACAAAGGTATTTTTGTAGCGGCATCGTCCACGTGCACCTCCCCTTCTTCATCGGCTCCTCTTCTTTTCTTTTTCAACCACAACGGCTCAGTGAGCCGAGAAGTGCGAAGGAAAAAAAAAAGAGAGAAGAGGGGAAAAACTGGCATGTAGGTGAGAAACCTGGAAGGGCGACAGGGAAAAGGGAGGAGGAGAGGGGAGCCACAAGAGAGACACACGCAAAGACAAAAACGCGTTTTACTTCGTTTCACGGCTCTGTTTGCGTGTATTATCCTTCTTTCTGCGTCGTGAATGAAGGATAATAGAAACAAGTGCAGCGGAAGGCAAAAGGAAAAAAAACCCGCTAGGGAATATCAGCAATCGTTTCCGCTATTGAGAGCACGTTTTACGCAACCGCACTCTTTTTGTTTTTCGATCCTTAGACTTCGTTCCTTTTCAAGTTTCTCCTCTTTTAAGGGGAGCTTTCAGTTTTCCTCCAATTCCCTGCCTCGTGTTCTCGTGTTACTTCTTCTTCTTACCGTTTTTGGTTGTTTGTTTTCAGTTAGCACGCGCCAGTTCTTTTGTTGTGTTGGTGTTTGCTTGTGTGCGTGTCTACCAGCCAGCTCTCTCTGTCAGCGTTTTCTCTCACAGACGCAGTGCTTTGCGTGAGGATATAGTAGTTTCGCGTTTGCCCGTTTGACCATTAACTGCGATGCGAAAAGAAAGAAAAGAATAGTCAAAAAAAGGCAATAACAAACACAACAAGCTTGTTTCCATTCTTTACAAGATAGAGAGAAAAAGAGAAAGACAACACATTTCCAAAGCGGCACAAACGCGCACACAACGACTGAACGAGAGCAGCTACAGACTGGCCAGCAGACAGCGTCTCTTCTTACCACACACGCGTAAAGCATTTCCTCTGTTTCCCCTTCACGTTACCCGCGCACACAGACACACATAAACAGTTCAACAAACAAACGCTCCTCGGCATTCTTTTCCCTTGTAATCGATATCGTTTTCAACTTCAGACTAACCCCGTGTGTGTGTGTGTGTGTGTGCGTGTGTCTTTTCTTTTTGAGCTGGAAGCGGCATCATTACGCTCGAGCGCTCGCACACCAACGCAAGGAAAAGTGAAAGGGGGAAAAGAAAAGAAAAGAATGTCGGGAACAGCGAAAAAGGCGCGTTAGGGTAGATGAAACAGCTTCAGCAAAAGTACACAAAAAAAAACCGCCACAAAATACGTTTCGGACCCATTTTTCTGTCCCATGTGCCTCTTACTCTGTGCGAGAAGCGGGAAAAGGGTTTCGAGAGGAAACAAACACATCGATAAGAAAAATGGGCATCGATACCAAAAGAAGAAAACAACACGGAAAAAAAGGAAGAGGAAAAGAGAAGTCAAAGACTGTCTCGGCAGTTGCTGTGAGAAAGCGCAAAAAAAAAACTGGTCATTTTCCATTCGTGTCCCCCACACCCTAATCGTTTTACTACACCCTTTTCCCATCGTCCGCATATGGTTTGTTGACTTCGTGCCACTTCTCATCACACCCCGAAAGCACGCGCGTTTCTCTTCGTACGATTCGATGTTTTCTTTCGCTTGGCTGCATGGCTGGCTTCGAGGTTTGACGCTTTCGGTGTGTTCGGTTGTTTCCTCCGCCTATGTTCTCTTCTTCCTACGAGGCATACAGTTCCGGGTCGATCTCGGCCGGAATTGGCTTGATTTCCGTGTCCAGCTCCTGCTCAATGCGGTATACGTTAAAGCGATCATCGTAGGTGACGAAGTTAATAGCGACACCGAGGTGACCGAAACGGCCAGAGCGGCCGATACGGTGCAGGTACGTCTCCGCAAACTTCGGGAAGTCGAAGTTGATGACGACGTTTACGGCCTGGATATCGATACCGCGGGTGATGAGGTCGGAGCAGACCAAGTTGCGGCAGTGACCCTCGCGGAAGTCATGGAAGACGCGATTACGATGCTGTTGCTGCATGCGGGCGTGGATGTAGTAGCAGCTATAGCCCAACTGGGTGATCTTCTTGGCGAGCAGCTCCACACGGTTCACGCTATTACAAAAGATAATCGACTGGTTGATTTGCAGCTTGTTAAAGAGCGTGTTGAGACAGTGGATCTTCTGACGCTCCTCGACGAAGGCGTAGTACTGCGTCACGCCTTTCAGCGTGAGCTCGTCCATCAGGTTGATCTCGTACGGGTGGTTGAGGTGGCGCTCGGCGAAGCTCTTCACTGTCACCGGGAAGGTGGCCGAGAAGAGCATGGACTGCAGATTGGACGGGAGGTAGGTGTAGAGCTCGTCGATGATCTCCATGAACTCCTGCGACAGCAGCTTGTCCGCCTCGTCGAGAACGAGGATGTGGCAATGCGAGAGATCCACGGCCTTCTTGCTGGCGAGATCAAGCACGCGGCCCGGTGTGGCGACAAGAATGTGGACCTTGTTCGTCAGACGGAGAATATCGTCGCGCAGGGTGGTACCGCCGGTGGTGACCATCACCTCCAGGCCGGGGATATGCTTGCCCAGCTCCTTCGTTACCTGGGCCGTCTGCAGGGCGAGTTCGCGGGTGGGTACCATCAGCAGCGCCTGCACGTAGGGTTCATGGGTGTCGACCTTCTCCAGCACCGGGATAGCGAAGGAGGCGGTCTTGCCGGTGCCGTTCTTAGCGCGGGCGAGCACGTCCTTCCCCTGCAGGGCCACCGGGATCGCCTCCTCCTGCACCGGGCTCGGCCGCTCGAAGCCCTTCTCGAAGATGCCCATTTGCAGTTCACGGCGGAGGGCGTACTCCTCGAAGTTGACGTTGCGGCGCGACTCCACATCCTCCGTCTTCTTGCGCGTGTCCTTCTTGGGAGCGCTCAGCTGAGATTTCCAGTTAGAGTCGGACATTGTCGTCGTTTGAGATCGCTTGTGTTCTTGAGATTCTTTTTTACAGATTCTTCTGGGTGGCAAGCACGCAAGTGTTCACGTTTGCGTGGATTGTGTTGTGGTCGGGGGTTTTTTTTTTGAGTAAGAGCAGAGTCGTCGTCCAAAGAGGCACGAAGCGGCGAGAAAGAAGAAGAGAGCGAAATGGGATTTACAGCATTAAAAGGGGGCAAAGAGACGGCGTGCACACACGCTTGCCTCGTCCCTTGGCGGACAGCAAAACGAAGACAGCTACCTCTATAGTAGCCACGACATGCGTGAAACTCACATACGTGGTGAGAGTAACAAAGAAAAAAGGCTTAACAAGCCGCTCTGACTGCGGTCAGGTGCTTCGGGTAGTTGTTGTTGCGGCTTCTTTTTTTAGCAGTGTGAGTAAGTAAAGCCATCGCCTGAAAAATGGTGCTATTTCAGGTGTGATCATTCGCCTTCGATTCGAGAGCCGAGTTGACATCAGTTGTCGTTTTCGTGTCGAAGCAAAGCGTGACTGGTTTCCCACAAAAATGGAGGAGAATAATAATAATAATAAAACGATAGCGTCGCGTCAGCGCGGAAGATGCACACTTAAAAGTGGTTGTCGTACGTTTATTCTCTTTCGCTTGACGTCAGACAGGAATGGACAGCCAAAAGAAAACTGGAAAAAAAACTGCAGTTGAAATATTCACGCATTAAGAGAGAGGCACAACGTCTGCTCTCACACGCACGCTTGCATTCAATCATTGCATGTGCATGCGACAACGCCCGTGTCTTCTCACTTCCCCTCGTACGCCGGTGGGCGGTGCTCCGCGAAGGCTTTGAGGCCCTCAAGGCGGTCTTCGGTGGCCAGCACTACGTCATACTGCTCAGCCTCTACCTTCATCGCCTCCGCGCGCGTCTTGCCCAGAGACGCGCGCACCGCCTTCTTCGCGGCACACACGCCAAGCGGGCCGTTCTTTGCGATCCGCAGCGCCAGGTCGAAGGCGGCGTCCAGCGCCGACCCGGCCGGCACCACGCGGTTCACAAGACCTAGCTCCAGCGCTCGCTGCGCCGAGACCTGCTCCGCGGTCAAGATCAGCTCCAGTGCACGGCTAACGCCCAGCACGGCAGGCGCGCGTACGGTGCCGCCAGCACCGGGAATAATCGCCAGCCCCGTCTCTGGGAATCCGACAGCTGCCCCATCGCCCGCAACGCGCATGTCCAGCGCCAGGGCCAGCTCCATACCGCCGCCGAGCGCTTTGCCCTCGATCGCCGCAATGGTCGGGATGGGCAGGTCCTCCAGGTTGTTGAAGGTGTGCCGGACACGCTGCACAAACTCGCGGGATTGCGTGACGGACATATCTTTTCGCTCCTTCAGGTCCGCCCCAGCGCAGAACACCTTGGGCACGGCACTCGTCACTATGAGGCAGCGCACCGGAACGGCGTCCGCAGGCCGTCCAGCCGCAGCACACGGCGCGCCGGCGTTGCACACGTCAATGACTTTCTGAATGCAGGAGAGAAAGTTGACGCCAATCGCGTTCTTGCGGGAGTGGCGCTCCATTGAAAGAACGGCCACTTGCGAAGCGGTGTCGTAGCGCAGCACACACTCGTCTTGGAGGAGCACCTTCAAGGCGGCGAGGGACGCACCTGCCGCAGCGCCGGCAGCCGAACGTAAGAAGACGCAGGACCGCATGACTACTGAAGTTTTCCTCGGTAATGTACAACAGGTGTCGTGATTTGATCAAAATACAGGTCCGGAGCTAAAATATGGAAAACGTATCAAATCGGTTCCAAAAAGGCTATGATAAAAACGGATAAAGGAAAGGTGTTGACAGGTAAAAGTCTGCGTGCGCGCTGGAGGGTGTACGTGCTTTTCTGTGGTGTAATACATCAGCAAGACAGGAAAGAGGGGAGAAAGAAGGAAGTGACATGAATACAAAGAAAAAAAATAACGTACGCGTTACCCGCTGTTCATCACATCATTGGACGAATGAAGCTTGACAAGCGAACAAACAAAGAGAAACGCAACGAAGAACACGTCGCTGTCTTCTGCTGGTTATTCGCAGCCGTACCGGGAACATTGCAGTCCGTAGGGAAAAAAAAAAGAAAGCGCTGTCTCCTTTCATTTCTTCAAGACAGAAAGAAAAAAAAGGTCACGCTTGTTGCATTGGTTGACGATCTGCTGAAAAGGGTCCGAATTGAACCTTCTGGCGCCGCTGATGCTCTTGAGCAAGGAAAAGAGGCAACACAAGAGAGGAGCGAAACGCACCAGAGAAATGGAAAAGAAAACAGTTTTTTTTGATTGAGAATCGGAAGGAAAGAAGCATCACGCGCGCTTCAAGCGCGCGAGAGTCGTGTGAGCGAACTTCCCACTTAGTTTTCGGTCATCCCTTCCGTGCTTTAATTAAATTGTTTCACCTGCCTGTGGACGAAGGAAAGCGAGAGAAAGAAAAACCGCAATCGTAGCCCTTTTCCTTCGCACGCCGTATTACGGGATCGCAATGCCCTTCGTGAAGTCGATGGAGAACACGTCGTTCATCTTCAGCTGCGCGGCGTCGATAAACACATCAATGTGGTACTTACCGGCTTTGCGTTTCAGCACCGGGCCCACTACGTGCACGCCCGTTGCGACGCTGCCGTCGGCGTTGCAGCGCACCCGCTGCTTCACAAAGAGGGGGTGCCGCTGCCCCAGCGAGAGGTGAATGCCCCACTGACGCTCGAAAGTGGTGACGTCGCTGACGACGTGTGCGAGACCGACGTACGGGTTGAGGCCAATGCCGAGCTCACGAACGTAGCAGTCGCCCTCCACCTGACGGACGAGGCTTAGCAGATCGAGAAACTCCGCCGGTGCCCCGTCGCTGATCTGCGTCACGACGCCCTTCGCAATCGTCATGGTAAACGGCGCAGGACGGCTCATCGTCACCTGCTTGAACACATCCGGATAGGCGAACACGTCGCAGGTGCCGTTGAGCTGCGAGAGGTCAAAGGACTCGCTGATGGCCTCGCCAATGGGGAAGGTGCCACCGATGCTGTTGGAGATGCACGAGCCGGCTGGTGCGTTGCTGCGGCCCAGCGCCCCGTCCTCGTCCTCGTCGCTGTCGTGCTGCCGCTTGTTCGGCTTCTGCCCCTTCGCCTTCAGCAGCGCCAGGTATTCCTTCTTCTTCATCCGGCCGTGCACACCCACGGTGGATGAGGCGGCGGTGCTGGCGCCGGCCCCCGACAACGGCTCCGCCTTTGCAAGGTCCAGTGCACAGCCCTCTTCCGCCTCTACCTCCGCCTCCGCCTCCTCCGTCATGGCAAGATGGAAGCGCTCGCGGTGGCGCCACACGTCATTGCGCTCCGGCGCGTACGCCGCGACGTAGTAGCCCGTGTTGGAGAGGCAGTCCTCCATGCCGCCGCTGAAGGTGAGCACCTTGGCGGGGTCGCGTGAGACGATGGAGAGCGGGATGCCGGGGCCGTCGATGAGCTGGCGCAGCGCCGCCTCTACATCGGTGGTGACCTCTGCTGCTGCTGTGGTGGTGGTCGTCGTCGTTGTCGGCGCTCCCCAGTGCAACGCGCCAGGATTAAAGATGGCTCGCAGCTCCTCGTTGTGCAACGCCTCTGCGAACGACGCTGGTGGAGGTGGTGGTTGCGTCGTGTCGGTTGAAGCGGCAGCACCTTCTGCCGCATCCGCCGCAATACGCTTCCAGCTGTGCAGGTCGATGGCGTCGGAAATCGCCTTGGCCAGCGTCTGCGCCTGCTCGGGGCGGAAGGCGCACGAACGCGCGTAACTGTAGACCTGATCCTCCTCCAGCGCCTCACGGTAGCGGCCCTCCTTCGCAAGGCGGTCCGCCTCGGTGCTCATGATGAGCAGGTGGCAGTGCTCCGCAACGCGGATGCCTAAATCAAACAGGCTCAACCGCAGCCGGTAGCGCTTCATCTCATTCTGGAAGGCGTTTTGCTGAACGAGAATGCACCCGAGCAGCTCGCGCAGCGGACCGTTGTACAGCGCACTGCACCGCTCGTGGTGAACGCTGACGGCATCGTGCGCTGCCGCCGCACCGTCGCTCTCCAGCGGCTCGCCGGAGGAGGAGAGCAACGGGCCGAGCAGCGGGCAAAGCGCCTCGTACTCCGCCGCAAACTTCTCCTCACACCATGGAGGCTGTTCGACTGTCGCAGCGGGCGGTGCGCAGTCGTCGGTCGATGACGTCGTTTGCGCGCTGCGCTGACCGTCGCCGCAGTGGCGAAAGAAGCACTGCAGACGTTTGATGACATCAAGAAAGTCTTCGCTCTGGAAAGGCATGACGGAGTAGGACAACGGTGTAGGAGCGGCTTGGGCCGCGTCCGCGTCCGTATCAGCGCCGAAAGGAGCATCAAGAAGGGGAGGGTGTGCAGATGTCGTAAACCCCGCAGACCCACACGGTGTCTTCTCGTTCGGCCTGAGCGCAATAAACAACTCCCCCTCATGGCTTCTGTGCTCTGCTGGGGCGCAGTCGTCCGTCTGCGTCTTGGTGCAGTCCATCACGTCGTCGTGTCTGGTGCGGAGGTACGCTGCCCCCTGCTGCTGATACGTACGCAGCACCTGCACGTAGCCCTCCACCACCGCCTTCTGCTGCACACACGGCACGCGGTCGACCACGACCAAAACGTGCGGCACCGCACCACGAAACGCGTGCAGGCGCAGGCTGTGGAAGAGCAGCGTAGAGGCGCACGCGCGCGCAGCCTTGATTGTCGCCGACATTGGTACCTCTTTATTAATTATTTGTTCTCTTAAAAAAGAAAAAGACTATTCTTCTTTTCTTCCGTGCAAAAGAGACGGTTAGTTGTGACGATAGCATAACACTTGAAGTGCACGATGAAATGTGAAACGGACGCGCTGCATCCAGGAACGTGAAAAGGGAGTACTTCGAATTCTAGAGAAGAGTTTCCGTCATGTGCAAGTTAAACAAAGACTCGCCCCGCTATGTAACAGGAGTAGAAAACAAGAGGAGAAGGCAGAGAAGAGACTCAGAACAGCAGAGAGCTACATGACGAGCACGTTTTTCTTTCCCTTTCCGAAAGCAAAGTGAGGCAGATGCGTAACGCGTCGAATTATCTTCTCTTTTTCTGCTTGCTTTTGAAAAGTTGCCGGTTTTTCAGGCACACACACCAACGAGAGCGCGCATGTGGTGTGCATCGTCAACAACACAATCGATTTCGCATATTGTTCTTGTTATATATGTATATATTTTTGCACGGGGTGTTCTGTGTTCACGCACCGTCCTTTTTTCCTTCCTTTCCCCGCGTCACCTCCTGGTCATCAACGAAGGGAACGCCCCGCGACGACAAAGACTCAAAAGGCAACGGAGAGAAATGCAAAGACGAGAGCGCAAAAAGTTCCTCGCGCACACGCATTCGGGCTCCTACCACAGCCGCCACCACACGGGGTAGTGATTCGCAAGGTCGTACGGCAGCCGATACTGCGCCGTCAGCTCCTGAGCCCGTCGGACGAGATGCCGGTGCGACAACTCTGCGCCGACCATGTCGCTGCGACTCCCCACCCCACCGCGCACGAGCACCACCTCATTCGAGCTCGCCGGGACGGGGATGCGGAGGACGTTGCGGTCGCCGAACACCACCCCGCAGCGCTGCACAAAAACTTTGTCCGCTGCGGGCAGGTTGAACGCGGCGACTCCGTACGGCGAGAGCGCGCCTCGGCAGAGCTGCAAGAAGTCAAGCGAGGTGACGGCACCGTCCAACTCGCTGCCCACGAACAAGTCTACAAAGAGTAGGTCCAGCTGATGCTGGCGCCTGCTGCTGGTCGAGGGTGAGACAACGGAGGACGCAGAGGACCCTGCGCCGTCGATGCCGCAGTCTGCCGCGCGAAAGACAGGAGTGCTGGCGTGCACAGTGCTCGCACTAAACCCCACTGCTCGCTGACCTGACGCAGTCGTACGGGCAGTCGTGTCACGGCCGTGGACACGCTGCCGCAGGTACTGCACCGCGTCCTCGACGTAGTAGTGCACCCCGCCTCCCTCCTGCCGCAGGGCCACAGTGTTCAGCGACTCCTTCAACCCCAGCTGCTCCACCGCTGCCGTGAAGCACATCGGCTCGGCGTCGACCAAGTCGCACCGGTGCAGACGACTGGCGAAGTACTCCTGTAGAAAGAGCGGCAGGGAACCGCCGCCCACACCGAGCACCGCCACGTTGAGCTGCGAGAGCGTCGGAGGGAGCAGGAGGAAGCCGCTCAGCAGCACGCGGAGGTACGGGGCACCGAGGTAGGCCGGATCGGCCTCGCACGCCATGTGGAGCAGCGTGGACCGTGGATTGCACCGCACGAGTGATTGGTGCGTGGCGCCATCCATTAGCTGGCGCAGCGGCGAGCGCGATGGTGGGGGTGACGGGCCGCCGTTATCCTTGTCATTGCTCGCTGATGGCTCCAGAACCAGCGCGGCGTACTTCGAGGTGTGTGGTGGCCAGAGCGAGGCGGCAATAACACTTGTGTCGTTTACTGCGGCGCGGTCCGGCAGCATCGCGGACGCCTTCGCGTCTCGCACCACCAATCGCACCGACGCCGCTTCGCCCTCGTTCTCCGGTACAGTGGAGTCATCGCTGACCTTGTGCGTGCTGTTGGAGAAAAGACTCACAAACCATCTCCAACGCACAGGAAAGGAGCTGTGTGAACTCGCCGCTGTGGTGGTCAGCGCGGCGTCGTCACCGTCAGAGCGTGCGTTCTTCTCGCGCTTGTTAGTTGTAGGCACATAGTAGCTGCGCACCACCGCATCAAAGCCACAGAAGTGTTTGCAGGGGTAGCGGACCGACTCCTCCGTACGGACGACGGCGGCGCTGTTGAAGACCGGCACGGCACCGCGGCGTGTCCGCAATACCACCCATGTTTCGTAGGCAATGGCAGCGCTGCCGGTCGCCAGCAGCGTCAACGCACACGTCGACATCGATGGAAAGCGGAAAAAGTAAAACGACATTTACTTATTTTGTGCGTGTGTGTGTGTAGCGCGAATGAACTCGCGTCTCTGCATGCGTGAGTTTGGGTATGTGCTGTCACGCACGTATTTCCACATACCCACCGGTGAACCTACTTGACCAAGAGAAAGCTCCAGACGGAGTTAAAACTAGATAGTTGTGTAGCGCCAAGAGAAACGGAACACACCAGTGCACCTTTTTTTTCTTCTTCATATGTGTCATTTCTGACAAAACACGGAGAACATTGCTGTTACTCCTCACGAAGTGGCCACTTCCATTAAACTACACAAGCGCTGTGTCTAGCCAGGGTTGCGCTCCGCCACCACCACCACAGCGTAGTAGTAAAATAACTTCAGCGGTCCATCTTCAGGTTTTCATAACCCGTAGACACGCGTTTTCGTGAGCCGTATCGAACGTGTGAACCGCCGCAGGCCTCTCCAGCTTGTGCACGACCCAGACCTGTCCGCCGAGCCAATAAGTTCCCAACCGGACACGAGGACAGGCTGCACGCTCTTCTCTTCCGTACTTAGCGGGTACTGGACGCTGATACCACGTTGAGGTGGCCGGCATCATCAGGGCGTCAGCACACATGCACATACGAGAAAAAAAATATTAGTTACAAGGGCACTACAAACAGTTTTGATTCACCTTGCATCGGTTTGCCACCGCGCACAACAAAAGCGCTACGGTGGACAGCCAGCTATGCAAGTTGTGTTTCGTTCTACACACGGCGGACGCAGGCACCAACGCCTTCTCGCTGTCTCTTCTTTTTAAAAAAAAACCCTTTCTGTTGTTGTTGGGGCGCGACAGTAAAAAAAGTCGTTTCGTAACGCCGCGACATCGCCATCAGCAGAGTGACGCATATCGCGAAGCAGTCCCCACAACAATGTGAAAAAGAGGAGATAAAAAAGAGGCAGTATCCCTTGCGTTTCGTGTTTTGCATGCACGTCAGTCGCGCTTCTCAGCCTTTCGCGCCTCGGCAGACACGTTGGTTACACGCACGCGCTTCACGATGCCGTAGTGCAGCTTCGATAGGACAGCGAGACCCAGCCGCAGCAGGCCGGCGATGGTACACTGAACAAGAAGCGCGCACACACTCGTGGCGGGCTCTATTCCAGCACAGCCGTAGTTCAGTAATGCGCCGTCGCTTCCTAACGTAATATCAAATGTGTAGTCTTCAATGCCGCGCACGATCGCCTCTGCCATCGCTGCCGAAGAAAACGGCGTCGCCCCGCCAAAGGCGGAGATGGCGGCGCATTCGGGGCTCTTCACCTCGTTCTCATGCGCGTACCCGGGCGTCTCCACGTCCGGCGGACTCACAACCTGCACCCGCACGCCGAGGCAGCTGTTCTCCATGTCTAGGCTGTGCGCAAACGCGCGAAGCCCCGCCTTGGTGGCGCTGTACAAGGTGTAGCCGGCGATGGGGGCGCGCGCCACCATGCTGCTCGTGAACACGACACGGCCGCGCTTCGCCGACAGCATGTCCGGCAGCACCTTCCACACAACGTTGAGGCACCCAAAGTAGTTCACCTCCATCATCTGGCGGGCGTTCTGCATCGTGCTGTCCACAAAGCGGGCGGGGTAGGCGAAGCCAGCGTTGCAGATTAAGAGGTTGATGCGGTGTCCATCGCACTGAACGGTCGCCTGCGCCACCCCAGTCGCGACGGAGGCCTCGTCAGACACGTCCATCACGATGTACGACACCCGTGTGGGGCTGCCACACTGCGCAATGACTCCCTTCACCTGCTGCACCGCCTCCTGCAGCACCGCCTCCCGCCGCGCGGCGAGAACGAGGTAAGGCACCCGCTTGCGGGCAAGGGCCTCAGCCGTTGACAGCCCGATCCCAGCGCTGCCCCCGGTGAGCAGCACCGTCGAGGAGGTCCATTCCCACCGCGGCACGTGCTGCACAGCCCACAGCGCTGCCATTACTAGCGGCGCGCCGAGGGCGAGTTCGCAGGCGAGGAGGTACCACCACATGAGGATGAGGAAAGCAGCAAATACTCTATTTAAGGGGAGGTTTCGGTGGGATTTGTTACAGTGTGCGTTGAATACGCCGTTCGTCACGTGTGCCTATGGGCGACAACGAGAAGAGCTTTGTTGCAAGAATAAAAAAGAAAGCGGAAGAGGCGAAAGATTGTACTGGGGTGTGCGTGCGTGCGTGCGTGCGTCCACCTTCGATTTGCCGTGACGGAAAAAAGTGGCTTGTTGGCAAGAAGAATCGAAGAGAGTCGTATCGACACGACGCAGGCCCTTCCCTCCATGTCTCTTCCTCTCACAACAACCTGGAAGCCCTATTCCTATTATTGTTACCGATCCGCTATCGTCGATCCTCAGTACCAAACTCAACACATTTTAGCAAGTCGCGACCCCGATGAAACCACGACGAACTATTAGCCGCGGCATAGCGCATCTACCATCGCCACCACGATGGCAACCGTACCGACCGTCCGCCATTGCATTCATGGACACTCACTTTGTTTGTTTTTTAAACTGCGTTGAGTACAGTTCAAAAAAAAAAACAAGGTCCCACTCCTTTTTGGTTGTTGTTCGTTACAATTCTGTTTTGATGATGCACCCAACAATATTTTTTTGTCGGAGGAGGAAAATACAGGCGAAACGAGAAAAAAAAGAAACATGAAGACAAAAACATACATGGAAGAGAAGAAAAACAAATAAAAAATCACACAACGCTGACAAAACACCGGGTTGCATCCTTTTCGCATTTGATGAAGTGACGATGATCGTGTGTGTGACGGCAAGCAAAAAAATGTCACATGCGCTAATGTTTTGGGGGGAGATATTTTCGTGTTTTACGCAACACACATTCACCACACAAAAAAAGGGTTAGAAAAATAGGAGAACGGAGTAAATATGTGATTATCAACCACAAGAACCAGAAGAAAGCAAAAGAGAACATGAAACGTAGAAGAAAAAAAAAAGCAATTACCTAAGCTCTCTCTCTTCATGTCAGTTCGTGCATCGTACGTTGGGATGCTCGACTGTTTGGGTTTTTTTCTTTCACAGGTATGCAAAGAGAGAGAGAGATTGTCTCTTTGTACGCATCAGTCATTTTTTTTTTTGCTGCTGCTGTTGCTGCCTCGTAAACATCTTTGCCTCCTTTATCCGGCAATCTTCAAGACCGCTGCACTTCGAAATCTCGAGTTCAACTCCAGCAAAAGAGAAAAGAAACTCTGGGCAAGAAGAAAGCAGATACTTAAATGACCGTGGGAAAAAAAACGGAGAGCAACAAACAAGAAGGAAAAAATGACGCTGCGCGCACACAGATCTGTATACGTGTATGAGGTCGCTGATATGCCGAGCTGGGTGATTGGCAACGTAGGAACGAAGCCTGCTACGTAGAAGTAATAGGAAAGAAACGGGAAAATGCGAAAATTAATCAAGTCAATGCAGACAACGAGGGACAGCTAACGGCAACGCCCCGAATAGCGTGTCTTGGATGTGTCCTCGATGTCCAATTAGAAGGGACAAACGCTTCCGCGTTCGAAAGCACTTACCCACGCGCGTAAAACACCAAATTGCTATCCGTTTCATTTCATAATTGCTTCTCTCATAAATATCTAGAAGTAAAACAAAAAAAAAACAACTAAACCAGAAAGACAAAAACAGCGGTAGCCCCGTCGCTCCCCTCTGCAAAGCACTCATGTACGACACAGACACACACGCACACATACATTACATTCCGTCTCTTTACGGTGGGTCCTTCTGATGGCGTTGCTTTGGTTTCGCAAATACCGCTGTTCGCTTTTCTTTCTTTCTTCCGTCCTTTTCCATTGCACCGCCACTATGCACATCTCCATGTGACGCTTTCAACCGGGGGGAGAGGGAGGGAGGGACGAAGAAAGAAGGGTCGCGCACAACAAAGAAAACCGTCAAGACGCACGAAGTCCCAACTTGTGTACCCAAAATGAGAGACAAAAGAGAATGGCAGGGCAAGTTTTTTTTTAATAGTTTCGTTGCAGATGCAGCGGGTCCAGTAAAGCGGGGAAAGTAGTTCAAGTATTGATTATATATATATTTTAGTGTTGAGACGTAAAAGCAAGAAAAGCAAATGGCGAGAAACCAAAAAAGAAGTCAGACACTGAGTGGCTTGGTGGACGTCACCAAGCAAATATGACGCAAAAAAGAAAGCGAAAAACAGTAATGGTGGTAATAATAAAAATAAAAAGAGATGGAGAAAGGGAAAGGGTGAATTGTGAAAAACAAAACACAAAAGAGAGAAGTGAGAAGTGAGGTCAAATCGTACGCGCTGTTGTTCTCACAGCCACTAAACGCTGCTGTGAAGGGAAGAGCAAGAAAAAAAACCCAACAACTTAAAAAAGAAGAAGTCTATACTGCACATTACACGCACGCACACGAAACGTGAAAAGGGGGGCCATGAACATAACCATCAGAAAAAGGAAGGGCGCTGGCAATGCTGAAAGAGGAGGATAGGAGTTGAGGTGCACGCACGAATGCGTAGACGCCCCCACCCATCATCCGCTAATTCACATTCGTAAATAAATATATTTATAAATATATTTCTTAACGAAAAAAAGGTGAAGCGAGAATTGCTACCATTTTTCGCCTTTATACGCTTCCTTAGTGTTTCCGCTTTGTGTTTCCCATTACTTTAGAAACTAAGCGGGAGGGAAATGACGGGGCGCGTAAAATTGTACAGCAAAAGCTCTCAGCCCTCTTTCCTTTTCTCTTTCTTCCTATGTGATAAAATAACAGTTTCAGGAAGCGAGATCAAGGGTAGACGAGCTAGTTGATGTGCAAAGCACCCGTGCAAAACAGCAGAAAAAAAGCATAAAACAGTGAAAAGAAGCTTTATAATGCTAACTGTTTCCCTCCATTCTGTTTGTTTCTAAAAATTCCGTTTACCTGTTTGTGTGTTTGCGTGTGAATGTGTCTGTTTGCGTACTTCCTTTCTTTTTCCTTTGTTGGCGGATCAACACGTAGAAGATGCGCGCTTCAAGAGGTTTGTCACGCCCACCTTCACTCAATTCTTCTTCTTATTCTTCCTTGTCGGTGCTGAAAATGTCTAAAAATGTAACGATTGCGCACACGGAGAGACATCCAAAGATGTGTGTGAGTGTGTGTGTGTACCGACATGTATCTGCGATTCCCTCCTTAGGAAAACAAAAGAGGGATGCAGAACAGCACCAGATGCACCTACTTTTCCACGTCCTCGTCAAGATGAGTCTCTCAAAAACACTTAAAGGGTCAAACAACTAAAAAAAAAGGAGAGTGACACTCACTTCGATTTCTTTCCTCACTTTACTTGACTTTGGTGCAGTCCATGTAGACGTAGTCCTTAAGCTCCTTCATGACGTCGATGGTGTGCTGCAGGTCCTCACGGGTGTGGCAGGCAGAGACGCAGAAGCGAATGCGGCCCTCCAGCAACGGCGTAGCGGGGTAGCCGACGACGACGATCGCCACTCCGCGCTCCAGGCACAGGCGCGAGAGCGGGCTAAGCCTGCCGAGGTTGTAGCACATCACCGGCACGACAGGGCTGCTGTCGTCGCCGAGCACGACAAAGCCCAGGTCAATCAAACCGCGGCGGAAAAACGCAGAGTTCTCCTTCAGCTGGCGGATGCGCTTCTGGCCGAGGTCGGTGCCGTCCTTGCCGAGCAGGACGTGCAGCACGGAGAGCACCTGCTGCGCACACGGCGGCGCGAGCGGGTCGCAGTGCAATGCGATGGAGCTATGCTGGCGAAGGTAGTGGATGAGTTTCTTGTCGGATGCGATGTAGCCGCCGATGGAGCCGAAGCTCTTGGTGAAGGTGCCCATCAGGATATCCACATCCCGCGGGTCCACCCCGGTGTGCTCGCAGACACCGCGGCCCGTGCGGCCGATGGCGCCGATGGAGTGCGCCTCGTCCATGAACAGCAGCGCGCCGTACTTCTTCTTCAACTCCACAAACTTCTTCAGGTTCACAATCTCGCCCTCCATGCTGTAGATGCCCTCGATAATAATGACAATGCGCCGGTAGGGCTTGTACTCGCCGCTGGGGTCCTGGCCGAGCACCACGCCGTCGCGCAGCAGCTGCTCGACCTGGTCGAAGTGGTCGTGCTGGAAGACCTTCACCTTCGCGCCAGCCGAGCGCACACCGTTGACGAGGGAGGAGTGGTTAAGGTTGTCGGACAGCACCAGCGCCTCCTTGCCGAAGAGCGCGGGCAGACCACGAAAGTTCGTGCCGAAGCCCATGCCGCACACGATGGAGTCCTCCTTGCCCACGAACTCCGCGAACTCCTTCTCCAGGCGGGCCACCACGGCGCTCTGCCCCAATTCCTGTGGGGCACTGCACGAGGCGAGGCCGTAGTCGTCGATCGAGTCCAGCACGTCGTGCGTGATGGACTGCGTGTCTTCGGCAAAGCCCAGGTAGTTGTACGACCCCATGTTCACGGCCGGCACCACGCGGCCGGTGTAGGTGAAGGTGTTGTTGTAGTCGTGAGAGACGCGCTCCATCACGCCAATCACGCGGGACGGGCGAGAGTCAATCGGGCGCATGAAGCAGTCGCGGATGCGGCGGTAGAAGCGGCGGTTCCAATAGTGGTCGAAGTCTCGCACAATGGGGGCGTAGCCGTGACGGGCGTGGTTCTCGCCATTCGGGAAGAACTGGCGGTAACCCTCCCGCACCCAGGCGAAGAAGAGGTAGATGAGCAGCGTTAAGCAGCTCGTCGCCGTCGTCCAGATGGAGACGTTGTGCACAAAAGGGTGCGTCTCCGGGACGAGCTCCTCCGTCTTCAGCTCCGCGGGCGACCTCGGAAACACCTGCGACTTGTTATCAACGATCTCGCGCTCCTCCTGCTGCACGATCTCGCGCTTAAGCGCAGCCTCGCTCATGGGCACGGCTGACGCCTGCACGGGATCACGAACCATGGCAATGGTGGACATGGCGTGTCTTTTCTCTGTTTGTCTAATTTTCGTTCTTTATTGGTGTTCTACTGAGAAATACAACGAACAAACTCGGTTAATGCAGCAGGAAGCAAGCCAGGCAACGCAAAAACTGAAGTGAAAAAAAGTGTACTTAAATTCTTGCGAGGCAGAAAAAGAGACCAGCCGTGAGCTGCGATGTTGACGAGAAGCAAGTGTGTAAGCGTGCGCGAGAAAGCAAAAGAGGCGAAGATGCAAACAAAACAAAGAGAGAAACCTGCTGTGGAAAGAAAAAAGTATTTATTAAAAAAATGAAAGAAGCTTACAGAAGAGCTTAATCCTGCGTGTGCGAATGAATAATAATGATAATAATCGAGGAATCGACCAATGTTTATTTTTTTTTTAGTGTGCGTGTGTGCGTGGGGGGGAGGGGGTGCGTGAGAGCAGAAGTTTAGGAAAGGCAAGGCGTAGAGGTGAAGGACAAAACGCTGCCGCTGGTCCTGTCAGCCCGCATCCACAAGTCCTCGCGACGAATGCGGAGGAGAGGCTACGTCGTTGCAAACATAAGCTCGATAAATGCACCTGACAATGCAACCACATTTTTTTCTTTCAAGAGAGAGAGAGGCACCTCACGCGCCTTGGTGTACTTCTTCATCTCACCGTCGAGACAAGTTGATCTGCCACTGAGTAATGTCTCGTTTTTTTTTTCAGGACAGGTTGTGAAAATGTGCGAACGGATGGCGTTTGGCATCGATTCTCGTTGTGGTGGTTTCTTTCGTTAGTTACTTACGTGTGTATTATACGGCATTTCTTTGCTTTATATATTTTTTTATGTTCTGAAAAGAAGCGGGATGGCCAGCAAAGCTCACACACGTGCGCACAAACATGCAGAAAAGAGGGAAGCAAAAGAAAAGAAACGCAACTCCAACTCCCACCGACCGCCCACATCGATTCTTTTTCCCAGGATGCGTTGAAACTTCTTCTTTTTCACGGCAGCATGCGAACAGAAACGGAGCCGCTGCAGGCGCAGAGGAAGGGGACAGCTGAGGCCGCCCCCCCTCACCACCACACCGATTCCCCCGCCGTTGCCGGGATGGCCTTTTGGACATTCTACGATTTGCCTCGACTGCCCGTATTGAAGGCGGCCCGTTTTCGCTCCTCCTCGGTGACGGCCTGCTTCTTCGCCAGTGCGCTGAAGTCCACCCCGGGACTCCACTCCGTGTCCAGTCGATCACGGGACCACCGCACCAGCATGTCGTCCACGCAGCCGCAGTACCCCGCCGGACGTCCGGAGTGGCAGTGGCACAGCTCGAACTTGGCGGCATCGGCTTTGGCAGAGGAGATTGTAGTCGTGGTTGCGGCAGCGGCAGGGCTGGAGGCCGTGATGGTCTTCTCCGTTGCCCCGCTGCCTCTGCCAGCCTTGTCCGTCTCCTTGCCCGCCTCCTGGTCGGGCGAGATCCAGCTCTTCGACGTCTCGGCGAAGTAACTCAGCGGCGGGCACGTCGGCGGTGCCTGCAGGGCCAGCATGGGCATCGAGTAGTCCGCGAACTGGTTGCCGACGCAGTTGTCCGCGGGCAGAATGCCGAACCCGTCCGGGATGTAGAGCGGGGCGCCCTTCCCGAGCAGCCACTGCACCGTTTCGACGCTCTCCATGGCCATGGCGGCGTGCAGCGGGGTGCGGCCCCAGCGGTCGTAGACGTGCACGCTGCCGCCGCAGCTGCTCAGCAAATCCAAAATCTCCAGCTGCTCTGCCAGTACCGCCATGAAGACGGGGCTGTAGCCGTGGAACATATCCCCCGGCGCGGGCACCTCATCGCGCAAGAACGACATGTTGTTCGGGTTCGCACCCGTCTTGAGGCACTTGGCGCACAACTCCTTGTGCCCAGTGATGACGGACAGGAGGAGGTACGTGGCGCCCTCGCGGGAGCTGGTCAGCACGCCGTTGCGCAGCTCCGGGCAGCGCTGGTCAAAGAAGGCGCTCACAAACGGCAGGGCCACCGAAATCTCGCGCGCGCCTTTGGCCGCCAGCGCGCCGCTGCTACCGCCGCCCGCCTTCTTGCCGTCATCGCTGCTCAGTAGCTTATCAAATGACTTGAGCACATTCTCCTCCTGTGCGGCGGTCAGCTGCACCTGATGCTTGCTGCGCCGGATACCGTCGAAGGCGCTGAACGGAATTGGGATGGACATGGAGAAGTTGCGGATGTGACGACGGTCTGCGTAGTCGTAGGAGCAGAACGGGTCGAGCACCATGCTGCCCATGCCACCCTTGTCGAGTCCTTTAGTCAGGCGCTCCAGCAGGGCTGGCGGGAAGGACAGGTCGCCGTTTGCTGGGGCGTTAGAGGAGAGGTACAGTCCGGTAGGGGAGTCGTCGTCGAGGGCGGCGCCAAGGCTGCCGTTTTGCTGCAGCGCCTGGTACACGGCGAGTGCCTGTGCGTTGGTGCTGTTGAATTTGCGCTGCATGGCTAAAAACTATCTTCTTCTGTTTGGTGCTGTCAGGTGAGTACAACATAAGAGAAATAGATGCATGAGACCGAATACCAGTCACAGGAAATAAAGGAAAAAAATATATATACAAGACAGAAGAGAGAAGAGAAAAGAAGTGCACAGATATGTGTGATGTGGGGGTTCAAATTGCATGAGTTGCCGGAGAGGCTTTTTAGTTGCCGGCACAGGAGGGGGACAAAAAGCGTGGGGCGCAAAGAAAGGTGTCTCACTTTTTCCGGTCGGCCAACAAGACAGGTATTCCAGCCGAGCTGCTCACTGGAGTCCTTTTGGAGTTATCCAAAAATTCATCATGCAACTCTCGAGGAGGAGGAGGAGGGGGAGGGGGGAACAGAGCCGTCAACATGCGCCACGGTTTACTCTGGGTCAAGACGCTGACTAGAGAAGCAACAAACGCTAAGTACTTGAGGTACATGGGAGGAGGTACAAAGGGGCTTTTAAAATAGAACGCACAAAGCAGGAAAACGAAAACACGAAAGAGGTTTTTGCTGACGTCGGCGTAAATCGTTGCACGTACGTGCGAGACTCCTGTGCTCTTCTGTATGCAGCTCTTGCCTCTCTGGCGTCAGTTGAAAGGATATGCGCAAGAAGAAGAAAAAGAGGTGGAAGAATTATAAGGTACTCTACGAACAAACAAGAAGTGCTACTGACCTGAGTGGGATGCCGCGAAATGAGAAGTGAGCGCAGACAGCAGTGCTCGTGCAACAAACAAAAATCGAAACACCTATAACGAACGCAAGTGACGCAGGGAAAGCAGAGCAATAAGCGGAAGGAGAGGAAATATTGGGGGAAAAGAGGACTCGCCTTCAAAGGGGTTCATTTGTTCTGCGCCCGACGTGTCAGCTCGTTCTTGAGCTCGCCATAGCGGTGGTACTCACCGGTAAACCCGTGCCGGTCGTGCCGCCCAGGACGCACACCGTTGAACTTCTCAAAATCGCTCTCAAAGCGGTGCAACACCTGCTTCAAGGTGCGCTTCTCCGTCTGCAACGCGTCGTCGGACATGGCGGTGACATCGTCGGTGCCCAGCTGCACCCGCTCAATTCGTTGCATCCAGTCCGGCAATACAGCGCTTGAAGTCGACCCGGCAACACTGGCCGTTGAAGATGCCCGACTTACCGCCACCCCGCTCGGCCTGCCCGCCGGCTTCGCTGCCGCGGCGTTGGCTGACGCAGACGACTCCTTCGCGACGGTGCCGCTGTCCCGTGTACTCTCGCCGCGGCTGCCTGCGGCGGTAGCTCCACCTCCAGCCCCAGACGAAGTCGCCGGGGCAGTCGCCGCCACACTCTGCGAGACCTCGCGGACCGCGACGGACGGCTCTGTCCCGCCCCCGTGCGGCGCCACCGACTGCTCCACCCCTAGCACCTTCATTTTGATGGCGCGGTAGAGCTCATAGATGGAGCGTAGGGACGCTTTTTGATCAGGGAAGACGTCCGCCTGCCCCGTCGCCTGGCGCACCGTCGACTCCCACTCGTGGATGCGCTGCTTCATGTCCTTCTTGAACTGCCTGCCCTGCTCACTCGTCATGCGCGAGATCGAGGTGGGGAAGTTTGGATCACCGGACTCCTTTGCCAGCTGCAGCGACGCCGCCTCGCCGCGGTACTCCGCCAGAAGTTGTGAGCCGAGGAAGTCGGGTGAGGGGGCGCGGGCGCCGTAGGTCTGTTCGACGCGCTTGCGCTGCTCCTGCTGCAGCGTGTTCACGCTCTCAATGGAAGACTTTGGGTAGACCCGGAAGTCTTCGCTGACGGTGTGCGTCTGCGAGAAGCTCACATCGTCGATCACCTGCGTGAGGATTTGCGCTAGAGGGTCGGCCACCATCCCGCCAATAAGAGACCTCTTGGACAGTTGTCTAGAAGTAATTACCAATAATAATAATAGTAGACGGAGCTTCTCCCTTGTTCACCGGGGTCAAGAAACTCCGTTGCGTCGGTTGCTTCCTACTGTGGGACGAACACAAAGGGATTTCCGTGAGGGAAAGAAAGGCGGAGAGGAGACAAATATCGCATTCTGCGCATCAAAAAAAAAGAGTAGAATGTCTCTCTCCTTTTGTATGTTTAATTCCTTTTGGGGGTGTTCTCTGCTTGCAATGAGATGCCAGTGGAACGCTAAGAAAGGGGAAGCGAAAACGGTTTTCCTTTCCTGGGGCCGCCCGCCAGCGCGATGAACTTTTATGTTCTCTTTCAGTTTTTTGAAAGTGCGGGTTTATTATCATACAATATGATGATGATGATGATTGTGATAGCGAAACTGTAAGTACACCCCGAAACCGCCTCGCAACAAACCGAGCCAGTACGAGAAAGAGAAATAGGAGAAATAAATGACTCTCAACACCACAACCATAGTTTTTCCGTCTTCATTTGCTCAAGGCCGGTCGATCCAGAGTTTCACAACAGCACATGGTGCTGTCAATTCACTCAACGAAAGGGGAGAAACAACAACCACCAATTCAGTGAAAGAAACGGAGGGGAAAAGGCAAGCCACCACTACGAGGGAAGCAGCCCACTGCTCCTCAAGTTCGCGAAACGCAGCTGCTGAGCTGCCATGGCAGACAGCAGCGGGTGCGGTGCGAGATGCGGCGCAACACCGGTAGATGACAGACACAACATAAGCTGCACCAGCCGCGGAAGGCCCTCCGCGCCACACTGGTCCACCTGGTACAGCACCCCGCCCGTCTCCTCTCTCCAACCGAGCGTCGACAGCGAGAGGAGGTCGACGTCCTCCACGCCGGGCACCTCACCACGCACGAGCAGCTCGCACGCCGCATTCAGCACGGCTGCGCGCAGCCGGTCGGCCATCTCCGCCGGGCTTGCGTGGTGACGCACGTAGGTATCGACGACGGCGTCACGCAGCACGCGCGCCGCCCCGCCGCCGTTGCCCGCCACCGCCGTGGCAGCGCCGTAAAACCCACCGCGAGCGCTGCGCACGCCCAATAATCCCTCACGCGCCATCGCACGTGTGCAGCTCTCCAGCAGCGCGTTGGGAGACACGGAATGGGGCGCGGTAGCGGCTGCCTTGGTCTGCGCCGCTTCTTCGGCCGTTGCCGCGGCGGCCATGGAGGCAAGAGTGGCAGCGCCGTAGGCGTCGATCAACGCAAAGGGCCCTAGGCGCAGTCCAAGGTGCTCCTGAGCGGCGGACTCGATCCGGCTGGCATCCGGCAACGACTGCGCCATCACCAGCGCTTCGCGGCACAACGCCAGTAAGAGGCGCTGCGGAGCTGGGCCGGCCGCCACGACGTGCGGGGTCTCCTTGCGCTGCAAATACGCCAGCGCGGCCACCAACGTGTCTTGCTGCAGGTCAACCGGCCACTGCGGTGCGGCGAAGAGGCGCACCTGCTGCACCGAGGCGTGGCCCTGTTCATGGAAGGCGGAGGTGGAGGAGACGACGGCGGCGCAGGGCAGCAACGCCAGCACCGCGCGCACCGCAGCGTCCTCGCCGATGAGGATAACGTTTAAATACGGCAGCCGCCCTCGCTGCGCAGCACTCGCCACGAGCTGCGTCTCCACCAGCTTCACCGTGGCCGCGACGGCCTTGTCAGAGCAATCCAGCAGCACCGCTGCACCGGGCGACTCGGAAGCGGCGGTGAGCGCCTGCATCTTTGCGGCCCACGAGGACGTTTGGTGGTAGGGAAACGCGAGGAAGCGGCGGTGGGGCAGTAGAGGGAGGACGTGTCGCAACGAACGGAGGCGCACCTGCACGGCGTGGGCTGCGCCTCTGCACGGTGGTGCGGCCACACAGGCTCGAACAAGCGCCGCGCTACCGTCCACGTCTCCTGCGGCGTCTTTCTTGCTGTTGCCTTCATGGAACACTTTCTCAGATTCAGCTTGGGCGGTCTCACTCCGGCACAACACGCTCATCGCGTACGTGTACCACGTGGTCTCCATAAAACGTGCGTCCACCCCAGACACGGCAGCCGGAGATGGCCGCACCTTACGCTGGAAGTCGTTGCTCCAGAGCAGCTTCTCCATCACCCACTGGCGCTGCATCGGAGTGCGACAGAGATACCGCAGGAGAACACGCTCGCACCACAGAGACCACCTAAAGGTGCCCGCTGCGTGTGACACAACGTCTGCCTCAACGGAAGACGACGGTGACGGCTCCCCCAGGCGAAGCAATCCAACGCCTTCAAGACTGCTTGCGTCATAACTGTGCAAAATTGGCACCCACTTGATGGTCGACTGTGAGCCGCAGATGCGCTGCAGTGCGGCGACTGTGCAAGTCGAAGGGTAGAAGCCGACTCGTGTCAAAGGAAAGCCGACGGACATCGCCGGCACCGCCGTCGCCCGCCCGGAGCGGAATTCCGTGATGGTGGACGCCCGCGCAGGCAGCAGATACCGCTCTGGACACGCAAAGAAGATTTCCGCACCGAGGTCCAGTACGGGACCCGCAGCACACGACGCCAGCGCCACAAAATGTGCCTTTCCCTTCATGCAATGTACGAGCTGATGGAATTTCTGCATCACCGCCTCCTTGGCCTCGACGTAGGCGACGCGCTGCTTCAGTGAGAACTCTGCGGGCGACTGCACCGAGCCAAAGAAGGTACAGTGCGGCAGCGTGCACCACGTAACGGTGACGGGAGACGGTGGGGTAGTCCCACTGGCACCACTGCTGTTGCCATTGTCGCTGCCGTTTGCAATCATCTCTCCACAGCGCGCCTCTACCGCATCCAGCGCACGCGAGACGGCTTGTAATGCAACCATGGCGCCAAAAAACGATTTACGCAACTGCACGGTGAGGCCTCGCCCCGGCATGACCGACGAACCGGCAACAGACACAGTAATGCAGTTTTCACTGTCCTGCTCGTCAATCGACTCGGACGCCGGTGCCGTGTTTGCTGCTCGTGTCATGACACCGCGCCACACTTCACCAGGAAGGCGCTCGACCACTGGGGTCTCGTGCACCTCCGTTGCGTTGGGCCTCGCTGACAAGTTACTATCGTGCTCGATGGAGTCTTCAGTTGGTGACGACGCTGCATCCGCCGTGGTCGACTCGGCGCCTCCCAGGTCGGAGGGAATTTCGTGCCGATTGAGACTGCTAGCGATGGTCATTGGCAGGGGCTGCAATTTCCCTTCACGGCGCGCAGAAGACCAGTCGCCGGGAGACTCGTCAAGAGGAGGAGGAGGCGTCGCTGCTGCGGCCGTTTCCGCGGTCTCTGCGTGCGAGGCGCCGGTGCGGACCGCCCTCAGCGGGTGCGTGGCTTTGCCATGGCGCACTGCCTCCTCCACGCGCGTCGACAGCGAGGGACGCAACGCTTCAAACAGCTCCTGCTCGCTCGCATCCGCCTTGATGGAGTTCATGGAACCGTCCGCCTCCGTCTTTTCTGGAGGAGCGATCGAGACGTGCAGGGACGCAACGACTAGGGAAGCCGGTGGGGTCGCGGCTGTAGAAGTCGGCGCTTGCGGCTGAGGTGGCGGCGGCGGTGGTGGTGGTGGTGTTGGTGATGGAGGAGGCGCCGCTGCCTTGCCATGGCCTAATGACTGCCCAAGGCGGCCCGTTGCCACGACCGTGCGAGATAACGGCGATGCACTTTTGTCTGTGGGCTTGTGTGACATTTGGGATGGCTTACCGTTGGCGTGATGCGCTCTGGGGGCAGAAGTGGATGCGGCCTTCGGCGCTTCCGGTGCGGCCTTCGGTGCTTTCGGTGCGGCCTTCGGTGCTTCAGGTGGAGACCGCGGTGCTTCCGGTGGAGACCGCGGTGCTTCCGGTGCGGCCTTCGGTGCTTCAGGTGGAGACTTCGGTGCTTCCGGTGCGGCCTTCGGTGCTTTCGGTGCGGCCTTCGGTGCTTCAGGTGGAGACCGCGGTGCTTCCGGTGGAGACCGCGGTGCTTCCGGTGCGGCCTTCGGTGCTTTCGGTGCGGCCTTCGGCGCTTCAGGTGGAGACTTCGGTGCTTCCGGTGGAGACTTCGGTGCTTCCGGTGCGGCCTTCGGTGCTTCAGGTGGAGACTTCGGCGCTTCAGGTGGAGACTGCGGTGCTTCCGGTGCGGCCTTCGGCGCTTCCGGTGGAGACTTCGGTGCTTTCGGTGTGGCGTTCGGTGCGGGAGGGCCAACAGGCATTACAGGCACCACTGAAGGAACAATGTGTCTCGTCGGAGGTGCCGGCGGCGGCGGTGGCGGGGGCGGGGGGGCGGCGCTCAACCGCACAACGGAGGTGCACAGAGATCGGTAGACATTTTTCACCGCGCTCGAGCGCCGTGCCTGACGAGGAAGCCGTTGCTGGACCCTGCGCATTGCACTCAGAGAGCACAGCTCAAACGCCCGAGTCAGCCGATTTGAAACGGCTGCGATATTTGCTGCAGCAACAGCAGGTGCCAAGGTGTAGTCAAAGGTGCGAAGAGCCGCAAAAGAGGAAGAGAGCGATAAATGTGAACAGTCACAAAGAAGAAGAGGCGTTAGGTGTTCAAAGATAATGGAAGAACCTTTCATCTCGTCAGCCATGCACAGCAGCAACAAGGTTATGGTACAAACGTCTGCTCCCAAATGTGACCTGTACGACTGAGGAAATCAGCGGAATCGATTGACTAAAAAAGGAGGGGCTAACTCTTCACAATCCCAGCAGATCAGAAGTTCCATGGAGAAAAAAATTCCATCTGGCAACTGAAACGTAGTTGCCAGCACCAGAACAGCAGTTGTGCTGCATTTCTTCTGCACCTCTGTTGACTCTTTAGTAAAAAGATTGGTTTATTTTTTAATGGTTCTTGCGAGGAAAATGGGTCGTTGTGTTTTCCTTTGTATCAAATAGCGATAGTGAAAGACAAAGAGAGCAAGACAAAGAAAAACAACACCACCGACCTACAAGAAGGAAACAGGAAATGCGTGTGCAGGAATCGGAAAAGCGGGAAAAAGAGGATGCAGCCGTGTGAAGCGAAAAGAAGAAAACGTTATGAAAACTACACAACGAAGTGCTGCATCGCCACTTCTGCATTCAGCATTAGAGTTCTTTTTTTCTGCACCTTGTTCTCGCAAATGCCTTCTGTCGCCTCAAACAACCGAAAAATTGCGCAAGTGAAAAAAGGAGATATAAATATGCGGCAACTACGTATCGTTCATTGAAAAGCAACTAGCAAAGAAGAGAAAAAAAAGAGAAACCGCAACCGTTTTACCACTCCTTTACGGGTGGCTCGTTCTTGTCAATTAGAGCGTTGAAAGTATACAACACAGTTGTCGCTGCTGTTTCGCTCATGCGGCCGCTGCCGGCTGCGGCGCGTTGTTCAGGAACCGACGTCCAAAGGCAAACTGGTCCACGATGACTGCAGCACCGACAACAATGGAGTAGAAGCCGCCGATTAAGCCAAAGAGGCTGGCGGTCCAAATGGCCACGCCCAGCGTTCCAACAAAAATCATGAACACCGCCTCACCAAGCCACTCATGCAGGGCGCCGAAGTACGTCTTGCTAGCCGCCAAGTTCATCTCGCACGAGGTGAGGACAAGGCCGAAGATACACATGTAAATGGCGAGGACCGGGACGGTCAGGTCGAAGAAGTTCAGGAGATTCCCGATGAAAGCGATAAAACCAAAGATGACGAGGACAGCGCAGTCAACCAGGACCAGAATTCGCACGACGCGCGAGCGCTCCTGCGGAGCGGCGGCTGGGGCGGCAGCGGCGTTACCTACGTTCATCTCTTTTCCCTATAGCGTCTACCGTTCGTCAAGTGTTGCTGTGTGTTTGTGGGTGTGTTTGTTTGGCAAAAACCTGTCAAGGTAAGGGTTTAGGTTGATGGGGAGGGGGACGGAGGACGGAAGAGTTAAAAGGGGAGGAAAATAAAGTCCGCAAGAGTTGGGCAATTCACCTCGATTTGTTGCTCGGAAGACACGGACCCGCAAAAACGGAAAAGCGAAAGCCGGGCGAAAGAGGACCAACAAAGCACAGGGTCAGAAGAATTCCGGCGTGTCTCCTAAGATATTGTTGCTTGCCTTTCTGCGTTGCTGCTTTTTCGTTTTCTTTTTTAGGCCGAGCTGTAGATGGAGAGCGTTACGCAAACAAAAGCAAAAAGATACTTCTTCAGTGTAGAAATATATGTAGACCAGATGGGCCAGGCACAAAAAAAAAAAAGATTCACCCCTTCCGACTTTTCACCTTTTCTTTCGTTACCGTTCTTGCCTAAAGAAAAGGGACAAGTGAAGAGTGCGTCGAAGGGTTCGAAACGTTACGGGGTGAGCACGCCGGAGCGCGTCGTGATGATGGCTTTGGGTCCTCCTCTTTTCTGTTGTGGTGCTTGATCTTCGTTTTCCTTCTCCCTCTCTTTCTTTTACACAACAGTGGTCTCTGTCGCCCGCGTGCTGCCCGCACCCTGCGGGTTCATCAGTTTGTCTGTGATGCACAAGCCACCAATCACGACACTGAATATGCCAGAAATAAAGGGAATCAAGACGCCGGCGTACGTGCCAACCCAAAATGAGATGCCGAGAGTGCCAACAAAGATAAAACAGTACGCGAGGCCCGCCTTGGTGCACAGAATGCCGAACATGCGCTCTGCAATGGGGAGCCGCAGCTCGGCCATCACGCACAGAGCGCCGAACGTCATCATGTAGATAGAGAGGAAGAAATGTGACACACGCTTAGGCCTGATGCACGCAAACACGAAGGTCAGGAACCCGCACACAACCAGAGAAGCGCAGTTCAGCCACACAAGCGCCTGGGCCCATTTGCTGTACGATGTACGGGGGTACTGTGAAACAGGAGCAACGGCGCCGATGGTGGTGGCGGGCCCCGGAGCCGCCGCCGGAGGGTCTGCCTGGGGCTTGGAGCTTGAGAAGAAGTTCATCACTACAGAGGAATTGCGTTCTTTAAAAAGACCGCTTAACAAATCGGTTGTTGCTTTGCTATTTTTGCTAGTCGCACCAGTTGTTGTTGTTTTTCTTTTCAACAACCGATTCCACTGAACGGGTGAAGTGAGGGGTTTCCGTCGACGATAATGGTAGAAATTGAACAAAGAGAATTCCTGTTTATGAGGAAGGAGTGTACAAAGGAGAGGAGAATTGCACAGACGGGCGACAATAAAAGAGGTGGCGATCGTCCACGAAAGCGTTCGAATCATCATAATAATGCTAGCTCGAATACTGCTGAGCAACACATTCTAATGAACTATCCCTAACTGCTTGCCCTTCATTCGCAGACGTCGGTTTTACAACGCCGCTGAGAACTGTTTGTGCAAACCGTTGTCCAAGGCTCCGTAGCGTGCCGCAGCTTCTACTCGGTTTCAATACGGGATGTAAGACAAGCTACGTGGCTCCGCGAAGGAACAGAACACAGTTTAGCAATATTGCCAGCACATCTGATAAACACCAGACTCGCCGCTTAACGTTCCCACGAAACTTCGAATTGTCCTCACGGCAATCGTCTGCTGCGAGCATAAGGGGGGGGGAAGGGAGGGGGAGGGCCATCAATAGATGGGATGAAAAGCTGGCGTTTATGCACCGCGAAAACGGGAGGCCACAATAAACGCCGCATCTGAGCTGCTTTGTTTTCTCTTCTTTGCTGTGAAGTAAAAAACATTTTAGAAGGCAGTCTTCTTGAAATTAGCCCCACCCACAGGGATGGGTGCTTCCTCATTCATTCATTCGTTCTTCTCCTTTCATGCGCGGCTCTTGCAGCTTAGGCAGTTTTTGGCTTGCTCGTCTTCTCCGCCACGTGCATGAGGACGTGCAAGGGGAAGTCGGTCAAAAAGCTGCCCTTCTCTTTCCACACGTCGATTGGGTTGGGCAGGTAGGCGAGGTGGCCGCCCACTGGCGTTTCCACAAACACCACGTTGGGGTGTTGGTCCGTCAGGGCTTGCCACTCCTCGTCGGTGTGCGAGATGCCGGTGATCGGGTCATGGCGAGACGCCACGCAGACAACGGGGAGCGACGGGTCGGACTTCTGCAACCACTTAAAGCCGGCCGCGTCCTTGTAGTATTCTGCCGGACCCTCCTCGTACCCGAAGTGAGGAGCTATAATGTGCTCGACAAAGTCGTTGGCGGTCTTCAACTTCGCCATCTTCTCCTCCAGCTCCTCCCTGTCCTTGAACGATGGGAGACCAGGCAACCCTTGAATCATGAGATCGGCGTGCTTCAGGGCGTACTTCTGCATTGCAACGACCATCGGCTGTTGGTAGTAGAAGGCGCAGCGATCCAGGATCTCGTGGTGCACGAACATGTTGTACGGCGCGTTCATGCTGACCATGCCCTTCACCGGAAATCCCCCCGGGTAGCGAGAGGGGTCTTTCTTGAACTCATCAAACTCCTCCACGATTGCCTTGACCACCGTCGTGCCGCCGGCGCTGAAGCCGAGCAAAAAGACAGGCAGGTCCTTTCCAAAGCGGGCGCGGATCTGATCACGGCCGAAGCGCTCGCGCAGCACCGTCCGCGCGTCTTGCGTAAAGGTGATGCACGTGACGCGCGGCTTCGTCAACGGAGCAGAGCCCATGCCGCGCGGACTGAGCACGCAGAGCTGAAACCCGCGCGACGTCGCATCCCGCGCCAGCCGCTGCACATACGGCGTCTGGCTGTAGTTGCCCACACCTGGGATAACGAGAATGACACCCCTCGCTGCAACGCCCTGCGGAACGGCCAGCCAGTCGAGACAGATCGGGTTGCCATCAAAGCCGTCCACCAGCTCCCGTAGGTAGTGGACACGGCTACTCCGCCACAGGTTACCGATGATGGTGTGAATGTCACCGTTGTAGAGCGGACCGCTGTAGATCATGTCATAGGTCAGGCCAAGAAGCCGGAGCAGCCGGTCCGACGTCGCCGTGTCTTTCTGGGAGGCGATCACCTTGATGTGGCGCTCCTTGGATCGGCTGTAGGTGTAGGGGCGGTGTCCCGTGAGCCACTCCCAGACCGTCACGGGCACCTTCACCAGCAGCGTATGCACCCACCGCGGGATGACATAGAGAAAGACATGGACAAAGGTGTGGAGGATGAAAAGTTGAACTTTCACAAGCATTTTTAGGTAAGCTATAGTTACTCAATATAGAACGTATACCGTTGTTATTACGTATATTGTTTTCTTCGTTACGACTGCAGCGAGTCCGCTCCTACTTTCTTTCGTACCGAGCACTATCCGACTCTCAGTATTCGCAAGATTAGGGTTGGAAGTAAGTCTTCCTGTACAAAGACCGATAAAAATATATAAAACTGGGAGAAAGAGCAACAGATTAAAGGGAAAAAAAGGAAATGGAAAGAAAAAGAGACGAGAACGCTGCTGTCAAGAGCGCATTGTGTCACAACGACGAGCACACTACTTCACACAACATAAAGATGCGTTTCTGTGATGAGGAGAAAACCCAAAATGCGTTGCATACTCGGCTTTGTGTGTTCAAGCGAGAGAGAGTGGCACTTTTCTTACTTCAGAGGGAGTAGTGGCAGACTCCACCGTATTGGCGCAACAAGGCCTCACCAAAAAAGTATTCCTACTTCATTATCGCTTTCTGATCTTTTTTTTGAATTGCAGCCATATATGAGTTTTTGGTGAGGGAACATGGTGCATGCAGGTTGAATAGGCACCGAACTGACAACTGAACACTCACGTCACCGACCTCTTTCCCTCATCACGCTAGGACAGATAGGAACAGTTCTACTTCGCCTTCTGATACATCATCTGTTTTCCTCGCATCTGCAGCCCAAACAGTCATTGAGGTGTCAGCAGCTACGGAGACGCTGAGCAGGCTAACGGGAAAAAAAAAGATACAGCACACACTCTCTTTTTTTTCCAAAAAAAAAAGCAAAAGGAGAAATACAACGATGAGTGAAAGCGAGACTATTCAGTGGTAAGCAAGGCTACAAAAAAAGACACCGCAAACGAAGGATAGGGGTAAATGATCGATGAGATACTGTCAGCCTAAGTAAAAACACACTTAAAAACAAAAATGCGAGCGACAAAGTCATGGACACATACATACACATGTGCGCCTCGTTACACCCACACGCGTGTGAGTCGCGTTTTTTGTTTGTTAATGGGCAGTGAGTGAGAGAGAAAACAAAAATGTATAGCATGGGTACAACCGTGGAGTGTCCGTGCAAATGCGCTTCTATGCATGTAGGCACGTCGCACACCCTCTCGCTTAAACGCTAACTGACCAGACGTACCTGATGTGTACGTGCCTCTTCACTTCACGTTTCCAAGTGGTCTCGCACGTCGCGCTGCACTGGTACCTTTATTGAATAGAAAACAACAGGGGGGAAAAAAAGAGCTGTTACAGACAGAAAACCCTGAGAGAACGGAGGTTGGCGTTCATTTCTTGCCTTGTCTTGACTGCCTCACGTGGGAAACACAACCGAGAAAAGATATATATAAGAGAGAGACGCAGACATTAGTGCACACAGAAAGGGAGGGGGAAAGCACACAGCTTCGGTCGCCACAGCAGCCTCTACTGCTGTTTTTTGCTCTGACGCGAGGCCACTACGTGATCCAACGCAGTGAGCGGGAATGTCTGAAGGAAGCTGAAGGGGTGCATCCACTCTTGCAACGAATTTTGCACAAAGCCGAAGTGGCCGCCGGTGGGCACCTCCACGTACACGGTGTTGCTGTTCAGGTTGCACGCCGCCTGCCACGCCGCCTTTGTCACGGCGTAGCCGACGATCGGGTCATCGCGAGTGTTGAGGCAGAGCAGCGGCACATCGTGGATCTTCTCCACGTACTGCAACGAGTCGCTGTCCTTGTAGTAGGCAAAGCGGTCTGGGTAGCCGAAGTGGGTGGCCACCACGTGTATGTCAACATCCGTCGGCTCGTGAATGAGCTTCATGGCCGCGTCAAAGTCCGTATGAATTAGAGGCAGCTGCTTCTTCTCCTTCTCCGTCTTTCCTTCCGAAGCAGACTGCAGCGTTTTGCGGTGCTTGCGCAGATACTTGCAGAGGGCCGCAAAGATGGGTTTCGCGTACAGCAGCTTGCCCATGCGTGTGCGCAGCATCTCGGCGGAGACGTACGTGTCATTTGGCGCGATCATCGACACCACCGCCTCAATCGGAAAGCCGCTCGCGTAGAGGGTGCCATTGCTCGCCTTGTGGGCCGCCGTCTCCTCGGCGACACACTTGATGAGCGTCAGGCCGCCACAGCTGTAGCCCACCGCAAAGAGCGGCAGCGCGGCGCCGAACTCCTTCTCCAGTATGTCCTTCTGCAACCGGTGGCGCAGCGCATGGCGAATGTCGGCGGTGAAGGTGACGCACGTGATGTTGGGCGTGGTGAGCGGGGCGGAGCCCATGCCACGAGGGGTTAGCAGACACACGTGGTAGCCGTGCCGCACCGCGCACCGTGCAAAGCGCTGAATGTAGTTGGACTGCCCATAGTTTCCTAGACCGGGGATGAGGAGAATAATACCCTTCGCGCGGGACGGCTCCGGCACTTTCAGCCAGTCCAGGCAAATAGGGTTCGTGTCGTCCGCCTTGAGCAGCTCTCGCTCGTACGCGACGCGGCGACTCGTGCGGGCGGCGCCGATGACGGTGTGGATGTGGCCACTGTACAGTGGGCCATTGTATGTCATGGCGGTGTGCAAGCCGAAGAGTCCCATCACCTTTTCTCCAGCCGTAGGGTCGGACTGCGACGTGATGACGTCGATGTGGCGCTCCGTGCTTGGGGCGTAGGTGAGGGGGCGGCGACCCGTGAGGAGCTGCCACAGCGTGACGGGCAGTTTAACGAACACGGCGTGAATCCATCGCGGAATGCGGTAGAAGACGAGATCCAGCACACAATGTACGCTGAACAAAATTATGCGCTCCAGCATGATGTCATATATTTAGAACTTGTTTTCCAAAAGAAGAAAAATATGTGAGGTAAAAAAAAATGCCGATTTTATAAGTGAGCGAGAGCGTGGCCCGGTCCGGGAATCTTCCCGGACTCCATAAATAGGTTTACTTTATTTATCAGCGAATCGTGAGTACAACTTGCACCCAAAAAATAAATAGTGTAAATCTCAAGAAATAAACGACGGTACTGTTGAAGAAAAAAAAAGAAGAGGACAGACAGACAGACAAGAGACGGAGGAAAGATGGAGAATTTGCCGCGGAATGCAGGAGCAAGAAAGCAAACAGGGAGAAAGAAGCAGGCTGATGCTTGGCTTCTTTTAAACTGCCCTTACCACGTGAAGAAAAAAGTTCATTCTAACTAATGCAAGTGATGCGCACTTTCACGAATCCGAAGCCGCTCTCCGACCTCCCTATCAAAAGCGAGAGACACCGAAAGAAACAAAATAAAAATTTGCGGTTACTTCTCAAGGAAGCTAAGCCTACATGTAGCGCCTTAGCTCTCCTTTCGTGCGATAGTAACGTCGCTTTTGGTGCGCCACACATGGAGCAACAAAGAAGAAAGAAGATGAAAGAAGAAAAGCACGTACTCAAACGGAAAACGGTGTTTCCTTCTTTTTCTTTTGGCCGTTAGTTACAAATCACTTTCGTTTCCTTTTTGATGCTTGGAGGAAAAATAAATTAAAAACACAAAAAACGGCAAATCCGGCTAGACCAGATGCGTTTTTCTTTTGCTTTTGCTTTTAAACTCGCTACAACACGTACAAACACCTGTACCGCCTCCATTTTCCCTTTCGTTATTATTTTGAGTAGCGTCGTCCCTCACACGCTCATCGAGTCACACCAACCGAAAGCTGCGCGCTGCTACCAAAAGCAACACGACTCCCTTTCTTGTTGTTTACCCACGTATGCAGGAACGCCCTGAAGCGGGAGAGTGCATGGCAGGGAGGGGGGGGGGGGGAAGAGAGAAAGCAAGAGCTGTGCAGCAGAGAACGGCAATTGCCCCTTCCTGCAATATGGACAGACTTTGACTTCTTTTCTTTCTCTCCCACTCACGTGCACTTTCTCACATCTTGATACTGTAGCGCGACGGCTTCGGGCCCAGCTTCAGCGCGAAATCGTAGGCGACGAGGACCACGAGGGGGATCAGCACCGCGAGGCAGCACGCCACCGGCGGAACGCCGTGCATCTTCTCCGTGTACTGGTTCAAATCCACAGGATCGAAGTGACGGAGAACGAGGAAGGTCAGGAGGGAGATCAGACCAGCCCAGATGGGCGCGAAAGTGTAGGTGAGAAACATGGTATGAAGCTGTACGGAAAGAGAGGGAAAAAAAATTTCAATTCGACGAGAGAAAAGGTCTTTTATCGAAAACAACAGAAAAAGGTATACGAAGAAAGCGAGATACGGAAAGAGGTGCAATTGCAGCCGTATTCTTCTCTACGAGAGAAACGAACAACAAAAAACTTCACGTGATAACAAAAACCTTTTCGATGCGAGAATTGAAGACACCAATGACGATGATGATGAAGGTAATGATAGTGACAATGAGGGTGGGCGACAACTCTGACTGTAGCCGGTGAAGCAAAAGGTCGTGGCGTGAGGAAAAAAAAAAACGACGGGAGCAAAGGCGAGGACAGAAAGAAAAAGTGTGGAGCGGAGTAGAAGGGAAACGAAATGACCTGTCGCACGGTAACGATTCCGGACGTAAGGAAAACGCGCGTTTACTAGTGAGCTCCTGAGAAGCGTGTACATCGATGGCCTGATTGGTATTCGAACAACAGCGATGATTTCGATAGACTCCCTGCTCTGCCTCTTTCGTGAAGGCGGATATCAAAGGCAAAGTCTGTAATTGAGGTGTTTGGTAAATCGTGTTAAAGCGTAATGCTTGTGGGTGCGCGCTTACCGCTTGTACCAAGCGGAGCACGCGAGAGAAAGGGAAAAAAAAGAAATAGAAGTGGAAGACTCCGCTACAGGAGCATCTGATACGACGTCAGGAACGTGATCTCCCACTGCTCCGTCGCGTTGCGCTGACTCGCCCGCTTGTGCAGCTGACTCCACGTGAGTGCCACCGCAAACATGGAGCTGGTGCCGGGCCGAAAGACCTCCTCCTTCAGCCACACCTCACCCGTCGCCAGCAGCTCACCCCTGCCACGGTAGACGGTGCAGTAGATGGGCTTCCGCCCTGCGCTTTCAATCCCCAGCTGCAGGTGCGCATCCCACGCGGTGGAGTGGTGCATGTGCAGCAGTTGGCGGCTGACGTGCGTGCGGAGGGTCTGAAAGCCGTTTGTCAAGACGCACACCGCCCCCGTGATGGACTCCGGCCCAACCAGCTCCTTCACCACCACATTCAGCAGCCCCGTGTAGCGCGGCGGACCGTCGTCGCGGAGAAGCGCCCGCTGCTGCTGTGTGGGGGAGGTGTGGAGGCCGATGTTGGCGCACCCCTGGCCGTCACGTGCTGCCGCGGCGGCAGTAGTAGCAGTAACAGCAGCACCACTTGATGCAGCGGACAGGCGGGACTGCTCGAGCCCTACTGGGTCTGGACATGGCGGCAGCGGCTGCGTCGCGCTGGGGTGTCGCCGCTGCGTAAAAAGCTGCTCGTCGTACTTCCACTGAATGTACGACTCACGAACATCAACGGAGGAAAACGCGGCGACCGGCTTCACTGGCGGGTCCACGCGCAAGGCCGCCTCGACGCTGTCCTCCGGGAAGGCCACGTAGTACTCCAGCTCTGCGTTCACGACGGCGTTGCCACGTGTGTGCATAAAAGCGATGTCCGCCGCAGGCCACAAGTCCAGTTCAGCGCCGCGGCACTTGTTCGACCACAGCTTGCGGTGCACGCCGATGCACTCAATGCACACAAAGGCGCCAAAGGGTTGTAAAAGGCACCACGATGGGAAGGCCGCCTCGCAGTCCGCACACATCTGATTGGCGGGCTCGCTGCAGATGCAGGAGTCGTACAGCGGGGAGTGCTGCAGGCGAACCGGCATAGCAGAAGCAAAGGAAGAGGCGGTGGCAGCGGCAGCGGGAGTGCTGTCCACGATGTTGTCCGGCAGACACGCTTCCTCATCCGCGTCTAACACTTCCTCCACAGCGGCTGCTTTGCGTACATCTTCCTGTGCAACGAGCGGCGACGAGAGGCTGGCATTCGCCACTCTTTGCTGCTGCTGTTGTTGCATCGCGTCGTACTCGCGCAGGACATCCGACAGCTGCAGCACCTCGTGATCCGACAGGACGCTGATGTCGGAGGACTGCCTCGTGTGCACTGGTGGGGCGTGGTACAACACTTCGGACTCGAAACGGTTTGGCACGTTGGCATGAGCAAACGAAGCTCGCCCACCGCCCCCCAGTGCGCCAACACCAGCGAGCCCGTTGCCAGTCGGAGAATCGGAAAAAAGGTGCGAATACTCCTGAGAAGCGCGCTGAATCGCCTGCAGGAGACGCCATTTCAGCATCTTGTCTGTCATGAAGAGCTGCACTGCGTAGTCTGCACCAGGTAATTCGGCGGTGGTGGCTCTCGCGTTTGCTTGGCTGTCCTTCCCCGGGGCAAAAATGTAAGCGCGGCGGTTGCCGAGAAGATCCACCTTTTCCGCATAGTCGTAGTTGACTAGAAAAAGCAGCAGCCGCTCATCCTCACCGCTGTACGCGCCGCCGTCCACGACGTGGCAGCCCTCCAAGTACACCTTCTCCTTGGCGTGCTTCGCCATGGAATTCTTCGGCTCGTCGAAGCAGTACAAAAGGTTGTTTGTATGGATTTCGATGGTGCGGTGCACCGTCGACGATCCCTGCGTGCCCCACTGCACATCGCACTCGCCGCCAAGGAGAAGTGTGTCCAGGCTGACCTCGTCCATTCGTGCACACGCAAAAAAGAAAAGAAGAAGAGCTATAGAGCCGTTGCAGTGCGAACCCACTAAATAAAGCTGCGCTCAGTAAATGGAGAACAAGCCAATAAGGAAATAAAGAAACAAAAAGCCCAATTAAAGGTGCAGCAGTAGCAACAAACATACAACAAAAAGTTTCATTTATTGATACAGAGCCAAAGCCGGCGATACGTGAGAGAGGGGGGGGGGGGTGAAGAACGAGAAAAAAAAGCTTCGGCAGCTTCGAGGAACGAGAGAGCAGTCCAACGTCGCGACCAAAAACAGCGTTCCCGACACTCATGCAAAATACGTCACTGCCGCGGAAAGAAGAAAACAAAGAACGAGAAAGAACGATTGTGGAACACTGTTCGACGACAGTTGAGAGCAGTGTGCAAAGAAGCAAAAAGGAATTACTGCCTCGACGGCGGTAAGGAGGAAGTCGGGAGAAGAGTTTCCCGCCTTGAGAGAACTCAGCTAAATTAAAGGGTGCAAACAGAAAAGAAAAGGAGGCTAACGCAGTTGCCTTCCTGTGTGCGTTAGCGAATCACGTGATCACTTGTTGGGCCAGTCGCACACACACACACACACACACACAAAGACGCAGACAAGAAAGAAAAACGTCTAGCAAATGAGGCCACTGCCTTCACTTCCGCTCAACGCGTGCCTGCCAGATGCGGACGTAGGACCTGCCGTGCGTGTGATAAGAAGGGAGGAGGGGGTTTCCGATGTGGTGAGACAGGAGAGGTGGGGATCAAAGAGATCGAGACGGAGACGATGAAAGAAGTCAAGAAAGGGGAAAAGCAGTGAAATACCTTTAGGAAGCAGACGAGCCATAACCAAAAAGAACAGCCTCCAACAGTACGTGGCGGGTTCTTTGCCCATTCCCACAAGTGCATCTTACATGACACGTCGAAGCGTGTACTCTCTCACCTGTACAGTGAAGCTCAAAAGACAGTATTCTTTGGTGGTCCCTTTCTTTTTCCTTTTGGCGGAGCGCGTCCATGTGCGCACCTTGTCTCTAGCACAGCAGAGCACAGGTAGAAAACTAGCCGTTTTGCAAACAGCACAAACCACGCTAATTCTCCATGCGTGGACGCTTGGCATCGGAACTGTCGTCATCGTTTAGCACCTCGAGAATCTCGTCGCCCATGACAGCGGCAAGTCGGCGCTTCACCTCGTCCACCTCGGCCTTCTTCTTACGCTCCTGCGCCGCTGCTCGCTCCGCCTGGCGGGCGGCGTACACCGAGTACGGCACCACGATGGCGTACTGGCCACGCGACACGTCGTTCACAACCTCTGATATAGTGAGCGTGGCGGGCGAAGTGGTGAGGGCGGACGGATCCAGTGGGCCGAGGTCCGCCACGGGCAGCACCAGCGGCGTCTGGCGCAGCGCCGCCGAGGCGTTGGCGCCCGTTGCACGCAGCAGATACGCCGGAAACGTGCGAGCGTACGCGCTGAAGGGCGGGACGCCCAGGTCCCCCTCCGACAGCTGCAACATCGCGACCGCCGTGACGGAGGTGCCGGCCATCACCGAAGACGAGGAGGAGGGCGATCCGTCGGCGTCATCCATCGCCTCCATCGTGGTGGGGCTCGGCGCCGCAGCCACCGCTGCCCGCCGCAGGTCCGTCTCCTTCTTGGAGGCCACACCGCGCATCGTGGCGGCGCTCCCACCCACGGCGACCATATAGAGCAGCGCCACGTGCATCCGCTCGCCGACCACGGCGTACGACTTCCAGCCCTTCCCGCTGATGCTGCTTCTCGTGTCGCTAATGCTTGCACCAGCAGGAGAAGTGGCTGTGGAGGTGGTGACGGTGTCCGATGGAACGAGGTCGGCAGGGATGAAAACGGGGCCGGTGTAGCCGCAGTTGTCGGCGTCTGCGACGCAGCGGGCGTGCAGTCCATCCTCCTCGATCCTCTCGACTCGCACGAGCAGCCGCGTGTACACGCTGAGCCCCGCCGGGTAGGTGCAGATGCGCTCCGCAGACACGCCACCTCCGTCCGTCTCGCTCATTTTCTTTTCCTGGATATGCTTGAAAAGTTTGCTGGCCAGCGCTTTTGCTGCATTTCCACTTAAAGGTCGTACACCGGTCGTCGTGGGTGTGTTGCGCCGCAGCACATTAGCAACATTTGGCGGGGCGGGAGGCCTTGCATTTTGCTGGTGGGTCGCCGCAACGTTCAGCAAGCCACGCGCAAGGTTGGAGGTGCGCAGCGTGCGCGCCGCTGTCGAGGGGAGCTGCACCTTTGCGACGGAGCGCCGCGTGGAAAAGACCGAGGCGACCAAGACGCGGAGCAGCTTGCCGCCCACCATGCCCTCGCCTGCGATGCTGAGACCACCGCCGGCGGACAGCTGCACCTGCACCTCGTCCCCGAGGGAGACACTCAGAAAGTTCGTGTGCGTGTTCACGAGGGTAAACGCGGCAGCCTGCTCCACCGAGGGGTAGAGCCCGGCGTCCACCGCGCAGTACGTGTTGGATGGCATGGCCACGACGTAGCCACGCACAACGCGGCCGTCGACGGGGCGGTCGGAGAGAGCGTGCCTAGCCAGCATCTTTGGCAGCGCCGCCGCCAGAGGGGACGTCGCGGTTGTGCCGACGTGCATCGCATACACGCCGTGTCGTTCCGCCAACGCGAGCTGCTGCTGCAGGAGGAATTCATTCGCGTCGTGCGCAGAGGCGAGGTGCAGCACGGCACAGTAGGGGCCTAGGCAGCTGTGACGCAGGGCAGAAGCTTGCTGCTCAAAGTCGGACCACAGGGCCACCTCTTGCTCCGCCGTAACCCGCGATGAGGTGGTGCGGGTAGTGGTGCCACGTCCGTGCAGTAGAAAGCTTTTCTCTTCAAAGGTGGCCATGGACGCGGTGGGGGTGGGCTCTGCCGTGCTTGCGGTCCCGCTGCTGCCGCCTGCACCGCTTAGTTCGGTGCACTGGAGTGTGGAGACGAGTGCTTTGAGTCGCGTACAGGTGACAGCCTCAGAGGAGCTGAGCAGCACGTCCGACCCGACGCACGGCGTCGCAGCCTCACTCTCCACCTGCCACGCCTGACCGCGTTGGTGCATGTCATTGCGAAGTCGGTCCGCGCTGGACAGCTTCTGGAACTGAATGCGCACCGTTGTCGTGTTGTAGTTGGGGTCCTCATCGTAGCGGAGCCACTCTACGAGCCCGTATGCGCAGCACGCACTGAAGAGTTGGGCACGCAAGGTGTCACTCTGCAGCTGTTCGGACGTAACGCTGATGCGGCGTGTAGTAGACGTCATTTCAACGGACCGCCGTTGTTGGTGTTTGTACTCCGGCGCTTACTGGTGTGTGGAGAGAAAGACTAAAGTATGGAAGCCGCTGAGCGCCAATATGCATAGTTTTCTTCTTTCTTTTCTCACTTGAGTGTGTCGCACGTGTATCTGTTCTCGCGGTAATTGCTCCGCTACGTTGTGGCACAAGGAAATAGAAGACGTCGGAAAAAAGAGAGGGAAACAGAAAAGAAAAGTCATCAGAGAAGACGCTGCTAACCCCGCACGTATCGGGTAAACAGAGTACGATGTGGGGGGAACACAAAAAAAATCAGCCTTTCCTGGAGAGAGAGGTCGACTGGAGGGGAGAGAAGAGTAAGGGGGAGTGTACAACAGGAAGCTTTCGATTCATCTTCCGGCGAATTTTTCCTGGTGCAAGCTTTCAGAATAAAAAAAGCGAAAACATGCACAGCTGCTAAATTCTAGCAGTTGAGAATGAAAGGGAAAAGGCAGAAAAGGAAAGGAGAAAGAGGGATAGGATGAATAATTCTCAGGCTAGGTCACTCCATTCGCAAGCTCCAAAATAAATAAATAAGCATGAGGGTGAAATCCCCGCGCATCACATTGAAAAAGTGGCGGTTCTTCGCACGCGTATGCAACAACGACGATGCTGTGCTGATCGCGCAAGGACAGCTCACACTTCTCAATGCACACGTTGGCTGTGTGGATTACCTACTGTACGTCTACACACGCGCGTGAAGTGTGGAAGAAGTCGTGCGGCACGTGTGCTCGCAAGGCACGACCAGAGCGGACGGTTAGCTGCCACAACTGAACTAACGGCCGTTTCGTCACTCGCCCATGTGCGGAAGCACGGTAAAGAGAAAAAGGCGAGTTAGACGGTGTTGCTGGTCCTGCTTTTCTTTTCGTGTGTTTAAAAACTAAAGAACAAAACTACAAATTAAAAAATGCGAGAGACTGTAGATTCACTTTTCATTCTTTAAGCAGTGATGTCGGAATCACCAACATCCGTCACGGACAGGACGCAGGTGCGAAAGTGCTTGCCGCACGTTGTGCCGAGGTCCAGGTTGTTTCCCGAGTAGTGGTGGATCGGGGTCTTGCTCAGGGTGCAGTAGTACTCCACCTCCGCGCGACGCACAGGCGGGCAGTTGCTGGCGATGACCACCAGCTTGCTGCGGCCCTGGCGGAGGGTCGTCAGCGCCTGCTGCGTGCCGAGCGTGTACTTACCAGACTTCATCACCAGCTGAAGCTTGGCGTTGATCGTGTCCACCTTAGACTTGGTCTTCTTGGCCATTTTTGCTGCGTGACAAAGGAATCTCACGGATCTACTCTGTTTTTTCGTTGTTATTTTAATCGAAGGTGAAGATGCGTAAATGGAAAAGAATGCGTAAGCGGGTGTTAGGATGCGTTCGTAGGAAGAACGAAAAGGAAAGGGAGGAAAGATCAAGAGAGGAAAGTGATGTGGGGGTTCCTCTCGACGTTCGCTATACAATTTTAAAATACCGAGGTTAGGCGTCAAATAAAACCTCGTGTTTGCATTCTGGCGATAAACTGGAAACGGTTGCTCGTGGCTTGTTGCGGCGCCGTCGCAAATCAGACACGCAACTGTCACCCACACACACCCGTCAGCCTCGCGTTCATCGCGCACGGAATCTCCAATGAATGCGGTGTTCGCTTCGCATTGCTCTCTCTATTCCGCTTCTTTCTTAAGGCAGCTCATTCGCTTTTCCGTTTTTCTTTATAATCCTTCTCTCTTTCGATCTTCCAAGGCATGTGATAGGAGCATTCCACGAAGGTGGTATTCGGCGAGGAGGGAAGGGTTAGAAAAAAAAAAACGGTAACTGAGAAGCGCGTACGCAAACGTGCTCCATTGTGATGTGCAAGGGTGCATGTGCAAGAAGGTGAAGAGAAATACAAAGAGAGAAAAATACACAGGAAACATAACCAAAGCAAAAGATGAAAGAGAACAAAAAAAAATTGATGAGGCGTCTAAGAACAAACCGGGAAAAATGGCGGAATACGTATGCATCAGGCGATAGAAAGGAAACCACGTACAAAGAGAGAGGCACATACAAAAGTGTAGACATATCCGTTACGGCTAAACAATGCATACTTCTGTTGTTCGTAGGTGTACGCGCTTACTCGAACACCACGGTGAAGTGCACGATGTGACAACGTGCTTCTAAATCGTTAAAAACTCTAATGGGAAAATGAAACAAATATATTCCAGTGATACATAAAAGAAAAGGGAAACGAAAAGGTGAAATCTAAGGGAAAACATACTAAAGGCATCGTTGACTCTCTCTTGATCCTCTCACGCCCCTTCCGCTTCGACGCTGGAAAAGCTTCTTTCGCGTACTCAGCACGATTGATAATTATCTTCTTAGCGAACAGAATCGCCACACAGGTATTCGGGGCCGCTTTTCATTAATGAAAAGGAAGACATCAAAGAATGCGCAGAGAGGCCGACGACTGTGGAGACTCCACGGATTCGTCGAGAGAGTATCGGTCATTCTTCAAACGAGAGTTGTGGGAAACAAAAATAAAAAATCCCGCAGATGGTGGTAAAAAAAAAGGAGAGAGAACGTGGAAAACCGGCTTTTTAGTGTCTTGAAAAAGACATTGTCTGCTAAAATAGAACACACAAAAAAGAAGAAAAGAAGAAAAGAGCACAGGCATTGCTGGATAGGAGATGCAGGGAGGAAACATGTTCGTCCCGTCTTTCCTGAAAGAAAGAGGCTGAGACGAGGATCGTCACGTCGACTTCTTCTTTCCAAACGCTGCTGTAGAGAGTATTTTTCCCTATCGGTGGTCTTTGCTTTTCTTTTCCTTTCCAACTTCTGCATTCGACCACCGCGTTCGCTAATGAGGTGCACCGTCACGCTGTACGGTACGCTAGAACATTCACACACACTCTCTCTCTCACACACACCTTTCGCCACACCGCGTTTTATCAGACACTGAAGCCGCTGCGCATGCTGGAAATGGTGACGGCGGGTGCGACGATGTCAGCGTGGTAGATGCTGTAGTTGCTGCCGCTGAAGCCCAGACGAGGGTTCGAGCTTTCCCCTCCGTGCTGCGCCTCGGAGGTCGACGAGGTCGTTGACGACTGGCCCTGCGTGCAACGCTTGCTAGGAGTCGTGATGGTGCTCATTGTCCCTACCCCGCAACCACCCCCGCCCACGGCGCCGATAAGGTTGGTCGGCCACGGCTGCTGCCTCACTTCCGCGCTCGGCAGCTGCTGGTCGTAGGCGGCACGCAAGGCGGGGTTGCCGAGCACGTTGCGGGCCTCCACAATCATGCGGTCCACCGCCTCGGCACCGACAGGGTCGACCAGACGCATGCGCCTGAAGCCGTCCTTCTGCCATGCGCGGTACTTGGCAATAATGTCCGCGTACGGGACGTCGCGCGGGAGGGCGAGGACGTCGTAGTACGTGCCAGGAATAGCGCGATGGGGGTAGCGGCAGCGCAGAGGGAGGTGCATCTTGAAGGCGGCCGCATCAAAGCTCGTGGTCGTCATCGTGGCGGCGGCTGTGGGGGAAGAGGATCCCTTCGACGCCTGCGCGCCGCTCATGCTCAGGCGCTGACTCTCCACACTGCTCGAGGTGCGACTGGAGACAGAGGCCGTGTCTGACGCAGGCGTCTGCGGCCCAATGTGCGACACGACCAAGAGGCGGTTCTTGCCTGGTGTACGACGACGCGTCGGCACCGTGCGGTCCACCTCTGTGCTCTTCGTGGGACTGTAGTGGCCATACGCACTCAGCGACGTCGTCACCGCTGCGTCCGTCGGCGCCTCCTCCCGCGTGTTGGCGTAGCCGAAGAAGTGCGCGGGAATCGACTCCACCGGTACGCTACCGAGCAGCTTGGTCTGCGTCGATTGCGTCAGCTCCGAGAAGCGGTGGGCGTGCTCGCAGTGGGTTCCGTAGGGGCACCGGCCGTTCTCATAAAAGGCGACGCACACGCAGTTTTTGGCACCCGCGCTCGCCGCGCCGGCGGTCTCGCGCAGGTGCGAGGGCGAAAACGCAGCGGACGACGGCGGCACGAACGCCTTTGCGTGAACAGAGAAGGACATCGCGAATTAGGGTAAGTGAGATTGTACAAGACAAGAAACGGCAGAACCAGAGAAAAAAGAGGGCGGTAACGGTACCGAAGAAAAAGGCGTCACTGTATCAATTCAAAAAAACAATATGTAAAAGGCGGGCAGGTAAGGAAGCACGTGTTGCGCTTCGAAGAAGTATCGATCTGGTTCACAAGTGGAAAAGAAAAGGAGGATTTCCCAGAGAAGTGGCAAAAGAGAAACAGAGTTTAATCGAGCCCGTTAGAATGTGGGGAGTCTTTTTAAAGGGAGGGGGCGATTGTAGTTTTGTTTTGCCAGGCGCGTTTTTTTTTTTGGGGGGAGGGGACCCAAGAATGTTAGGAGCGCAAATTTTCATAAAGCGCAAAGCTCGTAAGGGGAGAGAAGGAAAAAAAAAAGAAGAAAAGAATTTTAAAAAGAAAGTCCCTCATGCTCGTGTCGTGTTTTCTTTCCGTATTTAATAACAGTAATATAAGCCAACCACGTACGCAAGCGGTAGAAAGGAATGCACAAGCTAGCCAAATAGAGTCACGTTGCGCGTACTCGCAATCCGCCGGCGGTGAAGCACTTGACCGCAGCGAGGCGCCAAGACAGCATCTGCAATCATGACGCCACCTTCCGTTATCCCACACGCAATGCGACGAGTCGATGAAAAGAGTCATTAGATCTAACACTGTTTTCATCATATGAGTCATTTCTTTTTGCTAATTTGCTTTCAAGAAAAAAAATGACGCTTCGTTCTTCGCCGACTCGCGTCTGCGTTTGTGTGTGATGTCGTCATACCTACACTCAAGAGAGGATAAAGGAAAGCCGAAGCACACACATAATTTCTCTGCAACACCTTTTCTGCACCTCTCCATCCTGAACATCTAGTAACAGAACTTCTACGCCAAACAATCGCACGATGCGATGTCGCGTTTTGCGTTGCCACGGTAAAAGCACAGCTAGATAGCGAACTATATTTCACTGCGCTGCGTCGTTCGCTTGCCTCCAACTATACAGCACCACTCGCCAACGATGTTCAAGGCTTCCAAAAGTATTCTTATTTTTTTTGAATTCCATCGATGCTTCTATTTGTGTGCACGTGCGTGGATGTACCTTTCTCTTCTTACTTGGGAGCAGGGGGAGGGTTTTGTTTGGCAGAGGTGCGCAGCTCGTCGATGAGGTCCTGAGCTTTCTTCCCTGTGTACATGTTTCCGGGTTGCATGCGCATCAGGTCCTTGTCAACGGCGTAGCGCTTGTTCAGGAACTTCTTGAGCATGTCGCCGCGAGCCTTCTCTAGATCGTCGCGAATGCGCTCCTTGCGCTCCTTGTACGCGGCCGTCTCGCGCGCCATGCGCTCCGTGTCCATGCGCTTCAGCTCCGCCATCTCCTCCTGCGTGAGTGCCTTCTTGCGCTTGTCGAAGTCCTCGCGGACGACCTGCTCCCACGGCGTGTTGTAGGCGATGCCCTCCTTGCCAATGTTTTGATCCTCGCGGCCGACGCGTTTCACCTGCTCCGGGTCCAGTTCCCAGAAGCGCCACTCATTCCACTTCTGCGCCGTCTCCAGCTCACGCCAGGTAACCTGCAGTATGTACTCCACCGGCCACCCCCAGAAGAACTTCTTCTCTAAGGTGCACCAATCGTCTTGGCACTCCTTGATGCCGTAGTTGATGCGCTTCACTAGGGTCATGGTCACGTTGTAGTACGTGGACTCAGGAGGGATGTCGGAAGTGGTGAGGAAGGCCTGCAGCTCCGAGGCAGCGGCCAGCAGTTTGGGCTTCCACAGCGGCTCTACCGCTACGCCGGCTAGACCGGTAGTGGACTTAACCGGGAAGGCGCGGGGGATGTATTCATCGCTGATGGTGAGCAGCCGCGATGTGTTGCGAAAAACGCCTAGCAGAGATCGTGCGTAGAACATTAGTGCCTACTACACAAGTGAGAGTCTTGTAAAAAGCCAAAGCCACGATAAAAAGGAAGCAAATTTTAAAACGAACACCGCAGTTTAGTGGTGGACGAAGAGAAAAGGGAGCACACTACAAATTGACGAAAGATGGCGATAGACTAGTACTAAATCCTTAGGTATTTCTTACAATAGCAATAATAATGTACAGAAGATAAGCTTACGAAGCCGATTCCTTCAATGCGCGTGTGTGCGCGTGTTGCGGAATACAGAGCAAATCAGCCTTTCTTATCGATACTGACGTTTTTTTTTTGTCGTTGCTGCTGCTGTCGCCTAGGTAGCAGTCGATGCTTGGCAGTAGCAAGGTGTTACTGGAAGTACACAAAGAAGAAAGGCGAGGTGTCAGTAATTGTACCCCACGCCACTAAGAAAAGTCACCAAAAGCAGATGAATAGGAAGAGACCGTGCTACACTGCCTCGTTGCAAAACACAAAGACACTCCTTTACCGAAGTGTACGAACACTTGACTGTTGTGTTTCCGAGTAAGGAGAGAAACAAAATTGAAGAGGTAGACAAAGAGGGGAAGGTCAGCAAGGATGCAAATGCGGAGAAAAAAAACTATTGTTATTCTGCGTTCAACGGCCTTGGCAAAAATGATGAACGCAAGAAGCCATCGCCGGACCGGTAAGCACATCCCAGCGTGGGAGGCAGCTATCGGGAAACGAGGGAAGAGAGAAGAAGAAAAAACTCATTAGACACTACGCAGTTTTGTCTTTTCCACGGCACCGCTTACTTTTATGTATATTAACGGCCTTGCCTGTTTTCCAAGTGCAGCCAGCATTTAGTTATTATTATTTTTGAGAGGGGGTGTTGTGGTGCAGAAGTCTTTTTGCCTGTCTAATACACAAAGATGACCCGAAACGCCAAAATCAGACAACAGAGCGACACCCACGGGGAGAGGCGGTCGCCTACGACGCTGCACTTGTAGAGGAACTTCTTGTACAGCTGTGCGCTATCGCGGTGGTACAGGGTGGGCCGAAACTGACGCAGGTACGTCGCTGCGCACACAATGAGCAGCAGCACGTACAAGATGGTTTCGAAATCGAAGAGAGCGCTCATGGCGGACGAAGAGCACCGAGTCGGTTGATCGAGTGAGAGAAAGAAGATGGCTAAGGAACGAAGTGAGGAGGAAAAACGGAAGGCAATAATGAGGCGAAACAGATAGCAGGAGATAGAGTTGGCACTTATACCAAAAAAAAAACACGACTGGGTCAACGAAAAGGCCAACTAATACATGCGCACACGGAAGTAACTCGCAACCAAACAAAAACGTCACACTGAGCTTGACAATGTCTAATGCTCTGTCCTACACAATCATCAAGTTGCGTGAGTGCGTGCGAGACCAGGACAGCGCAGTTCCGGTATGCAGAGAGCGGCGTTAAAGGGCAAACAAACAGCGAAAAGGGGGGGGGGGAAGAAGAGTAAGAGACGGGAAAAGCGTGTTATCTTTTGCCTTTTTTGAGCGAAAATCCTCAAACGAGGTTTGCTCTCATGCCAAGAAGCAGCGTGTCCGGTTGTTCGTGCGCAACAACGGAGCGCTTTGAGAAATAAACGCGTTGAAGAAAAACACGTCGTAAACTTCAATCGAATGCAAATGTGAGCTGACGTTATTCAACGTTTTTTGGTGTATTCGTTTTGCCAATTCAGCAGAACCGCTCTCTCTCATCTAGACAAACCGCAAAACCACACACACACACATATATATATATATATGCAGGTAAGAGGCGCTAGAAGAAAAGCAGATAAAAAAAGAGAACACCAACACGTTTTGTGTGTAAGTAAAAGCAAAGAAACGAAAGGCAAAAAATGCCAAAGAATACATATAGGTATATATAGGTATGTCAGTTCTATCTAAGCGCGAGACTGAATGCATACGTCTGGGCAAGAAGCTGCAACAGCGTGTGCGGGTGCCAGCGTTGATAAGTGCATGTGATCAGTTGAGCCCCAAAGGGAAAAGCCATCTCATTTTTCTTTTTTGGGAGGGAATGCAAAACTGGTCTTTGAAGGAGCCACAAAGCGTGAGAAGAGTGCGGCGTCCATCCTCAATGTTGGTCGAGGTGGTGGTGACGCAAGGAGCCGTGGTCATCAGGGCCAGAGTCGCTTGCCCTGCTCAGCCGATTAGAGCTCAGTCGCCGTTGCAGAGGCCCACTAGTGGAAGAAACGACCGAGCCGGGCTGTCGGTGGCTGTGTGAGAAGCGGGACTGCGGCAGCGGTGGTGGGACTGTGGGACGCGACGCCGACGCGACGCCCACAGAACGTGGGGAAGTGGCGGCGCTCTGCGTGGGGTCGAGAGGGCGGACGACGTGGCGGTCATTTGCGCTGAGGCGCTGGCGCAGCTCGTCCAGCTCCGCTTCGTACTGCTCCGCTGCTGCCTGCGCGGTGGCCAAACGTCGGTGCAAGTCGCCACCGGGCCCAGCGGAGGGTGAGGGAGACGTCATCCCGACTTTGGACGAGCCGTGTGCGAGCGTTAACTGCTGGGTCAAGCTTTGAAGTTGGCTTTGAAGGCGTCGCTCGCGTTCCTGCAGGTCGTGCAGCTCGCGCGACTGACGGACGTATCGGGCCGACTGCACCTCGGCGGAGTGCAATTGCGCGTTCTCGCTCTGCAGTCTTTCTATCACCAATTTGAGGTTTTCGATTAAATTGTGCAGAGCCTGGACATCGGAGGTGGTGGTCGTTGTATCACCCTTTCCTTTCGCGCCCGCTGGAGTAGTAGCAGCAGCACCGTCCACGGCGAGTACCTCGCTCAAGTGTCTCTGCGCTCGACTCAGCTGCAGCTCCAAGTTTTCAACTTTAAAGCGTAGGTCAAGCACCTCGTTACTCTTTCGCAGCAGCTCGCTGCGGAGCTCACCCGTCGTCTCCTGTGTGATGCCGGAGGCTGATGTGGAAGAGGTGGTGGTCGTCGTCGTGGTGACGCAGTAGATTGCTTCGATTTCGCTAACAGGCAACCCGCGCACCGAGGCTAAGTCTGCCGCCATGCGCTGCACAACGGCGTTAGCGTGAGACAGTCGTTGCTGCAGTTCGTTCTCTCGAACAGGGCCCTCGACAGAGAGACGGCGCCGCAGCCCGTCAATGACGCTCTCCAGCCGCCGCACCTCTACAACGTGGGAGCGGATATCCGATGGAGAAGCCAAGTAGGCGGGCTCAACGTTTTGCGTGGACGTCACACGCGTCTGCTTCAGTTCCTCCAGCTCTTGACGATACCGCTGAATGGTGCGCTCTTGTGAGGCCACCTGTTCCTGCAGAGCATGTTCACTCCGTGAAGCAACGGCAGTCGCAGCTGGGGCTGGGGATGCGTCCAACTTAACTGTGCCGGCAGCGGCGCCTTGTCGGCTGAGCTGCGACTCCGCATTGACCCGCTTGTGGTGCATGGCGGCCAGCTGCGTCGCGTACTCGCGCTCCTTGCGATCCTGTCCTTCCCGAATTTGGCGAAGTTGCAGCCGCAGCTGCCGTGTTGCCTCACGTTCCCCCTTCAGCTGCTCCTCTGCCTCCTCGACGTCCTTCTCTAGGCGGTGCACGCGAGAGCGCAGCGTGGAGATTTCAGCGAGGTTGTCGCGCTGCTGCTTTTGTGTCTCACGCTGCACGAGGCCAGCGATTTGGGGCTGCAAAAGAGCGTCGTGCGCGGAGATGGGCGCGAGCGTCGTGCGGGCAGGAGCGGCGTCAGATTCTGGACGGGGTGTCGACGCAGAAGGAGCAGACGGTTGCTGCTGCGGTTGCTGTGCTGTCACAGCTGGTGTTGTGCCAGAGGTGGTCCTGCTCCCCGCCATCACGTTCTCCTTGCCTCGCAGCGAGGAAGGGGTTGTCGTGGACAGCATCTGTGTACCTCTGCTCTCCGTTAGCGGCGAAGACGAGCGGGAGGTAGCTTTGCGCAGTGCTGGTGAAAGGGGAGCAGAGCCACGCATGCGCAGCTGATCCTGCAGCTCCATCACCTCCCGCTCCTTTGCGCGAAGCTGCTGGTGCAGCTGGTAGACAAGTCTCTGAGACTCGGTGTTCTTCTCAAGAATTGACCGCTCTTTCTCCACCCGATCGTTCAACTCCTTTTGGATGGCGCGAATACGTTGGTCGAGGACTTTCATGTGCCCCGCGGACTCCTGTTGGATGGTGCCCATGCGCTGCGCCAGCGCAATCTCCTGCTGGTGTTGACGGCTTGACTCGCCACTGCGGTGCGCCTCCTCCATGAGTTTTTGCTTCAGGACGGACGCAGCCAACACCAGCCTGTCGTTCTGCTCCTTCACCGCGTTGAGGTCGGTCTGCAATCCTTCATTCAGCGTCGCCAGGTGCTGCGCGCGCTCCGTCTCCACCTGCTGCGTCGCCACCGTCGCCTGTAGCGCGTCGAGGTGAGCCTTCCACTCCGCGGCGTCCATCTGAAATCGCCGCGCTTGGGCACGCTCCTCCTCCAAGACCCGCCGCAGTCCGCGCAGCTCCTGCTCCAAGTAGTCGTTCTGCGCACGCAACTCACTTACGAGCGGTGCGTCCACCCCACCGCCGTAGAATGCGCCGGTCGCCTGCGAGAGGAGCTGGAGCGCGCCACCTTGCTCCACGCGTTGGCGCTGCGCGTCGTCGAGTTGCCGCTCCGCGGAGGCCCGCTGCGCCTTTTCGCGTGCGAGCTCCTCGGACAGGTGCAGCTCACGCTGTCGGAGGCTCTCCAGCATGGCCATTTGATTGCGCACGATGCCCATCAGAGTGTCTGTGTTGCCCTCTCGCGGCGCTTGAGCGTCGGTCTGCGCCGCAGCTGGTGCGGGTGTTGCGGCGTTGAAAAGCTGTTGGTGCACCTGATTCTCTATTTGGCTCTCAAGCACTATGTTGGTGGTGCGGGCCTCCTTCAGTTGCTGGCGTAAGCGAACCGTTTCCGCCGTGAGCGCCGTCAGCTGCTCCTCCACGCCGTTGCCAGAGCTGGGCAGGAGGAGGTGCGGCGGGGGCGCTTCTGCGCTGTCACTCGTCTGGCGCAGACTGTCGCCGACCGTCTCAATTGCGTTCTTGAAGCGTTCAACCATCGCGGTGTTTTCGCGGAACATGTGCTCGTGCAGCCGCTCCATGCGCACTGCCTCGTCGAGTTCATGCTCTGTGAACTTCTGCCGCTCGGCGGACAGCTGCTCCTGGAGCGACTCGATGATGTGCTCCTTCTTTTGGACCATCTCCTGTAGACACCGCACGTTGTGCTCCGTTGCCCGTCGCGCGACGTCGGACTGCGTCTCATACGCGCGTTCCAGCCGCACCTCCCGCAGGGTCGCCTTTTGCCGCTCCTCCTCGATCTGCCGCTGGGCAAGCGTTGCCGTTTCGCCGCACTGCTGCAATTCTTCACGCAGTTGGGCAATTTTCTGCTCCGCGCGTCGATGATCGGCGCTCACGTCGGCCAGTTGCTTCTTGAGGGAGGCACACTGCTGGGCGAGCTCCGTCTGGCGCGTAATGGCAGATGTGTATTCGCGGATCGCCATGTCGTCGTCCACCCCGCTCGCACCAGTCTTACCGCGACGGAGGAAGTTCGGTGTCTCGATGGAGAGCGGCGGCACCACAGTCTTGTCAAAGACGCTCTCCTTGAGCTGCAGGAGCGTCGCCAGAAGCTGCTCGTCGAGAGGGGAAACGGCGAGGTTGCCAAATTCCAATCTCGCCACCTCGGCGTTGAGGTCTTTGTTTGCTGCCTCTGCTCGGCTTAATTTACCTTGCAGATACTGTTGCTCCTCCTTGGACTCCACCATCAGCCGCTCGAGATCGCGCAAGCGCACTCGCGCCTCCTGCAGCTTGACGTCCATGGCGTCTTTTTTAGCTGCACCCTCTTCCATGCGCCGCAACGAGAGCTGCTGCTCCAGTGTCACGAGTGCGTTTTGCGCGTCTGAGAGTTGCATGGCCAGCATTTTGTTTCGGCCAAAGCACTTGCCGAGGTCGGAGATCGTCTTGCCCAGCCGGCGATCCATGATTTCCGCCTGATGCGGAGAGAGAGAGCCTTTGCTGGCACGCTGCACACAACGCAGGTAGTCCACCGTGGCGACGACCTGATCGACGTACTTGCGGTAGAGCCGGTAGGCGCCCAGCTTGTAGCTCATCGCCTCGTTAGCGACCACGTGGTAATTTGCCTCCGTCGCCGCCAGCTGCATGCGCAGACGCTTCGCCTGGATGAGTGCCAGCTCGCTTTGCCGACGAAGCGCCGCGTGCTCGCGAATGGCCGCCGTCACGAAGCTTGTCACAACTGGCGAATCGGCGGACGCCTTTAGGAGAGTAATCTCCTGCTGCTTGGCCGACACCTCAATCTCTACCGACTTTACCTGTGATTGGAGGTCTAGGGAATGGTGCAGAAGCCCCAGATTGACCGACTTCAGCCGCGCCACCTCTTTTTCGAGGCGAGCCACCTGTGTGGCGTCCACCTTGGCGCGTGACTGCCCGTCACCTGGCGTCGACTGCGGATCTGCGGTGTCGCTGAGGATGTTGCGGATGTGATCCCTCACGTCGACGACTTCTTTCCTGGCATCGTCCAGCTCGCTTTCGAGCTGCGTCACCTCCTTATCCCGGGCCTCCAGTCGCTTGGCGAGCAGTGTGTACTTCTGCCGGTATGTTGCTGCCTCCGCCTCCGCCTTTGCTCGCGCGGCTTCGGCGTATTCGGAGTGGTGGTTTGCCTTGGTGTCCTCCGCGGCGGCGGAGGCGGCCCGAAGACCTTCCGCTTCGGCCGACAGCTCATCCAGCGCTTTTTGCTTCTCCTCCATCTCCCCGCGGAGCCTCTTCGCGTCGAGCCGCAGTTCCATGAGCTCCTCGCTGGTCCCCATCCCTTGATACACCTGCCGGAGGTGAATGAGAAAGCGGCTGTCCTCCCGGAAGAGCTTCCCTTGAAGCATGTGCTGCACCGCCGAGTCGAGAACGTTCAGCATCTCCCCCTCCATGCTGCACCCGCCAGACGACCGCGGCAGCACACTGCCGGTGGAAGACGTGTCTTCTAGCGTCTCCCGCAGCTTTTCGAGTGTGCTGGTGACCTGCGACTTTAGCTTCTCCTCAGAGGAGGCCGTCTCCTCCTGCGCGGAGAGAGCCCGCCGCAAGCGTTGGAGAAGCGTGGCTTCGCGGCGGCGCAGCAGCACCACTTTGAGCAGCGCCTCCTTCGCAGCGCCGCTTTCAAGATGCTGTAAACCGTCCTCGAGGTCCTTGTTCACCCCTGACAACGCGTTACACTTCTCCGTGGCCTCCTCGTTGAGCATCGTGAGAGCTTTTATTTGGTCCTTCAAGGCGGCAAGCTCCGCCTTTTGCTCCTCCGCTGCCTCCTTCATTTGGACCTCGCATTGCCGCTCCGCCTCCAGCTTCTCCTTCAACTCGTTCACCTCCTTCCCGAGTGTATCGATGAGCGTGTCCTTCGCCCGGAGCTGCTCGCGCAGTGTGTTCGAAACCTTGAGCCATTTTGCATTAGAGAGAGTGCCGGCGCTGCTTTCGCCAAAGTCGCCGAGGGATGGTGTTGCGTCGTCCTGGCCGCTACCCATACCGGCTGCGCCAAAGATAGCTTCGCGATACTGATCCCGCTCCCGGCTGATCACTTCCCTTTCGGTGTTTCCGGCAACCACTTGCTCACGTAGGCGAGCCATTTCCTCGCTGCGTGTCTTTTCTGCGCGCTCCAGCTCCTCGAGGCGTTGCGTCATGGTGCGAATCTTTTCCTCCGCGTGTGCGTTGGCCTCGGAGGTTGGAGTGGCGGTGATGACGTCAATGTGATCGCGGAGCTGGGACACGGCGGCCGCCGTGCTCGAGTTGCTCACGTCCACAAAAGCGTCCTTCAGAGCTTCATTGATGCGCTGCTTCACATACGTGTTGAACTGCTCCGCGTCGCGGCGACGCGCTTGGAGTTCCTTGAAGTATTTGTCCTTGTAACTTTCGTCGTTGTCCTCCACAACGATGGAGCCGCTCTTCATTTGGTCCACGAGCTTGTCCAGCTGCTTTAGTTGCTCAGAGGTAAGACCCAATTCGAAGCGCAACTTTGTGTCCATCAGCGGCTGCAGCCGCACCTTGTTCATCCAGTAACGCCGTTCTCTCTCCAGCCACTCCACCTCCGCCTTCATAAGGCTCACTTCCTCTTTTAAGGTGTCCATTTCACTGTACGCGGTCGCGTTTTGAGGACGCAAACTGTTTATCTCGTTCTCGGTCACGCCGACACGCTTGCACAGTTCGCGAAGAGCAGCGTTAAAGGTGATGGAGTCCTCCATGCCGTTCAAGCGCTCACGCAGCTGCGAATTTTCGCTCTGGAGAATCTCTACGGTGCGCGTTTGATCCGCTAGCTCTTGCCGAAGGCGATACAACCCTTCATTGCCACTTTCGTAGTTTTTGACAAGACTCTTGAGGCGCCGGTTTTCCTCGTCGAGGGCGTCGATTCGAAGCTCCAGTTGCTCTACCTCGGCACGAAGGTCGTCATTCTCCCTTTCTACTTTCCGCTGTTCTTCGCTCGAGACCCCGCGCATTTTGCGACTGCCGGCAGCCACCTGCACCTGCTCCTCTGATTCCCCACTCCTTCGACTGGAGCGCGACGACGAGTCGTCTGCGGAGCTTGAATTATCGGAGTTGAATCGCCCTTTGCGTTTGCTAGTCGCCTTTTCAAGTTGCCGTCTCAAAATGGACACCTCTTCCTTTTGTTCGTCCAATTCTTGCTCGTGTTGCTGAAGCAGCTGCTCCACGTGCGCGTCTGCCTCCTGCTTTGCGTTGAGAAACTCGTCGCGGAGTACCTGGTTCTTCGATCGCTCCTCCTCCAGCAAGTCCCGGTTGAGTCGGCGAAGCTCCGTCATGTCGCGAAGAGCTTCTTCCTCCCGTTTCTCGCACAATTCCTCTGCCCTGTCTCGCGACTGAACCAAGGCATAGTTTTCTTGCTGCAGCGACTGAACCTTTTGGCGAAGCCGGTCGAGCTCATCGTTTGTGTCAAGCTTCTTCGTTCGCTCCTCGCGTCGCATCTCGTCCAACATGTCCTCAGTTTTGGCAGAACGATCAGCAAGGCGTTTGTAGCGAGCGGCAAGGTGACGATATTCCAGCTGGGCTTTATCGTACGTGTCATTGAGGTAGCTACGGTCGTCGCTGCGAGAAGCGAGAACCTGCTTCAGCTCGTCGGTCTGACGCATCAAGCTATGAACTTTCAGCGTTAGTGTGTCATTTTCGGCCTTGACGCGGCTGAGTTCCTCTACGGTGACTAAATAATCAGCAGCATTTTGAGAAAGCTCTCCTTTGGAAACATCGCGAAGTACTTTATTCAAGTTTTCGATCTCTTTTTCCTTCGCTTCGAGCTGCGCATTAAACCCACGCTGTGCGTTGGCTAGCTCGGCGTTTGTTTCATTCTGCTTCTTACGTAAAAGCCCAAACTCGAGCAAAGATTTCGCACAAACAATTTTCAACAGTTTTGCGATGCTGACGGTGCACTTGGGAACTGCCATATTAGGGTCGGTTTCCAGAAAGACATAACGTGCTACAAGGGTCATTACCTTCTCAATATACACAAATTCATCTGTCTCCTGAAGCTGCTGAAAAGGCATCCGCTGGATCTGCAGCCACATCGCCGATGAGTCGATATCTGTAGATGGATCCATGTTTTCCCTCCACGGCCACTAAAACGAAGTTCTGTACAACTTGAAGAACAAATGAGGACGTTGCTTTGTAATTGATTAATTTAGGGTAAAACGACTGATGAGAGAGATAAAAACGAGCAATTTGTGACGGAACAGAGTAACATAGAAGTAGTAACTTTCTTCTCCGATACTAATACTTTGTGTTAGTGCGTTTCTGTTACTTCCGCGTATGTATATATGTGTATGGTGAGAAATCTAAGGGCAGCAAAAATCTAAAGTTGAGGATCGTGGTTATGTTAATGTTACACAAACTTTGGTTTTCATCACGAGAGAAATTCTTCTTTAGCCACTGTTGACAAGGAAGAACAAGAAAGAGTCTATACAAACACCAATTCAGAGAAGACAAGAAAACAGTGTATTGGTAACTGCTAGTGGCAGATTGAGAACAGTATCAAAGAAGTCCAAAAAAAGAGGCAAATTAAAATGAAGATTCCAAAAAAAAAAAAGAAAGAACGAAAGAACGAAAGAATCCAATGAGAGAGAAAAGAAGACAGGTAGAATAACAAAAAGAATGAAGTGGTGAACGTGTTCTTCTGTTTCTTTCATTTCAGTTTGGTAGAAACCCAGACTCAACGCAATCAACAACAAGAACGAAAAAAAAGCTGTGACAAGTGCCAGTTACATTACACCCGAGTCACAAACATAATTTGAACACGTCAAAGTCAAGCAGGTTTTTATGCTTGTGTGTGAATAAACAACGTTACGTGTGAACGCCACAATACAATTTGTTATTGTACAGGTGCAACTCTAACTAACCGGAAAAACCGATGAGATTGAACACTTCAGATGGCTAAAAAACCCGTGTCCCTTACTCGCTTTTTTATTTTATGTTTTGCTTTTGTGGTCTTGAGAAATGGCATCAAATTAATCCCAACGCCAACTAAGGGGAGACAAATCGGTAGGAAAGCTGTGTGGATTTACGTTTGACTGCAGCACTTTGGACAGACGTGGCACAGCAAAACTCGACAAAAACAACGAAGCTCTTAAATTGTCCATTCGTCCCTGATATATATCGCAGCCTTCACTCCTGTGGTCTTATCTCGTAATTTAAAGACCGATTCAGAGTGGGATCATACAATAAAACAAAGCAACCTCAAAGTCTGTTAAGCACAGGCAGAGTTGTCAATCAAAAGCAACTCAAAAGTCAGTTCCTTAGTTATTCTTTTATTTTTCGTATTCCGGTATCTGCATTTTCTCTTGAACTTTTAATTGCGAGCAAAGAACGCCTAGAGAGAAAAGTGAATTCTTATGCACATCACACTATAAGCTCATTGAACAGTGCGGTTAAAATGGGAATTTGCTGCTCCACAGCACCAAGCCTGTATTCATTACCTTTTCTTTTGGTGCCCTTTTTTATATATTTTTTCTGAGCACCGAAAAGAAATCAAACGTAGTAATAGTAAAAGAGAAACTTTGCTAGTAAAAAAGAAAATGCTTATTATAAGCAAATACTTCTCAAACGATGCAACGAATAGTGAAATACGTTTTCCTCTTTGGGGGCATCTTAATCGTGCTTTCCAGCGTTCTTTTGCCCTTTAACTGCAAAAGAAAGTGTTATTCCGTCAATTCAATGAGAGGAAACCAAGTTTTAATCGCGTAAAGGAAACAACTACTGATATCAAAAAAAAATCGAGAAACTCTGCTAGAAAACTATCAGAAACACGCAATAAATTTGCGTTGAATTCTCTCTAGCGTAATCAATACAGAAAAAAAAATGGCAAAACCAAAGAAGACGAACAGGAAAAGCGTGCGCTACTAATAATAATGTGCCTTGCAAATTAATAACTTTCTCCTGCAATCACAAGCGGTTCATTACAATCAATTGAAAACCAGAAATCCCGGGATTAAAAAAAAAGAAAACTTTTTTACAACCAACAGGCAGCTTAGTTTTCTAAAAACACCCTAATCACAAATAAAACAAGAACACCTATCAATTCGTTTGATTTTGTGCCAAATCACGGTTTACACGAACATGTTCAGGATCGTAGCAGTTCACGTCGAGGGTGTACGCATTAATGTAATCACCAACATCAGTCATAACCGGCTCACGCTTCAGCATCTTGGAACCGGAGACAAACTGAGGCACCGTCAAATTGCTCTTGCTCAAGAGCTTGACCAAATCCGCTAGTGCGTAGAGCGTATTGTCCTCGCCATCACCACCTTCGTAGTCGGCTACAAGAATACCGTTATCCTGGTAACCGCGAATGCAGTCGGGTGTGTTTTCGACTATAAGGACCTTGTCAAGAGGACGGCCGAGAGCGTTCAAGTCCTTTCGGTAACCTGGCTGACCGTTGAACCACTTGTTGTGCCGATAAATGCAGTGCGAAACAGCGTTGCACGAGTCAATATTCGAAACAATTGCTTGCGCATACGCTTTCAAGCCTGCAGTCCATACAACGACTTCTATTCCCTCGTCCTTGCACATTTGAAAGAACTCGGGAATACCCGGACGAGCATAAAGCGGACCGCTACGAGCAAAAACGAGCGTTTCATCAAGGTCTAACACAAGAACAAGTTTACCTTGATAAACATCAGCTTGAGGTGCAATAACGAGATGCGGATCTGTTTTGTTCATCGAAGGGTCGCGTTTACGGTTGGCGCGATGGCGCCCAGCAGCTTGATACTCCTGCTTGAACGACTCACCCCTAATGCGCTGTTTATTCATTTTTTGTGTTCGTGTGTGACAGTTCTTGTTTTCTTGTTTTTGGTGGTTTTTTTTTGTGTTTTACGACCTGTAAAGCAAACAGTCGTAAACGTTAAAAAACCTGCGGTGCGACAGTATTAGTATTATTCGATTAACAATTTACAACAGCAAACAAATCAAACCCACCGTTCAAATTGTGGGTGCGGTTTTTCAAATGTGGTATATGAGGTGTTTGGAAAGAGGAAAAAATATATCAGGAAACACAGTGAAGGTTAGGAGAAATCCATTAAAAAAATCCATAAAAAAAAGAACTAGAAGTTACCATGAATGGCTGCATTTGCCCGAAGATAAAGCAGAATTTCTGCACAAATTGTGAAGCAATGCAGCTTACCATTATCGCATACAGGATCAACCCTTTTGATTAGTATTCATCGTATTATTTGTGAGTGTCAAAGTTGATGGTCCGCGAAAAAAAAACCGAAGATCGCGCATTTGTTGTCGTCTCTTGAGCGCTCATCATTGTTCTTTTTGAGATTTTGTTTTTCTACCCACTTCCATGCCGATTTATGTTTGCTTTGCAGGTTTCAGAGAGGTACTTCACTGTTAAACATTTTTTTTACTACAGAAAAAAAAATAGGGAAAGAAGAATTCTGTTTTCACATAATGTGTCGAAGACTTCCGTAGAACCAACTAGATCTTGTTCATGACCACTTTCCAAATTCACTGTTTTTGCCTGAAAAGTGCGAGAAAAAAATCAACGTCAAACTCAGCGCTTTCTACACACAAAAATACACTTTCATCAAAAAAAAAAGGAAGTTAACCGCCACCAAACTCAAAAAACACTCAATATTTGAGTTAGCATTTTTGCTTGGACACCTACGGCCAGTATCCTCCCAAAAAAAAAAAATGCGTTCTCAAAGTTTCAGCATTGTCGCTTTATTTTCTTCGCGAATGAACCCCCCAAAAAAAAACATAAACTCAACGCAGGAAAACTCAGTCAAACACTTGAAACGGTTTCTTCGTTGTCAAATAACTTTACAACGAATCCCATTGACAACTCTTCGGCAAACAACAACCTCTCCGTGAAATGAAAAAAATGCTGTTTGGAATACTAAACAATTCGTGACAAGCGTTTCGCGGCTGCTTTGCAAATAGGTGTAGAACAGTTTTCATGTGCCACTAAGACAACTGTATCATGGAGCATATTTTTGATAGTTAGTAGCCAACTTAAACGACTTTCCGGAGGGCTGTACATATCGTGCACCGAATACGGCACTCAGGTCCTCCAACCGCGAGTAACCCCCCCCCCCCGCGGCAATGTGGCTACAAATTTGCTGCATTAACACAACTAATCTCTCGACAATGCTGCCCATCGTTCTACCACCACATCGTTCTCGTTAGAACGTCAAGCATTCTGACTTCGAGGTCAACAAGAAATCTGTCTTTCCATTTTTTGGACGCAAGCTTTCAGCTTCTCGTTACAGCGTCCGCCCGCTGCACAATCAAAAATTGCAAACCATTTTCTCCCGGAAGTTAATGCTGGAATTTGTGGCAAAGCCGATTATTTTTTACAACGCTACTTAAGTTTTTTGTAGGTGCTACGTTTTCCGCACCGCTCCGCAAGCCTCTCAACTCATGGTATTATCGTTCTCAATGGTTTGCAGCTCACGCGCATTGCAATTAATTCGCGTTGAGTTCGCAGAACACTTGTGCTGCTTTGATTATAACGCTTTTACACTGAGTTTCTGTTTGAAACAAAATAATAATAGGGCGAAAATGGCGCCCCAGCGTCTCAAAATTATCCTTGCACAAATATGTCAACCTGTTCTTTGAGTGTGTTGTCGGCAAAACTTCCGTTACTCTCCCAACATGGAATGCCCTATTGGAGGGAGATGCTCAACACTGCCAGAAAGCCTTAATAGCCGAAACGGACTCTATTGCTTCGTTCTTTCCCTCAACAAGGCAAGGACTTTCGATACATAAAGTTTCTCCATTATGGACGTTTAAGCCACTCGAGACTCCTTCACTTCTGCGCTTCTTCGTTTCCTCTAATGTGATTTTTATTATGGTGCTAATTCTCTCGGATGCAGAACACGATGTCACAAAAACAAGATCGGATTAACGAGGTTCTCGCAGAGCGCATTTCTCAACTGGAGAACGAGCTGCATTCTGCGCTAGGTGGAAAGGAGCTCGCAGAGCAGGAGACAAGACTCGTGAAGGATGAAGCGTACGAGGTTGTTGGCCAGTGGAGCGCGGAAAACTCAGAGCTGCGTCGCAAGCTTTCCACTCTAGAAGAGAGCTACGCAACCGCACAGGCAACTCTGAAGAATCGCGAAGACACTGTTGCATGCCTGAAAGAAGAGCTTGGAGTGGCGCAACAGCTCTCAACACAATACTCCTCTGAAATTGAGCAACTGCACAAAGAAAACGCAGATCTGCTGAAGAAAAATGAAGAGCTGAACAGGAGTCTCTCTGCCGCGCAATGCGCGGTAGCTTCCTCCGGACAGCAGATCGGTGACCTGGAGCGCCTTGTCTCAAAATTTGAAGCAGAACTGAAAGACCTGGTTGCTGCACGAGGTAGAGATGAACAAACAATCGATGACCTTCGCAAGTCTCTCGCCTCTGCTGCGAACGAGAACCGTGTTTTACGCCAAGCTGGAGAAGACGTGTCTTCCAGTACTGGGAAGCTTCTGGAGCGGGTCAACAAACTCAAAGACGAGAACGACTCTTTGAACCGTATCCGCGATCGACTTTCCAGCGATTTAGAAAGCTTTGAGATACAAGCACGCAAAGCAGAGCAAGACGCAAAGCAACAGAGCGAGCAAATTGAGCGCCTTTCGTCTGATTTGGCTGCAGCATCTTCGGAAGTACAGATGCTTAACACTGTGAACGAGGATCTCCAGAGAAAACTGGATGATGCTTCTCTTTCGACGCATGTCTTGGAAACGGCAACATCGCAGCAGCTTGATCTTATTCGGAATTTAGAAAATGACATTCAAGAAATGAAGGACGCCGCCATCACCACTCAGAAAGTGATCGACGACTTACAGGCGGAACTTGACTATTCGAAGCAGCAGGTGGAAGATCTTGCGAAGGAAAAAGAGGACCTCGAGACGGAATTCTCGACCGTGAAGGAATGGTACTCGAACGTTCTTCTTGAGTTCGACGACCACAAGAGAGAAAACGCCACAACCGTCGCGGCAATGAAAAACGAGTACGACCTGGCCGAGAAAAAGTTTGCCGAGCGCTTGTTGCTTATGCAACAGAACTACACCGCTGCCTGGTCGTCCGTTCAGGATTTGAGTGGTGCTCTTCACGCGCAGCAGAGCTCCGAATTTACGAAGAAAGAGCAAATTGTGCGCCACACAATTCTGCTTGAGCAGCAGGTGAGTTGGACGAGCGTGCTGGAGCAACATTGCTATATGGTAAGTCAACACCTTTACAAAGCCTTAACCACAATTGAAAGCACGGAATCACGCCTTAGCAACGTTGAGCAGGCTGCGGCCCGAAACGCTGAACAGCTGGAAACAGTTTTAAGCCGGTACCGTGCAAGCGAGCAGACTTTGTCAGAGCAGCGCAAGGCATTCTCTGCGTTGGAAGCGCAGCTATCGCAAAGCAATGCACGGCTGAAAGAAAGTGCGCTCGATCGCGACGCTCTTGCAAAAGACAACGAGTGGCTGAAAGCTCAGGTCGAGTCCATGCGTCAAGAACTTGGTGAGCTTGACGAAATCCTGAACTCCAATTTAAATGAAATGCGCGAGGAAAACGAGCGCTTACAGCTGGAGGGTGAAGGACTTCAGCAAAAGGTTGCTTCACTCAACGAAAACGATGTGCTGAAAACGAATCTTATAAATACACTAGAGTCAGACGCAGCTGGCATGGAAAGCGAACTACGCGCTCAAGCAAAGACGCTGGAGATTACGGAAGCAGAGCTACAGGCCTCCAAAGCGCAGGTGGAAAACGTTTCCACGTCGTTGCACTTTCTCCAAAAGCGAGCCGAGGAACTGGACGCACTGAACGCGGAGCTTTTGAAAACGAACTCCTCGCTTTCGTCGCAAATCACGGAGCTGCGGGAACGTGTTGGCAGCCAAGATGCCAAGCTCTCCTTAGTTTTATCCGACAAACGCAAAGAGATTGATGCGATGAAGGCTAAGGTGAACGCTTATGTGGAAAAGTCTGAAAAAGCTGATCAGCTTCTCCTTCTGGAACGAGCGGCCAAAAAGGAAGCAGAAGGGACCATTGTGACGACAAAGGAGCAGAACCTCAAACTCCGAGCTGCTCTGGATGAGTTGAAGGTCCGCTGTGCTTCCGACGCCGCATCGCTGAAAGAACTGCTTGCGGAACGGGACGACTTGATGCGCGACCGCGACATTATTGTGGAGAAGTACAACAAACTGCACGACGCGTTTCGCAACGTCCGCAAAGAGGCACACGGGAAAGTTGCCAACGAACTGCGACGCGTTATGGAGCTTGCTGAGTCTCAAGAGGCCGAATTGCAGACGCTGCGGCAACAGAACATAACGCTCAAGAAGAGTGTATCCATGTTCGTGGAGTCTGCACAGCCGAAAGCAGAGGCAATTTTTATGGAGCGGCTGAATCTCACAGAAGGCCCATTACGGCATCCGAGGAAACGAAGCGCAGCCAATACCTCCGAATGACGTCAAAGCTGACGTGTTTTTCGAAAAGTAAATTTTAGATTTTGTCGACTTTTTTATTTCACTGTTCTTCATTTCTGTTTTCGTCTTCTATGCTTTGCAGAGAAACGATTTTTGTATTTTGTTTCTTGCTTTGTTTCTTAGATGCTGCACGCACAATACTCTCGATACACGTTTTCATCTTTCTCTCTTACCTCATAGACTTACTCTGCAGTAGATTTCTTTGCGATTGTTGACATGCAGATGAACGATTTGCGTTTTCTCTCTATTAGACGCCTTTTTAGCTACGCTGTTTTCTGGTCGTTGTGCGTGAAGACTAAACACAAACCCTTGAGTGCTAAATTATTTTTGTTATGATCTAATCCAAATCTACCCGTTACTCGACCGCCGGAATGAAAACCGAGAAGTGCTTTTCCCCGTGTTCCGATAGTTACCTAACCAAAGCGAATCACTTCTTGTGATCAACACCATGGACTGTCAGAAGTCAAGTGAGAAAAGGGTAGCCAAAGCAAGTCTGGCTTCGTCTATTTAGAGAAAAAAGCGAGGCAGCTTGCTCCTCTACAGACTAAGAGAAATTACGCTCCTGATCGATGGCTTCATTGTCGTTATTGTTGTTGCTTTCCATACCGTCTTCATTGCCTCACATACATGCACAATCGTATCTGGCTGTTTTTTCTTTAAGTGCATACCCGTGGTTTGAGAGGTCTGAAACTGTCACTGAAACGAGCAGGAAAATACGTCAACTAGGTAGACAAACTACATATATATATAAATATATATAGAAGGTTGTTTATTAGTGTTACTTACTTTCTTTTCCTACAGTGGATTTGTTGAAACCATGAGCTCTGTCGACTTCGTCACAAAGTACGTCGAGCTTGACAGTCTTTTCAAAAAGTACCGCGAGAAGAAAAGGAATGAGTCCATGTCGCTCCATAAGCAGCTGGAGAAGGAGATCGTAACCAACATTGAACTGAGAAAAAGCACAGTTCTTCTCGAATCAAAGCTTCAGCACCAAAAGGAAAATGTCGCTCAGTTAGAGCGCCTGTATCGAGAAACAGTGAGCCACATCAGTGAGGCTTCGAAAAAACGGGAAAGCGAGCTGCGCGAAGTTGCCTCTGACATAACGGCTCGCCTGTTCGGGGTGGAGCAACGAGAGCGGGAGTGTGCCGAACGCGCTGCAGCGCTCGAACTTCGCGAGGAGGAATTATGGGTGAGCTGCAAGGGTTTTGAGAAGAGAAAGGCCGAGTTCGAAGCAGGTCTCACTGCTTGCAAAAAGACGATGGGCGTGGAGCTGCAGCAGGGTCGCGAGGCCGTCGACGTTGCGATCGACTGCCTTTGCTAGTCAAAATCAAAGACGAAGACCTCTCCGGGAAGGAACGGGAGCTCGAGCGTGAGGTACACATGTTTCGGCAGCAAGTACATCTTGAGTCGGAGGAACGCTCGCTGCGCGAAGGCATCACTGGGTGTGAATTTGAAGCGCGATGTTCTGCTTTCAGTTCATTCTTCCACGAGTACAATTTGCACCTCAGGTGGCTTTCGTTGCAAAACAAGCAGAAAGAAAACCAACTGAAAACCAAAACAGATCTACTCCATCTGCACGAGGTTGAGTTTTCTTCCAGAGTACGAAAGGAAACAGATTTGTGTCAAGATGAGCGGTCAAAGGTTGAACTGTTACGCAGAGAGTTTGTATTAGGGTGCCGAAATGTTTTGCGCGAAGTCAGTGACCTTCTCGATTCGATTCCAGGCACTTCGACGGAAATTTCGAGAATCCAATTAGAAGCAAAAATTCAAGCGATGCTCCAGCCGTCTTCTTGTAGCGTGAAATGATGCGACTGCTATTCTCTTTTTTTCTACTCCTGTTCCGTTTTTTTTTTTTTAAGGACGGCTAGATGGTTTTTATTTCTTGTTCGTTTCTCTGTTCTCGCCAGTTAGCGATGCCCCATCACTTTGGTACGTATTTGTTCTTCTTTGTGCCCCTTTTCTTTTTTTTTCCTTCTTAACCTCATACGTCTCCTCCATCATTTAGATCTACCGAAAATGGCAGCTCTAAAAAAAAAAGAAAATATAGAATATCATATGATTGAAAGAAGGCGTTTTTCTTGTTCGATTCAATCCGTTTTGCATAAAACCCTCAAAGTGCGATGAAAATGCCTAACAAACATAATTTTCCTTTGGACGCGCTGACGGCTTCTTTAAAGCTAAATCTGAAAGCGAGCGTTTTGAAACCCAAACACTACCCGGCCTCTGATAGAGTGGCGTGTTGCCTTTTATTTCGCATTCCTGTTGCTTCGTGCGTATTTCTCTTTCTCTCTTCCCCTCTCTACGTCCCACTCCTCCGAATACCGCTCTTGTAACAATCACTTTTCTTAAAAAACGCGAAACGCACCCTTCTTGGAAACAATCCTACGTATTAATCACTGGCTTTTTAAAACAATTATTCGTGTATAGGTTGCAAAGGATGTCATTTCGTCGCAGGGCACCAGCAGCCAAGACGCTATCGCCGGCACAGCAGCTTGGGAAGCTCTGCAGCAGCTTTGCGGGAAACTCAGCCTTTCAAAGTCATAACGCGATGTCTCTACTGGCACAGCTGCACAAGAACAACAAGACGCAGTATGATCAGTTTGTGAAAAATGCAACGGTGCAGCACTTTATTCCAAAATGGGCGATTGAGTTATCGGGCGAGGCAGTAACTGCCACGAAGTATAATCTGCCCCTGCCGTCTCATTTTATAAGCCCGGAAGACACAACGGACGATTTCGAGCCGCGCATCTTTTACTTGGAAAAAGACGTCGCAGAAGTGCTGGACAACTCAACGAAGAAACCAAACCACCCTCGATGTGGCCACAGCGGGCTTTTTTTTGCCCGCGAGGAAGTCGTAGATAACCTGCAAGCTGCGTCAGCGGAGCTGGGCTTCTCGTCACCTTTCTGGATTCACAAGGACCACCCTGGTTTGAAATCAGGCTATTTGCAAATGAAGGACGGTAGCGAATCGATTGTGATCAGCTTATCGGCGAGCGTTATTGGACTTGGCGATGTGGAGGCTATTGAAGAGCACAAGCTGCATCCGTCTCTGCGAGGAATTCTCAGTCGAACTACGTCATCAGCAGGCGAACTGGCGATTCCTGAAAGCGTTCCGCTCGGCATGAACGCGCTAACTGGGGCGTTTACACGTAATCCTTTTGTTTGCAAACTGCCCAACCGAGGACTGTGGCTTTCACAAGATCAACTACTGCATCACAACATCAAACTGTCGCGGCGAATAAAACAAGCCGCTGGTGCGTTTTCGCTTGTTGAGATCGATCAGTGGGAGCTGTTTAATGCGGATCAGCTTCAGGTTCCTGGCCGACTAGGGCTGCGCAAAAGTCTTGATCTGAGACCACAACAAGGCGTCTTCGAACCTGTATGAGCCGAGCCGCCTCTTCGAAGCTTGGATTCTATCAACTGAAGTCTCCTCTTTTTATACGTACCAAGCTTGGGCACGAACCGATGAACTGCTGCAGAGGAAAAGAGGCGTGACAGCGGAAACTCTTTCACAAAAAACGGCCCTGGGATATACGTTGTTTTTTTTCCCTCCGTTTACTCTTTTTCTTTTTTTATTATTGGCAAACGTATTGTTCAGAGGAAACACATTTTTGGATCTTGCTTTGCAGAAAACCACTTCTCTTCTATTTGCTTCTCAGATTCGTAGATGAAGACCATTAGACTGGACGCGTGCTCTCTCGCCTTTTATGTTTCAGAGGCTCAAGCGGCGAATTCATAGACACAACAACAAACACAACTCACCTACCCAAACAACCGGAAATATCCTCGATTTCTCCTCAGCTTTCTAGGCATGTCGCGACAGCTTTGCTTTTCCCTCCGACTTGAATCTTTTAGAAGCTCTCATTGCACTCTCGTTTTCCGGCTTTCTGATGGCGCCATCTCAAGAGGAATAGTTTACGGGCGCAGCACTCATTTTTAATGGACTGACCGTTTCATCTGCTTTCGATATATGCAGAGGTGCATATTTGCTGGTTCTCACAATCTTCCTTACTCTCGTCTCATTCTCTATCGACTTCTTGCTTTGGTGTGTGATATCCTCTCTTGAAAGGAAACTATAATTATTGAAACGAAGCTGAAGCAGCGGCGGCAAAAGGCAGAAAAAAACATGTCGTCGGTTCTAACGGGTGCTTTGGCGTACGGAAGCAGCGTGGCCACTGTTTTCGCTCTCTACCCCTATCGCGATCTCGTTAAGGCATTTGACGTGCAACGCTTGCCAAAAATGAGCGACATGGTCGACTTTTGCATGAAGCGATACAGGGGAATGCTGAGCAGCCCGTCTCAGCCTTTGTTGCTCGGCACTCCCCAAGCAGCGTTGTATTTTGGATACGCTGCCGGCGCAGGTGGCGCGAGCGGAGCCGTACTGGGTGGCTTTCTTTACGGGTACACAAAGATGTTTGTACGCACTGTGGCACACCGCATGAACGGTGGCGGGTCTCGCTACAACAAATTGGAGCAGCGCGGCTACTCAGGAGTGCTGGACTGCGTCACGTCGAGCGCAAAGCACTTTGGAGCGCTGTCGTTTTTCCCTGGCGCGCTAGCAGCTTCCATCATTGGCGTGCTGTGGTACGGTATCTCTTTAGCGGTGCTCCAACAGACGTACAGCAGCTCTGTCGGCGGAGATTTCTGGAATGCGTTTCGGATTCACGCGCTCATGACCTTCCTCACCACACCCGTACGAAATTCAATGCGTTCCGCCATGCACCACAGCGAACGCTCCGGAGGACTCCGCAGCTTTCGCGATTATGTGGCAGCGGAGACAGCGGTGTTTCGAGAGACAGGGGGTATCGTCCGAACGATGGCACGTGAGGAAGGACTGCGCTTTTTCCTCCATGGCGTCGTGAGAACTACCTTCAAAAGCTCGGTGCCGTTTGCAGTGACGTACGCCCTGTTCAAAGCAGTAGGTGGGTCAATCGGGTACCCGTCGGGTGGCAGTCATCGTGGCGGTCACACAGGGCGCCACTTTTCTCGTCGTTTTTAGTCTCTATTCTCGAAGTAAGGTTCTTTTTTTGAAGCGGAGAGAATTCAGTTTTATTCACAGTAATTACAGTGACGAGTAGCACTACGTCTATTTCATTCATGGTGCTTCGCCTCACGAGGGGTATGATGGTCGTTAGCGAACTTCTTTTTGTGGCAGGTGTTTAATTTGCTGCATTGGTGATTCTTACAACGACAAAAGGAAACGTATATTTTGCACTTTTAAAAAAGAACCACTTAAAAAAAAGTTTTACGAGGTACCGTTCCCTTATCAACAACAGAACACAGATGTGTCTTTTCCCCCACTTCTCGCATGGAAGTCGCGTAAATGAGAAGAGACGCGCTGGTTCGTTGCAAATGGCCCGCTCGATCTCCGCTTCTATTACGCTTCTTGTTACTCGCGGAGGCGTTCATCACGAGTTTTCAACGGGGTCAAACAAAATGGATGCTCCTTTTGTTTTTGATAACCTGCTTTTTCCTAATGCTTTACGTTTTTTCCCCCACCTTATCTTTTTCGTGTCCACATGCCCACCTTCTCAATATCGCAATAGTAAGTAAACACTGTACCAAGTAAAAGAGAGAAATACGTGGAGACTTTCCGTAGCAAGGCTCTTTCCTTTCGTTAATCTAGAACACCAGTAAGAATTACTATTATACAGCTCTTCACCGCACCGCCAAAATGCTGCGCCGCTCAATGCTTCGCTGCCAGGTGAACCGCGCTCCGGCTCGCCCTGGTCCGACGCTGTACGGATGGGGACGCACGGAGCAGAAGCGTCGTCTCGAGTACGAAACCACCGAGTCGAAGTACCACAAGCGTGACTTCAACAAGGCCTGGGACCTTGCCGGTGTAGAGCAGCGCTATTCGGACTTTATGCAGGTGCGCACCTATTTCTCCCTCGGCTCCCGCTGGGGCACCTGGCTGTACAACTTGATGCAGTTCTACGTGCTGTCCATGTTCCCCATCTTCGCCTTTATGCACATCCTCCACAAGTCTATCGAGCGCTACGACGATAGCATCCGCCTGGCGGCTTGGTGGTAAATACGGAGACAGCGCGGTTCCCATCAGGGCCTTCAATTTGCTGGTCTTCATCGAGTCGGCGACGCTGCTGGGGACGACTGCAAGCGTGGACGAACGCTGACTTATTTGGCTGATTTTGTGTGCATGGGCTCTGTTTTTTTTTTCCCCTCGTTCTCTTGTAGTAGTTAGCAATATTTCTTTCTCTTCACTCTTGGTAGCTAGGAAAATAAGCATATATATATATATATATATTGAGTCCCTCCTGTAGTGCTGAAAAGCGACGCAGGTGGCGAAAGGGTGGCCGCAGATTGATTGTTAAGACACGTGAAAGCTATTGCCCCATTCTCGCATGTGATTCCACCCCTGCGTTTCTCTTCATGAGCGAAGGCTACTTTGTTGTTTACCTTCTTCAAGTGCCACGTGAACGGCACGTCTTTCTTTGATTCGACTTCATTGGAAGAAAGGGCGTTCGAGTTGGATAGTTGTGCCCAAAAAGCACCGGTAATTGCGCGTGCGGCTTTTTTGTTTGTGTCCTCCTGTCGTCTCCTTTACGCAACTCCTGTTCTCGAATTTGCTCTCATTGTATTATCTGTGTGCCGTGCTGCTGTCGTTAATGCTGAGATTAGGTTAGCCGGCAACCGTGTGGTGTACCTTCCAGTTCAAATACAGTGTGCCCCGTTACCCAAAATACACACTCGCACATTCACACGCATACATACGCATATCTGCCTAACTGCGTAAAAGAGACAAGCACCTAAAGCCATACACCCATTTTAAGGATACCTTCACACAGAGGCACAAGAAATTATTTTTGTTTTCATTAGGTCAACAACAAAAAAAGATGGGTCTTCTTTCCATCATCAAGAAAACAAAACGCAAGGAGCACGAAATGCGCATCTTAATGCTTGGACTCGACAACGCCGGCAAGACGACCTGCATCAAGAAGTTTTGCGGCAAAGACACCAGCTCCATTAGCCCTACGTTGGGATTTCAAATTACTGCCTTCACGTTCCGTGATTGCACCCTCAATGTGTGGGACGTCGGCGGCCAGCAAAGCCTGCGCAGCTACTGGCGCAACTACTTCGAGAGCACAGACGGCCTTGTCTGGGTGGTGGACAGCAGCGACGTGGAGCGGCTGCAGATGTGCAAGGAAGAGTTGCACCTGCTTCTTCAGGAAGAACGTTTAGCCGGAGCGAGTCTGCTGGTGTTTTTGAACAAAATCGATATCCCTACGGCGCAGTCGCCGCAAGAGATTGCGCGTCTGCTTGATGTGGATGCCATTCGGCAAGGGAAGCGTCACGTTCACCTGTGCGCGTGCAGCGCGCGAACGGGCGAAGGGTTGCTAGAGGGGATTTCGTGGATGGTGGACGATGTGTCAGAGCGCATGTACTTTTCCACGTAGGCATTCGAAAGACATTTCAGAGGGCGTCGCTGGGTTGTCCATGCCGGTGTAAAGCTGCCACAGCATGTGGCATGTGATGTTACAGTATCACCACATAAAAAGAATATACGAGCACGTATGTAAAGGAAAAGCATTCTGCTGATGGCTGAGCCACCAATGTTTTGCCGATTCATCTTTTCTGGCGGGTTTTCTTTAACCAGATGCATTGTTAGAGCTGCAATCGGTATGTTGATGTTGCGTCACATTCAGCTCGGACTCCGGATTCCGTTAAAGAAAGGCACCTGCGTACTGGACTCCATATCTCTTCCTCTTTCCCATCATAAGTTTTTCCTTTTCCTTTTTTTTTTAAACACAGAGCTTTAAACGGAGAGCAAAATGTCGTTTCAGCTTCACATGGTCGCTGTCGATCTGGTTGCTGCTGGCATTGTTGCTCTCCTTATCCTTTTTCTGGCTGTGTACGTTGTGTGCCGGTACAGTGCAGAGGAGGAAGACGGCGACGCGTGGCTTCCGCGGGCACTCGTCGTCCTGACACTTAGCGTGGCGTGCTACATGGTACTGCTGCTTCCGTTGGAGGTAGCACTTAAAAATGAGGAGCCGGCGCTCAGTTTGTTGTGGGCGTGGATAGGAATGCTTTCTGCTGCTTACTTTCTGCTGTTTGTTGGAGGCCCGTACGCTTTTGTGTTCTACGAGAGCTGGTCTCCGCACCAGTCCAGCGTGTGGGACCAGGTACGGCCTGCGCTGGGGATGGTGGCGGTCGTGAACGGAGTGTTTCTTCTTTGTTTCGGGGCGCTGTGGCTGTGGGGCAGTCACGTCGACCGAAAAGACGGCACCCTCACGCACGTGATGCCGTTTGAGTACTTCGCTGCGACGGCCTCCAGCGTTGGCTGGGCGGTCTTCTTCATCTTCGCCGGCGTAGGGCTCGCCGCGGTACCGGTGCAGGGGGTGGCAAATTTCCTGCATCGCCCACGACCCATCACGCATACCGAGTACGAGCTGGCAAAGGTGAAGCTGAGCATGGAGGTGCAGCACCTCCTCCGTCGCGGCCGCCAGTTGGATGCGGAGGTCGGGGGTGGGCGCCCGACGCATCGACAGCGTCAGCGGATGCTGATGTTCAAGCGCGAGGTTCGCGATGCGGAGCTGCAGAGCGAGCGCAACGAGATCGCGTTTCGTCTTTCCGGGTCGGTCATTTTGCGGTATTACTTGATGGCAGCGTTGAGCGTCGTCAACAGCGTGGTGACCCTGCTCTGGGTGCTGCACATTTTTATGTGGAACGTGCTCCAGGTGTACCCGCTCCTCGACCGTATGCTTGTGTGGCTCGATCATCTTCTCCCCATGCTGGCCACACTCGTGTACGCGTATTACGCCTTGTACATAATGTGGTGCACCCTTGCCGGCTGCACCACAGTGAGTGGTAACCTTCTTGTATCTGTGGTGTACCCACTTCGTGTGCGTGGCACCATGCTGAACGCCCTTCTTTTTAATGCACTGCTCGTGCTGTGCGCCAGCTTCGCCGTGCTGCACCTGTGTGCGGTGAGCTTCTCCACCTATGCTGCGACAACAACCATGCACCGCGTCTTTGCCGTCACCATTGCACACATGTACGGGATTCAGTACGTCTCGCTGTACCTCCAGTACGCCCTGCTGTCTGTGTTTGTTCTCTCGATCCCATGGCTGCTGTTTTGCCCGCAGTGTATGTCAGGAGAAACGATTGACGAGGACGAGGTTGACTCTCTCATCTAGAGGAAATGTGGCTGGTGATATCAGGAAAAAGGAGGAAGAACGACAACGTGTTTTCTCGAGCAATCTTATTGTGAAATACATACACCGTCTGTTTTTATTATTATTTTGTTTTCATGTCTCCACTTGCCTCCTTTTTTTTCTGCTCTACGTCGACAGCGCTTTTGCTTTTGTTGTTGTCGAAACGCTGTTGAGGAGAACGCTGCAATTCTTTTAGCTTCGTGATTGCTTTCCTCGCTCAATGTATCTCAAAAAAGAAAAACCGTTCGGGTTGAGAGCAAGCGAGTGAGGTATTTTCTGTTGCATAAACACGCTCTCTGTCTCTCGTGTTGTTGTTGTTTTGATTTTCCCTTTCTCGTCTGCTACACGAGGACGACTTTGCCGAACCTGTGGTGGGGATCGCAGGTGGGTAAGCCTCAGCCCTTCCACCTCTCCTTATTCTCTCCCTCCTTGCCTTATGCTCTCGCTCATTGCTCTCTCGCTATCTTTCCACTGCCAGTCGGCCACCTTCAAACGTGTAGCCCTTTTCCACGACAGAGCAAAGCTTGCGTCTCAGCACATTGTTCCCCCCTCCCCCCCCCTCCAACGCACAAATGGAGCGGATGGCTTTCTTGCACCGTGTGCAGGCTGTGATCGTTCTCGACAGCAACGAGAGCCGCGTCTTCACTAAGTACTTCGTGGGCGAGGACACGCCCGAGTCGTCCAAGGCGTTGGCGCCGCTGGAGAAGCAGCGCGCACTGGAGCACAACATCTTCCAAGCGATCCACGATTTTCGTAATCGCACCCACGTCACCTACGAGAGTGAGATTCTCGTAGTGGACGGCCACGTGGTAGTCTTCCACGTGGGCGAAGATGTCACGGTAATCGTGATGGGGGCGGGCAACGAAAACGAATTGGTGTTATGCAGTGTCTTGACGGGGCTTGTCGATGCGCTGAAGCAGGAGTTGAACGTGCCGTCGTTGACGAATCGCGTGCTTTTGGAGAACTACTGTGCGCTTCTCATGACGGTCGACGAGATGCTCGACGAAGGCATCATTCTAGAAACCGAATCCGAAGCCATAGCAACTTCGCTGGAGCCCTATCTGATCGACAAGAGCAACGAGACTGCCCGGGCAGCCATTTCTAAAGTCAACAAGTATCTCCAGGACAACTTGTAAAAACAAAAAAAAATTTTGTGCTGCGAGACCTGCCTGTTTTCGTTTCAATTTTTGTCCCATTACCTGATACTTTGCTGTTGTTTCTTTCAGTTTGTCTTTGCGTACTCTCTGGCTTTAAGCGGTCGTCTTCTCTTTCGTCGCATCTTGTAGCATGGTTTCTCCATTGTTTGTAACTTGTAAAAAACGCGAAAGGGTATTCGTGAAAGCTTTCGTGAGAGCGTACAACCGGCCACTTGTGCTCGATGTGGTCTGCCTACCGTTCTTCCGCCGGGAAGAGTTTTTCTTTTTGAGAAGCCGAAACCGCGAGCCCAGAAGAAGCTGTACCGGGGTGTGGCGGAGAAATGTGGTGTGTTGCGACACGCCATTTTGAGCTTTTGGTGTTTGCATGTAGCGATATACCAGATGAAAATACCAACTCAGCGACAACACCAAAAAAAAAAAATAAGCGGCAGCAACAACGACGGAACGGTGTGTTTCGCACGGTGAAGGGACATATATGTATATATATTTTCTATCACGTCCACCTCACCAGTGACTATGTGTCCTGAGTTTTATTCATGTGTGCTCCTTCTTCTGCGTGATGCGGAAAACGGGGTCCGGCTGCTTTCAGGATTTACTTACAGAGGTGGGGTAATTGCGTAAAGTAGTTCATTGCGGTGTGGACTACCTTACCCACACCATATCTTTCTCTATCCAGGCTTCCTGGAATCCCCTCTAGAACTACGCTTCACGCCTTCCTTCTTTCTTTCTGTTCTTGGTTGGAAACGGTTCTTGCGTCTTGTAATACACAATGCATGGTTTGACATTTCCTTCCCTGCGCACACAGTAAATTTAGGTTAATTAGCGCTGCGTCGCAGCTTTACAGTGTTCAAATTCGCTTCCCCGTATTTGCACGTCCCCCTCCCCCCTCTACTGCTGCGAAAATGATGAAGCCGACGTCCCCCAACTTCATGGCGCAGGGTATCTGGGCCGGTTTCCGCTACTACATCGGCCACTTCTTCTACCCGAATATGTACCGCGAGTTTCTCTCGGTACAGAACGCCCACAAGATAGAGCGCGCGCTCCGCCTACAGAAGGCCATTAAGGCGAACAAGGTGGACTACCGCGCCCTCCTTGCCCTCCCCGTCACCGACCACGCCCACCCCTACAAGATGGAATACCCGTGGGAGAAGATTATGCAGAGCGACCCCCGCGACTTAGGCCTCTACGGTAAGTGGTACGCGAGCAAGATGATGTGCTTCTACGAGGGTTTGCAGTTCCACAAGTGGGGCTGCCTGCAGGATGACCTCATCAACGCGCACGGCTGGTGGAACCGTGCCGCCCGCACCCGTGCCCCGAAGGACAAGATCGTGCACGGTGACCGCCGTGTGATGCGCGCGCGTGTGTTGAAGGACAAGTACATCTACGAGCCGAAGGACCGCTGGGTGCACCCTGCCGACAACGTGGCCTACTTTGGTCCCTACGTAATGATGGTGGCCGACGAGTGGGAGGAGAAGTGGGGCTTCTTTGCCGGCCAGGAGGTGGAGTACTAAAGCAGTGAAGCATGTTGTTGCTCTCTCGAATAGGATATTTATAAAGCAAAAGCGAAGGGAGGAACATTCACTTATTATCTTATTTCTTTTATTGGTTAATTTGTAGTAGGTAGGTGGTGCGGATCCCTTTTTTTTTTCCTGTCCCTTTTTCGTGTCACCTCTTTCTTTCTGCGAGGGAATCCCGTAATTAGCCGCCAGCGTTGCGGCACGTGCTCATAACAGGTGCGCTCAGCACCTCGTTGTGATTCTGGATCATGGACAGCCTCGAGACTTCTTCACTTTCTATGAGCTTCTTATCTGTGGTATTCATGTAGTCACTAGTATTAAAAAGAAAAGAAAAGAAAAAATCTGTTTGCTAAAGTAAACGCGTCAACACCAACTTTCCACACAGCGCGTGGTGCTTGGTGCGATGATCTCGCGTGCGCAACACCTGGATTTGTACCCTTTGTGACGGCCCTCCTTTTTTTTTTGCCGCACAGGCTTAAGTGGTCATCTCTTGGTGGATCACTAACAAGGAGAGCGAGAGAGAGAGAGAGGTCGAAAAGAAAACTACTTCTTGTCTAAATTCAGTTTCAACACCATTACATTATACGTGTAACAGTGAGAGGCGTTTGCTTCTACTGCTGCAACACTTCTCTCCACTATTCTCACACCGTTCTCGACTCCTCATCTTTTCTCTTTTTTTTTTCTGTTTCTTTGTAACACGCGCATTAAATCTCGCCTGCATTTTTGCTTTGTTTCACAAACTGCGTTGTTGCCCGCTTTCCGCATCTCCCGCAAGAAAGTGACGGCTTCTCTGAGTACGATTCTTCTTTACTGGCGAGAGAGACCAAGAACGGTGTGGAACGAGGAAGGTAGTCCGCGACATAAGATGCAGCGACTCACAACCGCCGGCCCCTACGTCACGGCGGACAGGACGGTCAAGCATCATCAACTGCGCTGTGAAGCCGAGCTTTCGGGAACGCTTGAGTCCCTGGCGAAGGACGCCGCAAGTCAGTGGAGCTCGCTGCAGCGCGCCAAGGCGCAGTCTCATCTGCAGGAGCAATCCAAAGCTTTCTCCACCGAGCAGCAACATTTTGAACGCCTTCTGGAAGCCCAGAGGGTGCGGTGTCAGCGCAGCGAAGCCGCGTTGGCGCGTTTCTCTGCAAAAGAGGCGGAAAAGCTGAATGCTCCGTCGGGGGCGCGTGTCACCCCTCAAGGCAGCCTAACTGCAGCGACGAGGAGTCGCAGTGAAAACGTTGACCGCCGTGTTCGCAGAGAAGCGGACTGCCTCCTCACCCAGGAGGCGGCAGCACTGGAGAAGGACCAATTCGGCATAACGGTGCTACAGTGCGAGCTGGCAGCGGAGCAGCAGCGGGCCACCACGCAAGTGCGTCTTCTGGAGAGTGGCATGGTGGCTGCGCAGCGACGGACGCAACAGCAAATTCTCAAGATGCGGCGCACCGGGGACGTGTCGCGCGCGACAGCCGATGTGGCGCACCGCGGTGCGGCGCTGGAGGCGCGTGTGTACGGGGATGCCTATCGAGTTCCGTCGCTGTGCGAGTACTATGGCCCGTTGCTCGAACAGCCGACGTCGGCGCCCCCTGCAGCGTAGCGTCAGATGACAAAAAGATAGTAATAATAGAGAAACATTATACATTTTTCCTTCTGTAAAAAAACCGTAGATGCGCGTGTTCTTTTTTTGGCTACAAAACTATTTCTGGGTCTGCTTTCCATGTGCAGAAAGGCGGCTAAATCTTCTTTTGCTGTTGTTGACCACGCTACTATGACTTCGATGTACACTAGAACCGGGGTTGGAGTTTTCGTCTATCTGCCTCTCTCATCTTTGTGTTTCTTCTGTTTCTCGCTCGCTCACTTGTACTTTTATCTTCCTTTTTCGCCCCTCTGCGCGGAAACAATAGTAATAACGATAGTAATAATAGTAGTCTGCCACGTGGCGTATCCATTCGGGTCATCCTTTGCACCTGTGGGTGGTGAAAACAGTAGAAAATGTGTTTGCCACAGCCCTACCGTTGCATGTTGTATCTCAAAGAAGAAACACCGCTGTGTTTCTGCTGATCACGGAAGCGCTGCAAGTCTCCTATATGCGTCGCTTCCTGCACCTCCTCTGTGTTGGCTCTTTTTCTTTTTGGACCGGGTGTTGAATTTTCGTGCTGTCTTTTTCTTTTTGCTCCTGTTTCAGTGCGTGCACTGACGCACCAAATTGGGAAAGTAAACATATATAGGTGAGGTGCGGCGCATACATACACGTACACAAATCCATACGTAGATGAAAATAAACAGATTGGTGCTTATTTCCGGAGCTGATCTGTTAACGTGACGCGTGCTCTCTACTCGTTCCTTGTAAGAATCTACCAGTTTGTTTCGCACCCAATACGCTTGGAAGCCCTCTCCTTTTCGTTGTTGTTGCTTCTCTTCCACTTTTTCCCTTCTCCCACATATATAATGCCTCCGCTGATGTCCCCATTTGAAGGGACAGGGAGTCAACGTCAGCCTAACCCCACCCAACCGCATGATGAGCAGCGCAGCCTCGCTTCACGCAGCTCGCAGCTTCTCTTCGAGGCCCCAGTGATGCTCTCGCTGAGTCCGGACCAGAGTCAGCGCATTCTGATGTTAGAGTTCTTCAAGCGGTGGTACTTCTTGTGTCACTTCGTGTACATTTGCGTGTGCGTGTCCATCGGTGCGGTGGGCCTGCTGCTCCTGGAGGCGGATATTTCTGTGGTGGACGCCGTCTTCATTGCGACGTCGTCCGTGTGTAATTGCGGATTACAGACGGTGGACGTAGGCGCGTGGCGCACCTCGACAACACTCTTCCGTCACTTGCTGCTGCTTACCGGCGGTGTCGTCGTGACGAGCAGCTTCCAGCCACTGCTGCGGCTCTTCATGCTCCATCGCATGCGGGATGTTTTTCTTCCCGAGGTGGAGGACACGCCGCTCGAGGCGCAGCTGCGCGCAAAGAAACGCGAAGAGGCCCACCGGCTCTACTACACCGCACTCATCAGCGCCGTAACACCATTCGCTTATCTTGTGGTTGTGAACGGCGTAATAATGGCTCTTCTCTTTTGCTTCAACACCTCCCACCTTTCTGGGCTGCAAGTCTTCTGCATGACTCTTGCGTCCTTCCATAGCTCTATCTTCCTCCCCATGGAGGCGTACGCGAATGACGTCGCCGTCGCGGGACTCGTGGCCGTGGCATGCGCGCTCGGCTTCACCGCCTTCCCGGTCGTGCTGCGCGGCTTTATGTGGACGGAGTGGACAGCGGTGCGTTTCGTACGCCGTGTGGCTAAACCGATCGCGCGTTGCGTGGAGCTGTGCCGTAAACGGCCCGGTCGCACCACCGAAGTCGATGACAACGGCGCGGAGGGCACCAGCGAAGTGGAGGACGATGCGATGAATGTCGGCCTGTTGCGGACAGGGCAGCAGCACCACCACAACAGCAACGATACGCCCCACGCCCCGTTCCTGGTGCAGCTGCGCGACGTCGATGTCGCCTTTCAGGAGGTGCTGCGCTCGACCGAACCAGGGGCGTTTCACCCCTTTCTGTTCCAGCCCGGCGAAACGGGCTACCTCGGTGCGGCGTGGTGGGCGCTCACCCTCGCGCAAGCGTTTCCCTACTGGTACGAGCAGTGGGACGGAGTGCTCCACCCCTATCCGTGGCCGTACAAGATTTACATCTCGCTCTGCCAGGCCGCCGTCGTGCGCTTCGCCGCGGCGTCGTTTCTGCCGCTGCTGGATTGCAGTAACGCGCACGTCGCGGTGACCATATTGGCCATGTTCCTGCCAGCGCTGCCCATCTCGACGGACCGCACGTATCGGAAGTGGAAGGAGATGTTTCGCACATCGATTGTGCGGCTGCTCACGTCCCGGCTGTTTTGGATCTTTATGGCGATGGTGCTGGTGCTCTTTGTGGAAGAGCAGGATATGCGCGCCAGCATCATGAACACCCGCTTCGACATGTTGACGCGGACCTTATTTGAGGTGGTCAGCGCGTACGCCGGCTGCGGACTTTCACTTACTTTGGCTGGCGCCACCGTCTCGTTTGTCGGCCTCACGAGCACCTTTAGTAAACTGATCATTGCCGCTGTCATTTTGGGCGGACGACACCGCTTTGTCGACCTCGGCATCGACTTGGGATTTAGCACGCTGGGGTCGCAGGTGAGGGCAGTGGCGGAGCCTCGACTTCCACCAGCCTCACCTTTTGAAGCGCATTAAGAAAGAAAGAAAAAGCTATTCTTCGGACAGCGTTGTTTCCCTCTTCACAGTCGACGTGTTTTTGAACGTGCGTTGTCCGTATCTTTCCCTTTTTTTTTGCCTTTGCTTGCACTTTCCTCTCGCAAGGCTGCTATCTGCACTGTGCTTTACGTCTCACAACTTCCTCAACAACCACGAATGGTAACAGTTAAAAAAAGAAAAATGCCAAGAGGAGTACCAAAGTAACTGACGCGTGAACCTGTTGAGCCGCAGTAAGTATCGTCTAATAAATCCCAGCACGGGTGGCTGACAAACATTTCTGTGTTCTCATTGTCAGCCCATTTCCACAGAAGATCTCTTTCTTCTTTATCTTCGCCCCCTTCGCAACACCGGAGAGGACTCCATTTGCTATTGTTCTTAGCTTTCTTTCTTTGTTTTTTCTTCTCTCCTTATGCGTACCTCGTAACGCGATCGGGTTCCGACGAAGCAAAGCTACCACTGTGCGTGTTCGTGGATATCGAAATCTTATCTTTTTTTGTCTTCTTGCATTTCACGCTTTGACAAGATGCCGCCGAAGGTACCACCGCAGCCGGACTTCTCCCGTTTGGCCGCCGAAATGCGGATGAGGATGAACGCGTACGGCGGCTTCGGCAACATTTTTGGCATGTCCGCCCTGATTGGTCTGGGCGGCGTCTCCATCTACGCCCTCTGCAAGTCCGTCTACTTCGTCCCCGGCGGCTTCCGTGCCGTGAAGTTCAACTGCATCACGGGGTTGTACAACCAAACCTACGGCGAAGGCGCCAACTTCGCCATCCCGTTTCTCGAGACCCCAGTGGTGTTCGACATCCGCAACAAACCGATCGAGGTGCCCACCGCCAGCGGCAGCCGGGACCTGCAGACGGTGAACATGGCGGTGCGTGTGCTCTACCAGCCAAACGTGGACAATTTGCACCACATCTACCGCCACATCGGCGTGAACTACGCGGAGACGGTGCTGCCCTCCCTCATTAACGAGATTATCCGCGCCGTGATTGCGCAGTTCAACGCGTCGGACCTCCTCATCAAGCGTCCAGAGGTGAGTCACCGCATCGGCGTCATGCTGGCGGAACGGGCCAAGCGCTTCAACATCGACATCACCGATGTCTCCATTACGCAGATGTCTTTTGGTAAGGAGTACACGAACGCGGTGGAGGCGAAGCAGGTGGCGCAGCAGATGGCGGAGCGTGCCAAGTTCCGTGTGGAGCAGGCGGAGCAGGAGAAGCAGGCGGCGATCCTGCTGGCCAAAGGTGAGGCGGAGGCGGCTATCCTCGTCGGCAACGCTGTAAAACGTAACCCGGCGTTTATCGAGCTTCGTGGGCTGGAGGCAGCGCGCGCGATTGCGAAGAGTCTGCGCGAACACGGCCAGGGTCGCTTCTACCTGGATAGCGATTCTCTTTACCTGAATGTGAAGGACCTGAAGATTAACCACGGCACCACCAAGTGAGAGTGTGCATGATTATACATATTCTCCTCATGGGTGCCACGCGACACCGTTTGAGAAGCCCGTTGCACGTTCGTAGTCAGTTTTTGTTTTTCTCACATTTGTTGTTTTGTTTCTTTGGTGTTGTTGTTGCCGCGACATTGCAGACCTGCGTGTGCTGCGGGGTAGACAGACGGGAGCGAGAAGGGACGACGTTGCTTGTTGTACGCAAAAGGAGGAGCTCTCCATGCTCCTTTCCTCAATTACTACTTTCAAGGCGACAACGGCGCCTTTCCTGCTCATCTTCCTTCGTTTTCCCTTTTTGTTTTCGGGACCAGCGTGGTGTCGCTGCCGTGATGCAGCAATCTTGTCCGCAAGGGAAAAAAAATAAATGTTGTGTTCGCTCGCACGCAGGAAGGCGTTTACACATACTCCCCTTTCCTTCCCCAAGTGCGACCTTTGACTTACTGGGTGTGTTGGTGTTGTAGTTGGATCGCCGCACAGAGCAGCTCGTTTTTGGTTCAGTTTGAATTTTTTTGCAGTTACACCTCATTTTGAAAGACAGATCAACTGGGTTCGACGTATATACATATATGTATGTTCGGGTGAGTTTCAGTACCCTAAAACAAACACCTTCACAGGGAGGAGCGCCTACACTTCGGCGCGCACGCTTATTGTATCAGTTTTTCCTCCCCGTTTTTTTTTTTTGAAGCTAGGCTTGCTTATTCGTACTGCAGTACTTCGCTCTTCCCTTTCCGCTGTCAGCCCTTTTTTTTTTTAGGTGCAGGAAGGGACTTGCAACATGCGTCATGTGAAGACTTCGATGGTGGCGGTCGCCTCTTTTTTTTCTTCTCTCTTCCTTCGACTTTCGGATTCACGTTGCTCTCTTCCTCGACTTTTTCCGCACAATAAACACCCGCTTTAGAGAAAGGGAAAAACAAGAGTTAATCTAGCAAGTCTCCTCTTCAGATGAACGCAAAGGAGGTCTGGAGTATTCTCCTCTGTGCGGCGGAGGCTGCCGCTAGGACGATCGAAGGAGAATTGGCGGTGGCCATTGAGGCCATCGTGGAGGAGCAGCTGTCCCACAACGCACAGCTGACGCCACCGGAAGTTAGACTCGTCCGCCATGCCGCCTTCGACCTGTCTCGATTTGCAACTCTGTGCGACGGGGCTTTTAAGGGCTACTGTAGCTGCTTCAAGCGCAACGGCAGTCACAGGGCAGCAATGTACCTTATCGCCTACCTCATCATCTTTCAATACCACACCCTTGGCGAGTCGGCGGTCTGCGAACTCCTCGACGGGTGTATGTCACATCCCCGCCTCTGCGAGTATCTGCAGTACCTCTTCACCACAAGCCTCGTCACGCAGTTCTCCATCCCGTTGTGGCGCACCACCTACGATGACCCGTTTGTGCAGCAGCAGGTCATCGCCCCGCTCGCTGCTGCGGCGAAGGATGCCGGGGGCGACGTCGCCGGGTGGCTGCGGAGACACATTTCCAGCACAACGGGACCCTCCCCCGACTCCTTCCTCCGCGAGACTCCCGCTGCTTCTGCGCAGGCTCCTCGCAGCGCCACCTCCACCACCAACACCGTTAACAGGAAAGCGGGTCGCCCGCCACAGCTGCACACCTCCGCCCCCGCTCGCCGTCCTTCGCATGAAGCGTGCGAGATGGCCGTGACGGCCCCGGCGCCGACGCGGCTGCCGCGAATTAAAGACGCTCAGCTGCCCTCTCGCCCGAGGGCGGCCAAAGCCCCAACAAAGCCAATAGGCTTTACGTTCCACCAGCGTGCTGCCTCTCCCGGTGCGACGGCTGCTGCTGCGAGCCCGTCGCCTTCCGCCACGGCCACCATCACCGCCGTCGGAGCCGCAGCAGCGGTAGCCGCCGCCACAACATTCAACAACGACAGCGCTGACACAACGCCTCGGCCGTCGTCCTCGCAGCTGCGCCGCATGCTGAACACCTCGCGGACCGTTCCCACCACGACCGCTGTGTTGCGCCGTGAGGCCTGCATGCGAGACCGCCAGCGCACCCACGCGGAAAAGGCACTGACGGAGTTGGAGGTGGTCGCCCGCGATGCAACAGAGTACGAGTTATGGCGCCAGGCGCAGGCCGAGGAGGAAGAGCGGGCGCGCGAGATGCGCGTGGTGCAGCGCCACCTGGATGCCGTCGAGACGGAGGAGCGGCGACGTACCCGCAGTGCCCACGCCGCAGAACTGCGTCGACGTCGCTTTCGGAACTTGCGCACCAAGTACCAAGAGGAGTTGGAGGCCAGGAAGTCGGAGGAGGCGGCGGCGCGGCGCCAGCAAGAGCAGGCTGCGCAGCACCAGCGCACCCAGCAGCTGTACGAGCGAGTAGCGGCGCTGGAGCGGACGAACGCCACGAAGGCCACGCTGGCAGCGCAGGTGAAGCAGGAGTCGGAGGATCTGCGTGCCGCGGCACAGGAGGCAAAGGAGGAGCGGCAGACGCAGCAGGCGTTGCTTATTCAGGAGATCCACGTGATGCAGCAGCGCATCCGCGAGCGGAAGGCCCGCATGGGGGAGGAGCGGCGACGTGCGTGGGCGGACGGCGAGGTGGATGCAGCACTGGGCCGCATGTCCGTCGCGGAGCTCCACGAGGCGCTGGAGCGCATCCGCGCCGAGGACGCCGCCGAGATGGAGGCGCGTCACGCGTACGTGACGACGACGCGCGCACACGCCCAAGCGGAGCGCGATCGCCTGGAAGAGGAGTGCGCCAGCGCGCGCGAGCAGCAGCGGCAGCGCCGGCAGTCAAAGCAGACCCAACGCGCCGAGCACAAGGCCGCCGTGGAGGAGGCGCGGGCGAGCCGGGAGACGGCGCGCATGATGCAACTGCACGAGAAGTTGGAGGCGAGGCGGCAGGAGGCGCGTGCGGTGCAGCGCGCCACGCGAGAAGCGGAGCGGCAACGGCGAAATGAGTCGTTGCTGCGTGCGCAGGACAGCACCTCGATGGAGCAAGGTCGGTGGCACCACTACGAAGCTGGCCTCGTCCGCCGCTCCAAGTGGGAGCAGCAGCGGACCCTTCAGGAGGCGCAGAACTCTGTGTGAAAATCCCATGCCGACATGTATATTTAAGTGCAAGACTGCTGCAAGCAGCCGTTTGCATCACTGTTTTCCATTTGCGTCGGCCTGTTGGCTACTTTACCCCTCTCACCGCTCTCGGCACCAATATATATACTTTTCCTTTTATTGCATGTACACTGTATTTACTTATCTCTTTCGACTCTGAAGTAATAATCGAAAAGAGATATTTGAGGCAAAAGAAAAAAAGCACGTTTCCCTTTAGTTGCAGAGCCTTGTAGTTGTGTCGGGAGATACGATCATCTTGTCTTGCGTTCCTACGGTCTACAGAAACACGGCAGCGCAACGGGTACCCGTTGCGTCCTCTTCCCATGCATTTCTTGTCTCTGCGTTACACACACACACACACACACACAACAGCAATAGCGGAAACAACAAAAAAAGAAAAGAAGCGCCTCGTTCTATCCCTTTTTGCTCTCTACCGTTTTTCTTTTTGCTATCAATGCAGATCAACAAGGGCGTGAGTGATTCTTATGTAGAGGTTCGATGTGACCGCCCCTTCAGTCAAACAAGCAAAGAATTAAAGGGGACATTACAAAGGAGGGGTTGCACAAACACCTACGCGCTGGCCTTCTCAATGTTTCACGGCGCCAAATCAGCACCAATTCGACGCGGCGGAAGCACGACGGCGAAGGCCGCAGAGCCGTTTGATCCCGCTGCGTACGCGGCTCTCATCGCCATTTCTGCAGCCGAGAAACGCCTACGTGCGTCGCACAAACGCGACGCGTCTTCCTCCACGGCGCGGCCCTCCTCTGTGCATCGCACATCAAACTACGGGCCCTCACCAAGCCCGCACGCAGTCGAGCTCACTTCACCACCCGCGGCACGTGACAGCCGTCGCGTGGAGGAGATTGTGGCGAGGTACCGTCCACCGACGCGGCCAGCTGCGCCTCCGGATGCGGTCGGCCCCTCCTACACCCTTCTACAGCAACTGGCGTTAGAGTCCGAGTCGAACTCGAGTGTCGCCTCCGATGTAACGGAGCCCGCAGGGGCAGCAACAGCTGCAGCAGAACAGGAAGAAGAGAACGTCACACCGGTGGAGATGTCAGCAGAGCGAGACTCGTCGACGTCGACACTCCCGCGCTCACGTTCACCACCCGCTTCACCGCCCTTTTCGGATGTGCGTGGCCCACTACCACCACCGTCGTCGAACACGCGAACAGCTGCTGCGACTGCGAGGAGCGTGGCCGATATTGTGAATGAACTGGAAGACGACGAGGACGACGATGCCGCCGTCTCGTTGCGTGACGCGTCACCGCTGCGTGAACAAAGCGTGGCAGGCACGGCGGGGATCTCGTACCGTGTCTCCACCGCTGAGGCCGTCCACACCGTCGCCCAGCAGCTTAACTTCGCCTTGTATCAATAGAATAGACAAGAGAGCGAGCGAGCGAGAGAGGAACAGGAGCTGAACGATGACTGTTTGTTGCAGTTGGGGTCGCTCCTCTCTTCCGTTCACTCGCGGCACACCAATCTTCATCTGCTTACGTTTCCAATGACAACACAATTCCCATTTAAAAATATCCCCCCTGACGAAACACACGAGGCATGCTCTTTATGACGATCCTGTGACGATGGTGGCAGCTTACGCCGAGAAAGCGGAGCTCGTAAAGGCTGTCGTTCTCGTGCTTCTCTTTGCTTCTTTCTCATCACGACGTGCTATTTGGTGCGGAAGGTGTTCCACTGATTCCATGACACGTGTTCGATCCCCCCTTCTCTCTCTCCACTACGTGTTCTCTCTGCCAAAAGGACGTGTAGCTCCAATCACCGTCTTCGTCTTTACCATTTAGCGATCCACATGCGTCGTGTCTTCCCCAGTTTACTTCTCGCCGGCGTAGGCAGAAACGCCGCCACCGCGGCCAAGCGCCACGCCAGCATGCAGCCGGGCGAGTTTCGTTTCCCTCCGGTCGCCGGTGAAGAGGAGGCGACGCGGAACGGAATCAAAATGAACCTTTTCCAGGCCATTAACTCCGGCCTCGACCACGCCCTCTCCAAGGAGAAGACGGTGCTGCTCGGCGAGGACGTGGCGTTTGGCGGTGTCTTCCGCTGCTCCCTCGATCTGCGCAAGAAGCACGGGGCGCACAAGGTCTTCAACTCCCCGCTGACGGAGCAGGGGATCGTGGGCTTTGCAGTGGGCATGGCGGCCGTAGGGTGGCACCCCATCGCGGAGGTGCAGTTTTCGGACTACATATTCCCCGCATTTGACCAAATCGTGAATGAAGCGGCGAAGTATCGCTTTCGCACCGGGGGCAGCTACCAGTGCGGCATGCTCATCCGAGCCCCGTGCTCCGCCGTCGGACACGGCGGCCTCTACCACTCGCAAAGCGTGGAGGCCTACTTCAGCCACTGCCCGGGTCTGAAGATCGTCATGCCGTCGACGCCGTCGGAGGCGAAGGGGCTGATGCTGAAGTGCATGGAGGAGAACGACCCCTGCCTCTTTTTTGAGCCGAAGATTTTGTACCGCAGCGCGGTGGAGGAGGTCAACCCGGACTACTACACGCTGCCACTGGGCAAGGGGCGCGTGCTGATGGAGGGGCGCGACCTGACAATGGTGACGTACGGCTCGCAGGTGTACGTGGCGGCCAAGGCGGCAGAGATGGCCAAAAAGGAGGGCATCTCGGTGGAGCTGATCGATTTGCGCAGCCTACTGCCGTGGGACCGTGAGCTGGTGGCCAAATCGGTGCAGAAGACAGGGAAAGTGATTATCACGCATGAGGCTCCCAAGACGAGTGGGTACGGCGCTGAGCTTGTCTCTAGCATTACGGAGGACTGCTTCCTTTCTTTGGAGGCCCCACCGACGCGTGTGTGCGGCCTCGACACACCGTTTCCGTTGCACGAGCGGCTGTATCTGCCGAACGAGCACAAGCTGCTGGACGCCATCAAGTCCGTGGTGCACTTTTAGCACGGAGTAAAAAGAAAAAAACTGAAGAGGTGTTCTGCACTTCGCATTCTTTTTCCTCTTTTCCCCTTTTCTGAAATCCTCCTGCTCACTTTCAATTCGAGCATTTTTTTTTTTGTGAACGTCTAGCTGGCTCGCTGATGGGTTTCTTTTCTTTTGTTTTGTTTTTCTGAGAAGTAACACTTACTGGGCGAACACCGATGTTTCGCAAACTCTTTTCTCACGTCTACTTTTTTCTCTCTCTCTTCCTTGTTCTTTTTCTATCGTTTTGCGATCGGCTAAGCGCTTAGATGCGCGCTCTTCTTCGGTGGTGTTGTTGATGTCGATAAGGATTCGTGGAATTGCGCCTTAATTCTTCTCTTTTTCTGTTTTGTTTCGGTTTCATGGCCATGGTGCGCTTTGGCCTGTTTTCTCCGGTTACGAACTTTATCGTTGCTCTTCCTTAACTGGCTCTTGGCATCTTTGTAAGATATCCTCTTTGCGCGTTTGTATGTGTGTGTGTTGGGGGGAGGTAAGCATACCGCTTAGTACGAAAAGAGGAAGAGACGACCACAGATGAAGGCTGCGGAGTAGCGCTATAGGTAACATGTAGGTTTCTCAAGTGCTGAGAGCGTGCAGCAGAGCAGTTCTTCCACTGCGTGCCGCTTCCTACTCGAAAGGAGAAAAGGTGTTCTCGAAAGGACCGAAGTCAGCAGCCAAGGGTGCCTGCACGGTCGTGTCGATAGCGAATAACGCAGCGAATACATGTAAAATGAAAAGAAAATGAGACAATGCATAGGAAAAAAACAGTAGCTCCTTTTTTGTGTGGGTTGCTTTTCGGATGGGCGTACCCTCTTTGTTGGGTATTTACCCCTTTATACTACACGGCTCGAGAGGGAGGATCTCAATATCGCGGCGACGTACTGAGCTTTTCCACGGTCAACGGCAGGAAAACTTCACCCCACAAGGAATCATATCCGAGGTCCCGCTTTCTTTCTTTCGTGTTATTATTATTATCGTACACATCTCTAAAAAACAACAACAACAACCTTTCAACTCTTTTTCTGTTCTCCCCCCTCTCTCTCCAACATTTCCGCTCATTTTTGTTTGGTGCCTTCTTCGCTGCACAGCTTCTGGCAGCACTGTGATGAAGAAGTGCGGAGTTTCTTCGCGTCAGTGATTTCTATTGCCTTTGTCATTGTTGTTATTCTATATAATTTTCTGTTTACTATTTTCTCTTTTTCGAGTGTTTTATTCTCGCTAAGCCCAGTGTAACGGGCTATTCTTGCATTGAATAGATCCTTCGGGACACTCGGAGAACACAGCATAAAGCGTCTTCTTCCACGATAAAGAGAACAGAGAAGGAAAAGTTGATCTTTCTTCTAGAAAGGGGTCCTTTTGACCGTCTTTTTGGTTTTCCTGCCGTTTTCTGTTTTTTCTTGTTTGCCCTTTTTTTCCAGTTGTTGGACGGGCTGTAGCAAAACACAAACTCCATTTTTCTTGTAGCTGCGACTAGCGGGATCAACCATATGTGAGGCAGCGACACTCGTAACGGAAGAGAAAGAAGAGCAATAACATCAAAAGAAAGAATAATTACCTTCTCCATATAGCTATTGTTTTTTTTTCCCTCTTCTTTCTTCTTTTCTCCGTCTCGCAACATCCATGTCGTCATCCTGGTCAGGTGACTACTCGTGTGACTCTAGCGCTGAGCGGAGCTACAATGACCTTGTGAGCGACCTGCATGGCAAAGGCGTGCCGATGCTGCGGATCACAAAGTCTTACACGCTCAAGAAGATAATCGTGCTGTTTTCGAACATGAACGACGGACTGCAGTACCTCCCAGCGTCAGACAAGCACAGCTCGTTGCTGTTCGCGAACATACGGGCAGTTCACGCATTGCCGCGCTCAGACATCGTGTGCCACAAAGCTCGCCTGAGCCAATTCCAGCACTGTCTGGAGGTGGTGACTCAATTTGGCTGGTCGTGGTATTTGATCTGCAGCACGGAGCTCGACCGCGGAACGTGGCTGGACTTCCTCGAGAAGCGGCGGCGGTTGTACTTAGCCGAGAGCCGCACCAACGTAGCGGATGTGAGCATCGCACGGTACTGGTCGTCCGCGGCTCTGCACGGCAAGTCCACGCTCTCCTTCAACGAAGTCTCCGCGCTGTTTAACAGCCTTTTCGGTTACATACCCCCGGATGATTTCGCGAGCCGTTTCCGCGTATGCGATTCCAACAACAATACCTACCTCGACTTTGAGGAGTTTCGCACCCTCTTTATCCTCTTCAATGAGATTGATGTGATCAAAAAAATATACACGGCGGAGGTGGCGGACGCGCAGAACGGTATGTCCGCGCAGGAGTTTACGCAGTTTTGCGTGAAGAACGACGTCGGCGGCAGCACGACCCCGATGCGCTGCGCAGCTCTCTTTCACCTCTTCACCAATCGTCAAGCGGAGCGTCTGAACATGACGATCTTCACCGCATTTTTACTCCACCCAGAGCACAACTGTGTGGTGGACCCGCGTCAGCTGCGCGTGGCCGACGTTATGGACTTTCCCCTCAATCACTACTACATCAGCAGTTCCCACAACACCTACCTGCTGGGCAATCAACTGAACTCGGCGAGCTCCTGCAGTACCTACCGCGACGTCCTCCGCGCCGGTTGCCGCTGCGTGGAGATAGACTGCTGGGATGGGCCAGAGGGGCAGCCCATCGTGTACCATGGGCACACCATGACCTCCAAGATTCGCTTCGATGACGTGATCCGCACCATCGACGCGCACGCCTTTCAAAACCCCGAGACGGAGGCGAACGCGCCGTGGAATCCGCGGGAGTTTCCAGTGATCGTCTCGCTGGAGGTGCACACGAGCGGGGAGCAGACAAATCGAATGGCGGAGATAATGCACGACGTCTTTGGAGATCGCCTCTTTGTATCGAAGCAAAACGTGTCGGCCTACACCCCGGCGAAGCTGAGAGGCAAAATTCTTGTGAAATGGAAGATGAACGCGGCGGGCGTGGAGGAGGTGAAGGACACGACGGGCAGCGGCATTCGCCCTGACCGGCGAAGTTCACCGCGCGGCCCGGGTTCGACCCTCTCTGCCTGCGCCTCCATCGGCTCCGTCAGCACGTCCACGTGGGGGGCGCAGGAGCAGCCGTACCACGTCGAGAGCTTCACGGAGGGCGAGGCAGGGCGTCTCGGCATCGTAGAGCCGGTGAACTTCGCACGACAGAACAGTCGCATGCTCGCCCGCACCTACCCCCTCGGCACCCGTATCGACTCCTCCAACTACGACCCGATGCCAATGTGGCGGGTGGGCTGCCAGATGGTCGCGCTCAACTGGCAGACACGCGATGACTTTCTGCGCGTGAATGAGGGCTTCTTTGGTCATCAAAACGGCGGCTGTGGGTACGTGCTGAAGCCGCCGTATCTGCGCGATGTGGGGCTGGAGGCTCAAGCAAGCCCCTTTGTGCTCGTGCTGCGCATAATCTGCGGCTCGCACCTGCACACCACCTTTGACGGCGTCGAGGCGACGCACCTGTCGTTGCGCGTGTGGATCCACGGGACCCTCTCTCCAGTGGAGATGCCCGTAACCCCCGCCTCTGTGTACCCGCAGTGGAACGAAACAGTGAAGCTGCGCGGTGAGTACAAGGAGCTGGATGTGCTGTGTATCAAGATCGTGGCCCGTGCAGCCAACGGCAGCACCTGCGAAGTGTGCACGTCCTGCCTGCCTGTGAACGTGCTGCGCTGTGGCTTTCACGCCATTCCTGTTCGGCACCAAAAGGGCGGTCAAGTGGCGGACATCGCCTCCGTGTTTTGCCATGTGAACTTCGAAACACTTCGCACACGCAACGCCGAATCGGACGACGCGTCAGCGCGCCTACAAACCCGTGTCGCACCCACGACCCGACGTGTTTCGTGAGAGGTTTTCTTCCAGCCCATGTATGCATACTTCTTCTCCTCTTTTTGCTGATTGAAACGGGGAAAACCACTGTGTCCGATGCACAACAACAAAAGGTGTCGAGCTGGGCGTTGCTTATTATTATCATGCTTTTTCCCTTCTTTCCAACATATCGGCCCCACCATCTGCTCTTGACTTCTCTATCAGCTATTTTGTCCTTCCTTCGCTCTTGCGTATGATACGTATTGTCTTTCCCTGTGCGCATCGACAGTGGAGCGAACCGTCACAACAGTTCGTAACAAAGCCAATGAGGTTTGCGAAGGAGCACTGGCTGCCTTTGTGTTGACCTATACAGGCGTCTCGATTGTACCTACTTCGACGACTTGTATTATTTCGAAAGGTGAATCACTGTTCACATTAAAAAGACTATAAAAAGCGCAGCGACGCATCATCTTTTTTTTTTCTTACCTGCGCACATCTCTTCAACGCAAAACCCTTCTCTCCCGATCTCTCTCCCTCTTTTTTCATGACTCTCCCTCCACCTCACACGTCAACTGCTGATGCCGCACTTATCGACAAAGTTAGTAGTTTTACTGCCATCGTCTTCCTTCCTCTTCCACTCCGGACATCAACAATTCCTTTCTATTCCTTCTCATACACTTTGTGAGCTACACACAAACACCCACAAAAGAAACAATAATACCTTTCACAATGTCGCAGCTCGCCCATAACCTGACGCTCTCCATCTTTGAGCCGTTGGCGAACTACCGCGCCAACCGCATCATCTGCACCATCGGCCCCAGTACGCAGAGTGTCGAGGCACTGAAGGCTTTGATCCAGAGCGGCATGTCCGTGGCACGCATGAACTTCTCGCACGGCTCGCACGAGTACCACCAGACAACCATCAACAACGTGCGCCAGGCCGCCGCGGAGCTGGGCGTGCACGTGGCGATCGCGCTGGACACGAAGGGGCCGGAGATCCGCACGGGCCTGTTCGTGGGCGGGGAGGCGGTGATGGAGCAGGGCGCGGTGTGCTACGTGACGACGGACCCGGCGTTCGCGGACAAGGGCACGAAGGACAAGTTCTACATCGACTACCCGAACCTGCCGAAGGTGGTGCGTCCCGGCGGCTACATCTACATCGACGACGGCATCCTGATCCTGCACGTGCTGAGCCACGAGGACGACCTGACGCTGAAGTGCACGGTGGCGAACGCGCACACGATCGCCGACCGGCGCGGCGTGAACCTGCCCGGGTGCAACGTGGACCTGCCGGCTGTGTCGGAGAAGGACCGCGGCGATCTGCAGTTCGGCGTGGAGCAGGGCGTGGACATGATCTTCGCGTCCTTCATCCGCAGCGCGGACCAGGTGGAGGAGGTGCGCAAGGCACTTGGGCCGAACGGCCGCGACATCATGATCATCTGCAAGATCGAGAACCACCAGGGTGTGCAGGACATCGACGCGATCATCCACCAGAGCGACGGCATCATGGTGGCGCGTGGCGACCTTGGCGTGGAGATCCCGGCGGAGAAGGTGGTTGTGGCGCAGAAGATCCTGATCAGCAAGTGCAACGTTGCGGGCAAGCCTGTGATCTGCGCGACGCAGATGCTGGAGAGCATGACGTTCAACCCGCGGCCGACGCGTGCGGAGGTGTCGGACGTGGCCAATGCGGTGTTCAACGGTGCGGACTGCGTGATGCTGTCGGGCGAGACGGCGAAGGGCAAGTACCCGAATGAGGTGGTGCAGTACATGGCGCGCATCTGCCTCGAGGCGCAGAGCGCCATGAACGAGTACGTGTTCTTCAACAGCATCAAGAAGCTGCAGACGATCCCGATGAGCGCGGAGGAGGCCGTTTGCAGCAGTGCCGTGAACTCCGTGTACGAGACGAAGGCGAAGGTGATGGTGGTGCTGAGCAACACCGGCCGCAGCGCTCGTCTGGTGGCGAAGTACCGGCCGAACTGCCCGATTGTGTGCGTAACGACGCGCCTGCAGACGTGCCGCCAGCTGAACGTCACGCAGAGCGTGGAGAGCGTCTTCTTCGACGCCGACAAGCTCGGCCACGATGAGGGCAAGGAAGACCGTGTTTCGTTGGGTGTAGCGTACGCGAAGTCGAAGGGCTACGTCCAGCCCGGTGACTTCTGTGTGGCCATCCACGCTGACCACAGGGTGAAGGGTTATGCCAACCAGACACGTATTCTTCTCGTAGACTAAGCGCGGCTCCATCCATGTTGACGTTGCTGACAAGATAGAAAGAGGCGAAGTTTTCGAGAAACATAACAAAGAAGCAAACGACGTGCAACCAAAAATATTTTTGTTTTGCTTACGAGCAAGGACGTAGCGATTTTTTTTTTTGCTTGTTAGCGTTTTGACGACTCGTGCTTTTTGGGGTGACTTTTGCTTCGTGCTAAAATCGGAAAGCATTAGTTTTCCTTTTTCTTTTGTTTACCCGTTTCTCATTTTTCTTTTCATAACGTTTCCTCTGCCTTTGCCGTCTCTTACGAACGTGTTCCGACTTGAAGCTGCTTCTTCAACTTATCGGCCGCTTGTTTTCCTATCATCTTTCTTTTTCTTTTGTTGTTTCTGATTCAAAGGTCGCGTGAAGAAGAACGCCGCCTATAGAATTGCGGGGGATACCGAACTCACGCATCTTGCTGATAACCAATGCATTCCCCACCACAGAGAAAACAAAATCCAAAGATGGAACCCAACAGAACAAGATCGATCAAACCATGAAGACGGTAATGTAGCGGCAGGAAAGCAACAACGTAAAGTTACCCCCAATGCGGAAAGCGAGCGACATGAGCAATAAGAAATGGGAAAAAAATCGATCTCCTGTTCAAGCGTTGTGTTTCTTTATTTCTCTCCTTCCTGGCGATATATCAGTTGGTGAAAGGACTTCGATCTTCTCCTGTGATCCTCGTCGCTGTATTGCTTGCTTATCATATATATGAAGGTTAGGACACATCCTTATCTTTCTTGTTTGTGTTTCAAGACTCTTGCCTTCGAATCTGTGCTCTACCGAGTGCCTCAAAAGCCCTTCCTTGCGGTGAATAATGTAAACATGATCTTTGACACTTATACCCCTGCATGTCCCTCGCCGCATCCCCATTCCCTGTATGGTAAGCTAAGGAGAAAAATAAAGTGAGATGGAATAAATAAAAAAGAAAACTTTCGTTTTCTCTCCCCCTTTACATTTGCTTGTACGTTAACGTTTTCTGATTTGAGAACGAACTTTCCACCTTTCTTTTTTCCCCCCTCTTCACTGTCCAAGAGCAAAGCAACAAATAGAAAGCCGGCGAATGCCCTTCTTTCTTCGTGAGATAAAGAATCAAAAGACGATGTGGTGCGTTTTTTTACCATTTTCAGAAAGTAGACGATTGCACGTAAAGAACCCTCGCTAACAGACTCGGCTGTCGTGTCACTTGGAGACGAAGTGAAGGGCACGTGTGCGCTTCAGATTCCCATGAATAAAAAAAAGTGACGTCCGTAGTCGTACATGCATTAACGGCCAAAGGAAAAGCAATCCAATTCTAATGAGCACAGAAACGATGATATTTGCGGCTCGGCAGTTATTTTCTCTTTCCACCGTATTGCTTAGGTCGAAAGACAGATTGAATGCTGTGCGTTTTGAGTCAAGAAGACAAAAGAGCAAAGGAGATTTCTTTCGGCAGCATGAAAATGAAGGACCATGAGGCAGCGTTTTTGTGCTGTTCTTTTTCCCTTTCAAGTTAGGCACGCTGATAATCTGTTCAAGACTCAGTAAAATTCTTTCACGTTTGTGTATCTCTCCGCATGCGTGGCGTTCTCCTTTGGCGCGATCACTACCCTGCTTTGAGCTTCATCACGCCTTTCCTCTCTTTTTTCTTCCCCCAGATTTCTCTATTCTTCTTTGTCCTGTTTTGATCTGACTTTTCTTGTTACCTTCCCAACAACACCGACGAAGAAAAACTGTGCGACACTTCTTTTTACGCGATCCTGTTTATGCGCTAGACCGTAGGAAGCGTCGCCAGATTCCGTGAGCGGAGAGAACCACCCAAATTCGCTTTCCGACTCAGCATGCATCGCTCCGTTTTGTTTTCGTTTCTTTTCCCATGCGCTGAACTTCAACATTCATAATAATCATCGTAATTAAAACACACATACTAATGCTTCGCGCGCGGTGTGTCCGCCTCTCCCCGGTGGGGCACAATCTGACACTCTCCATCTACCACTCTTCACCAATCTACCGCGCCAACCGCATCATCTGCACCGTCGGTCCCAGCACCCAACATGTGGTGGCGCTAAAACAGCTGATGACAAGCGGCATGTCCGTGGCGCGCATGAACTTCTCGCACGGCTCGCACGAGTACCACCAGACGACCATCAACAACGTGCGCCAGGCCGCCGCGGAGCTGGGCGTGCACGTGGCGATCGCGCTGGACACGAAGGGGCCGGAGATCCGCACGGGCCTGTTCGTGGGCGGGGAGGCGGTGATGGAGCAGGGCGCGGTGTGCTACGTGACGACGGACCCGGCGTTCGCGGACAAGGGCACGAAGGACAAGTTCTACATCGACTACCCGAACCTGCCGAAGGTGGTGCGTCCCGGCGGCTACATCTACATCGACGACGGCATCCTGATCCTGCACGTGCTGAGCCACGAGGACGACCTGACGCTGAAGTGCACGGTGGCGAACGCGCACACGATCGCCGACCGGCGCGGCGTGAACCTGCCCGGGTGCAACGTGGACCTGCCGGCTGTGTCGGAGAAGGACCGCGGCGATCTGCAGTTCGGCGTGGAGCAGGGCGTGGACATGATCTTCGCGTCCTTCATCCGCAGCGCGGACCAGGTGGAGGAGGTGCGCAAGGCACTTGGGCCGAACGGCCGCGACATCATGATCATCTGCAAGATCGAGAACCACCAGGGTGTGCAGGACATCGACGCGATCATCCACCAGAGCGACGGCATCATGGTGGCGCGTGGCGACCTTGGCGTGGAGATCCCGGCGGAGAAGGTGGTTGTGGCGCAGAAGATCCTGATCAGCAAGTGCAACGTTGCGGGCAAGCCTGTGATCTGCGCGACGCAGATGCTGGAGAGCATGACGTTCAACCCGCGGCCGACGCGTGCGGAGGTGTCGGACGTGGCCAATGCGGTGTTCAACGGTGCGGACTGCGTGATGCTGTCGGGCGAGACGGCGAAGGGCAAGTACCCGAATGAGGTGGTGCAGTACATGGCGCGCATCTGCCTCGAGGCGCAGAGCGCCATGAACGAGTACGTGTTCTTCAACAGCATCAAGAAGCTGCAGACGATCCCGATGAGCGCGGAGGAGGCCGTTTGCAGCAGTGCCGTGAACTCCGTGTACGAGACGAAGGCGAAGGTGATGGTGGTGCTGAGCAACACCGGCCGCAGCGCTCGTCTGGTGGCGAAGTACCGGCCGAACTGCCCGATTGTGTGCGTAACGACGCGCCTGCAGACGTGCCGCCAGCTGAACGTCACGCAGAGCGTGGAGAGCGTCTTCTTCGACGCCGACAAGCTCGGCCACGATGAGGGCAAGGAAGACCGTGTTTCGTTGGGTGTAGCGTACGCGAAAAGGAAGGGGTATGTGGGGACTGGGCAACTGATTGTTGTCCTGACTTCTGCCCACGTAGAGCCTGATCGCACCGGGGGCTTCACCATCGTAAGGGCCGAATAGTCTGCGCTGATGCGCTGTCGCAATACGAGAGAGGGATCAACGCAGCACAGCATCTAGTTGGCACTGCCTTACTGTTATTTGTAAAGAAAAACTGGTAGCTTTCTTTTTATGAGGCAAATATATACACTCCTCAAGAGATGGGCTGTTTATGCAGCTGGTGATGCGTACATCACACGATAATAATAGTAGTAGCAATACGAATCAAGTGCCTCTTAATGTATCTCTGTGTAGTGGCTGGTGGTGCTTCTGATAAAAGCGGTTGGCAGCGTCACGGTCTATTGATCGTCTTGTAGCTTTTCTTTGTCACGCAGTTGTCCAAGGAGGGAAGCAACTGGCGTTTGCGTGGGTGTTTAACTTTCCCCCGTTCTTCTCCCTCTTCGGCGTATTCCATCTCTCCTTTTTTTTTTCGCGGCTCCTCGCGCGCACCCACGCAGTTTCGTCGCTCTCACGGTTTTTTCAGTTCGCTCTACTTCATCCACCAGACCACCTCTTTTTTCTCTTTCCACACAGCAAACATGGCCAAGGGAAAGCGCTCCGCTGATGCCAAGGGCAGCCAGAAGCGCCAGAAGAAGGTGCTCCGCGACAACATCCGCGGCATCACCCGCGGCTCCATCCGCCGCATGGCCCGCCGTGGCGGCGTGAAGCGCATCTCGAGTGAGATCTACGAGGAGGTGCGCCGCGTGCTGAAGGCCTACGTCGAGGACGTCGTGCGCTCCAGCACCGCGTACACCGAGTATGCGCGCAAGAAGACGGTGACGGCGTCGGACGTCGTGAACGCGCTGCGCAAGCGCGGCCACATCCTGTACGGCTACGCGTAAAGCGCCGGCCATCTGGCGTGGCATTGCGACGGCTGCTCTGCACCTTCACGCGTTGTGGTGCAAAAAACACTGCACACCATAGATACATTTTGTTTCCTCGTTTATACACCCACTCCCCTCTATTTGTTTGGAATGTTCGCCCTCCTTTAATGGGGAGTTCAGAAGATCGAAAGTTCAAGTTGGAAAAGAAATGCCTAATGCAGCCAGCTCGCGCCACCAGGTGGGCGCGGGTGGCTCCAGGTTGTGCCTGCGCGGCCCGGGCAGACGCTTTTGG